TGTGTGGGAATGAAAAAAAAGCCATCATCAATGGAGCTCTGATACTACGATTCACCATAGCAACGGGTAAATAAAGGCAAAGCTTCCATTTTAATCAGGTGGAGCTAGAAATATGAATGCGTGCCAACGTGGACCATGATAGGCTCTAAAACGCAGGAGTGGAAGAAGGATCAGTGTGTTAACATTATTAGGCTACTATACAGCGTTGCTCATTCATCGTTTACCAGACTGGACTTTCCTTAATGAATGATAAAGTGCTACAGCCCATTACATTCATTTTAAATAGGAAGGCTATATTTATTAAGCTGTAACCCGACGGGACTAAATGCCGGTGGCAATCGGCTACCTAATTATGAAAATAGGGTAGGCTATAGATCAAATATAAGACATAGTTTACTCGTGAACCTGTGATTGTAAAGTCATAGTCACACCCAGCAGGTTAGCCTATTAATTATTTTTTGCAGTGGAAAATGTGTCTATAGGTTCAAACTGACTGTAAAGATTTAGACATCTATTTTACATTAATAAAATCTTGCTCATTTCATATTTTATTAATGCTGTCAAAACACATTCACACTATCAGCAGGTAATAATGAAAAACTCACATTTAAACCTTATTTAGGCCTGTTTATTTCAGCTGCACCACAGTCATCCTCACTCAGAAATAGTCACACTATCTCCAGTTGATAACTACGATAGGAATATTCCAATCACTGCGACTAGCCTACAATATGAAAGATTACTGTTCATTGATCAGTTTCATAGGTTACATATTAAACAGTGATTACTGCAGTAATGTAGCCCACAGTAAGTGTTTTCAACTGTCCACAGAGTCGCAGCATTGTTTCCCACACATAGGCTTCACTTGGGCGGGCCACCCAGGTAGATTATAAGCCGCCCAAGTAAGTTTTTGATTGCAGGTCTAGTGACGTTTTGCAGCGCAGGTGCATGCCTGCTGTGAACTGCATACACCGCGTGGAAGGTAATGCTCTTTTATACTGAGAAAAGAGGTCGATGCAAATTTCAGCAGGTAGCCTACAACATCCGTTTTGCAGAATTATGCATTCACTTATTAAGGTCCTTTTAGGACACTTTCACGTTGTTTGAACACGGTTAATGCCACGTTTTTGCTGAATCTTAGTAAGTGTAATAATATATTAACGATTCTTAACGTTCATAAAATATATACTGATCATTTATCACTATTGATGAACCCCGCAAAGAATAGTATAGCGTTTAAAAGCAGAACTTTGTGTCCGTCATTCCCGGACACAGAAACTTCCTGTGTCCGGGAATGACGGGCACAGGAAAGTACGCGTCCTTCAGGTCGATGGAGGAGAGCCAGTCTCCCTGGTGCACACACTCCATCACCTGTTTCACTGTTAACATGCGAAAAGGTCTCACCATAATCGCCCTGTTGAACAGTGACAGGTCCAGGATGGACCTCTCACCGCCCGTCTTCTTCCTGACCAGGAAGTAGCGGGAGTAGAACCCCTTAATAATAATAATAATAATAATAATCCTTATTTGTAGATAAAAAAAGATTATTTGTTTCAAAAACAAGTTACAAAGTGCTTTAACAAGTGTAAAGAATAATACAAAAAAAACAAGATAAGAGCATGAAAACATTGAAAAGACTAAAATACAGATTAATATAAAATTAGTAAAATACAATAAAATAAAAGGGATAAAATAAAGTCAAATAAGATCGGGAAAGGCTCTCCTATAAAAGTATGTTTTAAGAAGGGACTTCAAAGAGTTCACTGACTCAGCCGACCTGATTTCCTCGGGCAGGCTGTTCCAGAGCCTCGGGGCCCTGACAGCAAACGCTCTGTCCCCTTTAGTTTTCAGTCGAGACTCTGGAACAGACAACAGACCTCTGCCCGAGGATCTCAAGGTACGTGCTGGTGCGTATGGGACTAAAAGGTCAGAAATATAACAAGGCGAGAGGCCATGAAGAGCTTTAAAAGTGATCAATAGAATTTTAAAGTCAATGGGTCAAAAATGGGTCCTAAGACCGACCCCTGAGGCACACCATATTTAACTGGACAGAATGAGGAGACATAGTTGTTTACAGACACACAAAACTTCCTATTTGACAGGTAGGATGAAAACCATCCTAGGGCAGTACCAGAGATCCCCACCCAGTGCCTCAGTCTGTCTAACATGATGTTGTGATCAATGGATCAATGATCAAAGCAGCACTAAGGTCCAGGAGTACAAGGACTGAGCACATGCCTTCATCAGCAGACATTAAAAGGTAATTGGTGACTTTAAGCAGGGCAGTCTCAGTGCTGTGGTACTTCCAATAATCCTGAAGCTCCGCCCTCCTCTGAGCCGAGGAGGAGAGCACAGTCTCCACAATCTCGGCGAAGGAGGGAGGGGAGGAGGCGAACTGCAGCCTGTGATCCCAGGGGATCAGGCTGTCCATCCATCTGTGCATCTAGCAGGAAGTGAGCCACTCAGAGTAGCGTCTCTGAAAGCGGTGGGACCTGCTGATGAGGCTCCCTGGTGGCCCTGAAGGGAAGCCACTCTGCTGCCCTTGCCGCCGTCACGGTTCAGGTCCTCTGGATGCAGGAGGAGGGACTGCGTCGGTGATGCCGTGGTTACGCACGAGCCCGCAGCCGCGCTCTGCTGGGGGGGGCGTGCATAATGTGTGGAGCAGCGATAGGATAATTACACGCAGGGTTGTGTAGTGCTATCCTGTCTGCATGAAGTGTAATGACTGCTTCAAGGGCTCATTTGACACAGTCTGGCTTCTGTGAACCAAGGAGGAACCCCTGGACGCACAGAAGGACCGTTCCATTAATGCCGTGATTATGCACGAGCTCGCACCTGGGCACTGCCAGGGGAAACGTGCATAATGTCAACAGCATAACACACTGCCCGACAGATTTCTTCCAGAAAAATATCTGTACCGGGTGTGTATATGTTCTGTCCACACGGAGCGAAAGTCCGCTGTCGTGGGCTCATATAGTTTCTGTGGGGAGGGGTGTGTGAAGGGACCTCTGAGAGTGTACTGCTTGTTGCTTTGAGCTTCAAGCTGCAGGTTAGCCACTTGGCTAACGGCAGCTGGCTCGCACCGTGTGGGAAATGTGTGCTTGGTGTGGCTGGTTCGACTGAGACAGGCACAGACAGCATTTGTTCAACAACTTCCACAAAAAGGAGCAACAACATTTCACACAGCGTTTTTCAACCCATAGCTTACCAGTGGTCCACTCTGACCAACGAGGGTCAGCCAGCAGCAATGAAACCGATTGCTAAATGTCATTAACCACAGCTAATGTGGAGCAACGTGGGCACATGGGGTCTCCCTAGTCGGTTGATCCAGGCAGACCGCATGTGAGCGTCACGTTAGCTATCCGTTAGCTCAACGTTAGCTCCCTGTTAGCTTACCTCGCCGCGGCAACCTAGTAGCGTCGAGGCCGGCATCATCGGAGGTCAGAACGGGGGAAGCTCGGAGCCGCTCGGAGACCCGTGAATGGGAAGAGTGGAGCCATCCACTCCCGCTCTTCCGTCAACAGCAGTTCGAGGGCTTCGTCCAGAGAGCGGGTGGACTGCCACACCTCCTCGTCCTGAATGGCAAGCCATCAGCACGGCGAGGCCATTCTTCGGGGGAGAGAAGGGCGCAGAACGGTCAGTGCGAACCGAGAGTGACCGGCTGGCGTGCTCCGGTCCGAGGCACGTTCTGGCCGGCTTGCTGGAAGACATCGTTCTTCTTCTTTTCCGGCTGGAAAGTCTTTGCTCTTTAGACAGCTCAGTGCTGAAGAAAAATGGGAGCCGATGGCTGGGTCTCACCTTTGTATATATACAAGGTGTGGACGTAGGAGAGGCCCACGCTGTGGGTGGGCGTAGACTAAAATTCTCAGTGCCACGCGGAGATGTCCAAAAGGCTCCGTCAGGCTGAGCCTCAGAGCTCCGTGTAGCTGAGTGAGGCTAACAGACGGCGGACCGAATGCTAGGAGTGGCAGCCGCTAAAGATGCTTGTCAATCAAAGCGGCCACGCCCCTAATAATGCAGAACTTTAAGGCTTAATATAATTTAAACAGGTGAGTTATAAAAAAATTCACCCCCCTCACAGTTGTCATGAAGGGCAAAAATAGCAATATGCACTAAAACCATTTTTTGAACCATGCTGTAAACATGTTTTATTCTGCTGTAAAATTGGGCTTTTTAACATGGGGGTCAATGGAGAGGCTTCTGCAGCCAGCCTCAAGTGGCCACTCGATGATTTGCAGTATCTGATGCTTCCGTATTGGCTTCAGGCGGGAGACTATGGGATTAATATCCTGCCTTGATTCAAAACTGAAAATAAAGTTCTGAAAGGTTGAAACTAAGTGTTTGAAAACTCAAAATCTTACAAAAAAAGTTGTGCAAGATCGAAAAGATTTGCAAGCTTGCAAAATGTAAAACATAAAATAAAATAGTTAATTTTTTTACATTTTGCAGTTGGAGTTTTCAAACAATTAGTTTCAACCTTTCAGAACTTTATTTTCAGTTTTGAATCAAGGCAGGATATTAATCCCTTAGGAGACCGGAAGTTTGCCGCTTGACACCACTGTACAAATTTGTCCAACACAACGCTGTCGGACGCCCAGCTTCAAAAACGTTATTAGCAAGCACGTAAGGAGCCTAGCTACTAACAAGAGCTAAGTTAACGTTAGAATACAGCTGGGTTGTTGAGTTTACCACGTTGTTTATAGCTGGTGCCACAGTTACACTGTCATTATGTGGGAAACACTGGGATCACTTAACAAATCTGAGGTAAAACATTCAAAACAATTATGATAAAGTAAATATCAATTAAGTAATATTTTTTTCTGTCCCTTTTTCTCAACAAAGTAAAGTGCTTATTTGTTCATGATTCAAATGAATTTAATAAAACACTTGACACATTTGTTATACTGTTATTGAGGAAAATTATTTTGCAATAATTATCATTATTATTATATTGCCCAGCCCTGCTGGTACTACCCATTCACATGGGAGCTCACGGCTGCATGAAAGGCACCGAGCTCCTACCTGCTGCGCCGACAAAGATTAGCAAACAGGCGAGAATGGGAACAGATGAGCGCCACATAGTGCCCACCGGTACGCCAAAGAGCAAAATGTAGAAGTAACTTACTGGTATCGGTGGCCCACTACAAGCACTGCCTATTATCAAAATTGACACCATTTATCTGTGAAGCCGTAATCCACTGGTGGATTACATTCCACAAAAATGGCCTTGTTATGTTGGCAAAGGTCCAAACGATCCAATCCAGTAAAATATTTAGTCCAAAACGCATTATTATTTCAATAAATACACACGGAGTGCTATTGCGTAGCTTTATATTAGCCTAACTACAGCTAGCATGTAAACAAAAAACGCATCTACACGTTGACTTTTTGAGTGACACCTTAACTGACCCAATACAAACTTCCATGCCCTGTCCAACACCTCACCAGGAAGTGCCAGTCCCCTTTCTTTCGGTATACACCGGTCTGTTTTCCACAGACATATTTATTTATTGTCGAATACAAAACGGCTCGCGCCGGAATTCCAGCACAGCGCCAGAGAACTTTAAGCCCTGCCTTTGGAAGATGTCCACTTTTGAATAGTCTAATGCAGATGATTAACTGATGATTCATATTAACTTCCGCTAAACTTTAGAATGAATTTATACAAAAATGACAACTGTAGTGATGTCTTTACAGACTAGATGGGCAGGAATAATAATTACAGTGACCAATAACTTACTATAAACACAGACATGTGAGTATTAAGGGAGACTATAAAAATGTGAACCTATTCTTTAGCACACAGATAGCAACATATTAGTTGCATTGATTACCTTGATAAAGACCTCACTGGTCATTTTAACAGTGCAAATGTTACGGGATTGCGTGGTGTGTGGACGGAGAGGACCCAAATGCAGCACTCTGAGGGAAGGAGGTTTATTGAGGGAAAAAGGGTGAGAGGGACTGGAGTGGAGGGAGAGGAGGACGTCGGGGAAGCACAGGCACGGGGAACCAAGGAGACAGGGGGCCAGGGAGCCGGGGAACACAGGGGCAGAGGAAGCGAGGAGAGGCAGGGGAACAGGCAGGACGCCGTGAGGGAAGTCCGAGGAGGAGTGGGCCGGTGGATGAGCCCAGCCGAACGGAGGACGAGGGTGAGTGTACCTGGGAGGGAAACAGACAGAGAGACAAGGTTAGGGAAGACAGCGACAAGGCACAGGGTAAACGTGAAAAAACAAGAAACATGAAAGCCTGAACGTGGGGATGGCACCGGGTATGGAGCAACGACGATCAAGCAAGGATGGTGTGGAGAACCGGGGTTGAAATACAGGCGGTCATGAGGTGATTATTGGCAGGTGTGGCAGGCTGACGAGGTGGCTGATGGGATGCAGGTGCAAGTAGTGGGCTGGGCTCAGGAGCAGAGGGAGAGAGAGCACACAGGGGAGAAAACACAGGGAGGCAGGCAGAGAACAGAAAACCAAGGAAAAAAGCAGAAAAACTGATAAAAAGGAGAAAAAACCAGGACACTCACCGTCAGCCGGGCTGCCACCACAACAGTAAAAGCAGAATTGAGGGCTCATACACACACACATGCACAGGCCTGCCTTGTGAAAATCTCATGCATAAAATTCCAGCAACAGGTTACTGAGATTGTTGATTGCTCCCGAAATTTTAGTAACATTAAAAACTGCCTTACAGCAAAAAGCAATACATTACTGTAACATTAATTGTGTTACTTTTGTAACGCGTTACTCCCAACACTGTTTAGAGCAGACGAAAGTCACTGTCTCGATTATGAAGCTATTAAAATGCTAACTAACGTTAGCTAACAAATATATTAATCCACGTGCTAGCATTAGCTAATGCACACCAGAGCTATCCACCAAGGAAAATATTTCCAAACCCAGAGTGAGCTCTACTTTAGTTAACTTACACAATTGTGTTGTCCTGCTAACAATAATAAACTTACCAAGAAAGACGATTTTTGCTGGCAGTATCTGCGTCTGTCCTCTCCTTCTTGTACTTGCCAGGCACGCCTCTTTAGCTCTTTTCACATTTAACTTCTGCAGGGAGCTGATATTCTTCTCTTCTGTGTTCTTTTCTTATTATGTCTGTGGTGTCCACTTTCTCCAAGTCCGAGTCGGTAAAGTAAAACAAAGGAAACCTGAGAAACAAAATGACTTCTGGCCAAAAATACCTTCCCTCTCACAGACAGTTAACACCCACCCACTTTTAACCCACTAAAAGTGTAGATGTACTTCCACAAAGTACACTTAAATAGTATTTACTAAGAGTTAAATATCCAACAAAGGTTAAAGTCAAGGGCAACTGGACTTGGTTGAAGATATCTTCAACCAGGTCCAGTTGTCCTCGACTTTAACCTTCGTTGGATAACTATGACCTTGATGACTGAGAATCTTCACAGACATAAGAGTTAAATAAATATATTTTTAATAAATACACTAAAATGTTGTGAAAATGTGCTTTTATTTCAGCATATTTGTTAAAAGTTTAATAAAGTATATATTTATTACCAATTTATTCAAAGTATACTTTTGAGAAGTATGTTAAAACTCAGGAGAATATATCTTTAATATACTTGTAGTATGTTAGGAGTATGAATGTACTATAAGCATACTATGTTAATTTCTAGTACATTTTCAATGCCTTTAAGAGCAATTCTTTTTGGGCAGCGCTGGAGAATAAGTAGGTGACATGAAACCAATGCAACTATATATTTCACACCACTGACAGGGGAAACACCCCAGTCATGTCTGTGTGTTAATGGCCAGCTTCAAGCTAAAGCTAGTACAGCTTTCATTTGCATCGCTAAAGTCTGACAAACATAAGTTTTTTGTTTGTTTTGTTTGTTTTTTTTGTTTGTTTTTTTAAACCTGTCCTGCCCAGCAGCCTGGTATAGAGTATGATGACCTGGATACCATATTGTGCCAGACAGATTTTACTTTAACAAGAGAGTATTAATATACTCCTTTGTCTGTTTTATTTTTTATTTAATTATATATTGATTTGTCACCGGGCCGGACAGGGGGGCAGACACGGGGATGGGGGGGGACACAAACAGACAGCACAGAGAAAGGACAAGACCTATAAGAGAAGGGGGATGGAAGGTGGGGACAACAGGGAAAAGCAGTGGGAAACACCAATTGCAGAAAGCAACGAAACCTGCAATAGAACAGAGAGGGGGGCTTGGGGAGGAGAAAGACAACAACAAACAAAAACAAACAAAAACAAACAAATAATAAAAATAAATAATAATAATAATAATAGTAAAAGACAACTAGCCGAACAGCAGCAATAAACAGCTGACATAGTAAGACAACTAAGAGAAAAATGAAAACAAGAAACAGTCCAGCACACTAAATAAGCAACACAGCACGCCCACGAGAGCTGGAATAATAATTAATTTAAATAAGTAACTGAAAGAAAAGCATCAGGAATAATTATACCAGGGACCGCCTAAATTTGTTTGTGTCTATGTGTGAGACTGTGTGTGTCTGTGTGCACGTGGGTGAATGTGTCTGTACGTGTGTGTGTACATGTGTGTGCGCATAAGCCTGTTAAAGAATGTAGTTGTTAGTGAGAGTGGGGCGCCACGACTGTGCCACACTTACCCCAGCAACAGGTAGGCAAGAACCCCAGTAGCCAATAGGGGTGGGAGAAAGAAAAACATTTTTAAAAAATCAATCAAAAAAACAAAGACTCCCAGATGCACCGCGATGCAAACGCGGAAGACCCCGACCCAAATGCCAGTTGACAACGTAATGCAGACGGAACGACAAACTTAAGATAATTACCTGTCCAGTACAAAACAGACAACTTCAGCACCGCTTTGAAAACATCTGTCCCACATTATAGCCTTCCATATGGGAAAATCCACAACATCCGTAATTTCTGCCGTCAGCGGTTTCTATCTGTCCTGACTCCTCTGGCTTCATGGTATAACTAAAGATCCACAGACTGTCGGCTCTCGTGCTAAATAACACATATGTTACTTCTAATAAACCGGAAGACTACTCAGAGACTGTATATTATTATTATTATTATTATTATTATTATTATTCCCCCTTCTTCTTCTATGTATGTATTCAATGTAGTGATGGGCGTCTACACTGCCGGAATTATACAAGCAGAAGAAGAACACCGTGATGACGAAAGGCGCTCTGTAGCCTGTTTCTTCCTTGTCAGCTACGGTAGAAACATGACGACAAAGTACTATATAAGGTCTTTATACACCACTGAAAACATATGGTATAAACATATGGTTATGGAAATTATATTGCATTTCTGTCAATAGATCCTCAGAAATATTACACACTGAACCTTTAATATTGTCCCAATCATAATAATAATTCTCTCTCTCTCTTGTGCTAAACCATTCAATTCAACTACAACCTCTCGGTCTCTCTCTCTCCCTCTGTGGTGCTTATAATTTACTTATAATTGCTGGACCATTTCAGACTCCCCTATCATCTGTTACTCTCAGACCCAAACCCATTTGTTCCTACATGCAAAATACCTAAATCTCTAAAAATCCTATTAGTAAACAGTGCACTTGCTGGGGACTATTTTCAGCAGCAGATTTGGTGCTGTAGTGGTAGCATTTACTGCAGCAGGAAAGTGTATGTGGGGATTTACTCAAAATAAACCACCATTTTCATCATAATGAAGGAACATGACTGATGAAGATGGAGCTCTCTCAGAGGAAGAAGTTACAGTATTTTAGGATTTGGCTACACAGGTAATATTTGTGTCACGGTTTTGTGTGGTGGAAGAGGTTGGTGGACCCAAATGCAAGACACTGAGCAGAGCAGGTACAGTTCAAAACGTTTATTGTGGCAAACAAAAGGCAAGCACACTTACTGGCAGAGTGGCTGTGTTCAATGAATCCAAAGAATAAATAATCCAAACAAAACAGGTAATCCAGCAGGTACAGATCGAAGAACAGGTAGGGCATGAGACGAGACAAAGCACAAAGCTACACATGACAAAGCAACATCAAGCTACAATGACCGGACAAAGAGTGAGGGTAACAAGCAAACATATATACACAGGGTTAACGAGCTGGGAGGGGATACACAGGTTAGAGACATGAGACTAAGGAGACACAGGCAGAGAGACAGCAGGGGAAAACAGAAAGACAAGCATGCAGAGTGCTTCAGGAGTAACAGACAGAATACAGGTTACTGAACACTAAACACAGACATTAACTAAGACACAGAACTAAAATACATGACAGGAAACAGACTGAAAGACCAACAATACAGATAGGCTACAAACAAACCCAGGGACAACACACTGAAGCTAACAGGTTGCAAAAAGGCCAAGAATCAAACAACAAAAACAAAGAGGCCAACTAGAACAGGACAAACAGGCAAACCGAATAATAAGCTTATTGAGGACAGAGCAGACTAAAGCAGAATGATCAAAATCAGATTAAAAAATGAAACTGGCAGAGAACATAAATTGACACCTAGCAGACAGTCAGAACCCAAGCACGGTGGTACGGAAACTGATACATCAGACAGGAACAGAACTGAACAAGAACTAAGACAGGCACCGAAATATCAACAGGACAGATCAGACCAGAACAACCACACAGAACAAGCACAAGACAGAAGAACATAGAAGAACACCCCACAAGACACAAACAGACAGGACCAGATCAACTCCACAAGACACAAACAGACACAACTAAATCAAAATGCAAACATACACCAAGAAGACTGGATACAAGACAACAGACAGACAGGGCTGAAACCCAAAACCCAACAGACTATATAACAGATCAATAAGTAAACTCACAGAGAACTAAACTCAACAGAACAGATGACAGGACTAAAATGCAGATACAAAACCAAAACCTCAGAATCAAGAACCAAAACCCATCACCATATCACCAGACTTATCTTTTAATGACTCTGCAGTATTTGTAACAGGAAAAAAATTTTTTAAGCTGCTCTAATTCCTGCAATTTTTGCTCTTCAAACAATAAATGTTCAGGAATGTCTGCCTTTTCTCAAAACATAAACTTCAAACAAACAGGGATTATACATTTTGAGCTATGAAATTTTTTGGTCAACACAGACACACAATTTGTAACTGCTTTAATTACTTTAAACTCCTAATATAAACATTGTGTACACACATATTTCAAGTCACCTTGTTCAACTGATCCAGCCTGCTGCTGCTGCTGCTGCTGCTCACAGTGTGAAATTGCAAGTGATAAATCTATATGAACATGCCTGTTGCGCTGTGCCTCCTTCCTCTCCACTCTTAACATAATTTCTGCCGTCCTTCTTCCCACAGAGATTCGTGAGGTTTTCAAAGTATTTGACCGAGATGGGAATGGCTTCATCTCAAAGCAGGAGCTGGGGATGGCCATGCGCTCACTGGGCTACATGCCCAATGAAGTGGAGCTGGAGGTTATCATCCAAAGACTTGATATAGATGGTAGGGTCCTCTGTCTCACTCTCTCTCTCTTGGTCAGCAATTCGAAAGAACACAGGCTGTTGCTTATAATCCAACACATGAGCTACACAGTGACATGTTTGTATTTCTGTCATCAGGTGATGGTCAAGTTGGCTTTGAAGAATTTGTCACATTGCTTGGTCCAAAACTCTCCTCTGCTGGGATGCCTGATAAGTTCCACGGAGCAGACTTTGATTCAATGTTTTGGAAGGTATACATTGTCATCTGTATCATCAGTCAGGTCTAATCAAGCCTATACTTTTCCTTCTATCGTGTTCATTAATCCATTCTCTGTCCTTCTGGCTTTTCTGTTGTTTTGTGATAAAGAGCCATCTGTTTCAATTAAAATTACAATACAACACTTACCGATGTAATTTAAACAGCTAATTCTAGCATTATTGTGCATTATTTATTATATTCCTTCTCTGTGTTTTCTCTAACAAGTTAATTCCTTGACCTTCAAATGGCCTTGATGCACCACTCTCATAATTTCCATACGTCACATGCAGTGTCTTCATTCCTTGCATTATTTTGTATAATCAAATACATTAGATCACTGTCTGATTTAAATGAAAATGTCTATTGTTTTGAATTAGCCCACTGGATATTCTCATAGCTCCTAACATTCATAGCCAGGAGCTTCCCTGTGCTACCACTATTTATTGCTGAACTACAGCTTATCTGTGTCACTGAGGGGCGTTGAGACAGAAGTTTGTCCTCCGCTAATAAAGTCTTTCTTGGTGTTTTCTGTCTCCCCAGTGTGACATGCAGAAACTGACTGTGGATGAGCTTAAGAGACTGCTTTACGATACCTTCCGTGACCACCTCACCATGAAAGACATCGAGAACATCATCATGACAGAGGAGAGCCACCTGAACAGTCCTGAGTCCCATGTGGACATTGATAGTATGTCGCATGCAGGCAGGGACGTACTGGGACTGAAATTCAGCCCAGGACTTTAAGATGGAGAGGCCTTTTACGTGAGTGCCCTTGGAGCGCGAGCAGAAGGATTTTTGCAGTTATTTTAATTCTAATAGTGTTTTTGTGGTATAAAGAGAATCAGATTAAGCTGAAGACCTTAAAGAAACTTCAGGATGACACCTGCCTCCTCAGGTTGTACAAGCAAGTCACCACTGCACTGAACACAACCAGGTCAGCAAAACCTAATCTCGAACACAGAAGTCACAGTATACTGCTAACTACCAGCATGTCGGAGTGATAAAATAGTTACAAATACACACTCAGAATCTCAAAAACTACAATGCAGTCCCATAAAATAGAGATTTGTGTGTGTGTCCTCACTTTCAACCCTCCCTGGTTTAGCTTCCCCTATGCTGGACCCTGCCTCTCTCTGTACTGGTTGTACTCTGTGAGAAGAACATCACTCAGTTATAAATTTTATTAAAAATGACTAATTTTATCATTGGAAAGGAACATATATATATAATTCATCAAGCCATTAAAATATAGGCAATAGTGGCTAAGCTCCTTTTTTCTGTGTGATTGAACTTGGTACATAAACAAATGACTCTATTTTAATATATTTTCTATCTATGCACAATATGATTGCCTACCCAGCCCTGCACACTGCCCTGTACCTGTCACTGTTTTTGTACTGGTTCCATTCTCCTCCTCCTCCTGCTCTTCTTTCTCTTGCTGCTTTCCTTCCTCCTCGTTCTCCTCCTGCTCCTCCCCCTCCTCCTTCTCTTCCTCCTCATCAATGTGACTGCAATGGACCGGCCGTTCGGGATTGTTCCCGGTATTCCCGATTGCCAATCCGGAGCAGATTTTATTTCACATATTGTTTAGAAATTGTTCAAGCTCCGTTAAGACACTAAGATGCAGTGGTGGACAGTAACTAAGTAGCCTACATTTACTCAAGTACTGTACTTATGTACAAATTAGAGGTACTTGTCTTTTACTTGAGTATTTTCTTTTCTTGCTTCTTGTACTCCACTATATCTAAGAGGGAGATATTGTACTTTCATTACATTTATCTGACAGATTCAGTTTCTAGTTACTTTACAAAGTAAGATTTTTACACCCAAAACATATGAAGAGTTTAAAAAATATGATGTTTTGTTACAAATGAAACCACCCAACAGTTTATACATGTACAGGTTGTACATTAGCTGGTAGACAGAAATTTAAATTGGCAACTATATTGATGATTGTTTAAGTCATTTTTCATGTAAAATATTTCATAAATGTGAAGATTTGCTGCTTTTCCTTCTGATTATTTTAATAATTTTGAAGTTTGGACTGACAAAACAAGCAGATTGAAGGTGTCACTTTCTGCTCTGAGCAATTGTGACAACAGAACCTTTTAAACCGATTAATGTAGAAAATAATTAGTGGATTAATCCATAGTTAATCTTGCATGACACATGAGTAATAATAATCTAATGGTAAAATATATAATAGAAAAGTCACAGGGAACATTTTTATTTCTGCACTGAGTACTTTTACTTTAAGTCCATTTTGCTGATTAAACTAATTATACTTTTACTCAAGTAACATTTTCAATGTAGTACTTTTACTTGTAACAGAGTATTTTTACAGTGTGGTATTAGTAGCCTACTTCTACTTAAGTTAAGGATCTGAATACTTCATCCACCACTGCTTAGATGTGCTAATACTTTTTTTCTTTCCACAGCAAGCCCAACACAACAGGAAAAACACACGTGTGTGCGTAAAAGCCTGATTTGTGCCTTTGCCAGTGTTATGCTCATTGCAGCGAATCAAATGCTCCGCATTTCAAAATCAAAGGAAAGACAATGAAAAAGCAAACATTAACCAAAATACTTGACTTGTTTTTGGTTTTGTTCAATGTTTTCAACACCCACGGTGATGCTATCACAGCTTCTCTCTCTAATGGATGAAATGATGTCATCATAGTATATCATGGTAAAACAGAAATAATGAAAGAAAGACATGTCAAGGGCTGATTAGTATCCTAGAACCGTAGCATTTCATTGATTCAAATTTCTCATGTTTTCTAAGAAATAAGATAAGGAGCGCAGACTCTAGAAGACTTCAATTTGTCAGTGTACAGTATGTGCTGTAGTAATAGCTGTGCTGTGTCTAATATATAAAAAACAATTCATGTTGTTCATGAGAACTGTCATTCGGAAAGTACCCAATTATATACTGATGATAGTAATTAAGCAATACAAAAGTGTTGGTGAGCTACATATTAAGGAGTTTAAAATCACTCACTTAATCGTGAGGATAAATGACTGGGTAATGCATTATGTGTCTCTTAAGTCTCTGCTTATTCTAGTACCAAGTAACTCCCATCCTGTTTAATATACTTTGCTAAACCAGCATCTGTGATCTAAATCTTAACAAAAGAGTAGGCCCACTACTTCAAAACGCTAGACTGGACTACCAATGAACACTTGATGAATTCTTGACTTACAATCTGTATAGTATTTTGTAAGTATTTTGACAACTTGTTAGCCATGCCAGCGGCTCTAGGGATGGCAATGCCGCTCTGTCAGTCGGTCAATTTACCACTGAAATATCTCAACAGCTAGATATTCATTGTTCCCAGAGAATGAATCCTCCTGACTTTGCTGATATAGACTTTTCCTGTAAGGCCACCAGCTGATCAAAGTTTTCACTTAGCCAGTTAAATATTCTAACATCTACTGGAAGGATGACACTAAATGTGGTACAGGCATGGTCCTCAGAGGATGTATCCCAATCACTTTGGTGATCCCTTGATCACCAGGGGCAGCTGTAGCTCAGGAGGTAGAGCTGGTTGGCCGTTAATCGGAAGGTCAGTTGTTCAATCCCGGCTCCCCCAAGCTACATGTCGAAGTGGGCAAGATACTGAACCCCGAATTGCCCCTGGCGGCTGTTCCATCAATGTGTGAATGGTAAATGCAGATGTAGTGTAAAAGCGCTTTGAGTGGTCAAAAAGACTAGAAAGGCGCTACACAAGTACGGAGCATTTACATTTGATTTTTCTTCTAGCATCACCATAAGGTTGACTTTTGCTTCAAATGTTGTTTGGAATTTGCTTCAGACATGTAGGCCTACCCCTCAGGATCATTGTAATAACTTTGGTGATCCCCTGACTTTCCATCTAGCGTCATCATCAGGTTAATTTTTTTTATTTGTCTAGCACTTTGGATTATGAACAAATACCTGTAAAACCAAAAACATTCAGATCAACCTCAGCTGTACTTTTTCTTCCTTAGTGTTCCTCAGCAAATGTTAGCATGCTAGACTGCGAAACTGTGTCACAGTAAACACGATAAACATTATACCTGCTGAACATCAACAGGCTAGTATTATCACTGTGAAGGTGTTGCCATGCCAGCATCAGCATTTAGTTCATAGCACAGCTATGTCTAAGTAGAGCCCCTAGCGTGGCTGTAAACTCTTGGTCTTGTTAAAATATTGTGAAGTTACATACAGCTTTAGGACAACACGCAGAGGGTGTCATGAAATTATATCTGTGCACTGCTGTGTTACTTTTAGTAGATACTACAAATATTAACCCTTTAATATTTTGTCAAGCATCATGTTATTATCTAAGTCCCAGCTCAGCTCTAACTGAAGTAAAGGCACATGATATTTACAAGCAAACACATAAAAAGAACACTTCCCGGACACATTACATTTCCCGGATTTTACACCACACAACAGTGTAAAGTACAAAGAATCCAGCAATTGGAATAAAATGGTGAACAAGCACAGGAACACATAGGAAAGCACTGCTGAAAAGATGGATGGAAAAGAGAGGGATTGAATGACACATGGACACGGGGTTTGTTTTAAAACTCAGAGTGAGTCTCCTTGGCTGAGCAACTTGGGATTGTTTTGAACAACTGAACTAAAGTGAAGTGAGGAGTCAAGTCCACATAAAAGGCACAGATAGAAATCACAAAATCCCTTGAAGAAATATCAGACAAGAGTGTGCGCATGGGTATTTATGCAAATAACCCAGACTTCATGACAAATATTGATCTTTTGACCATCACATAACACATGTAAAACATGTTTCATACTCAGTCTGCCAGTGATACATGCACAATGTTGCTGCATATTTCAAATCTGTGCATCTATAACAGGCAGCAAAATTAGTTTAGTGGGTGAAAGACAACTGAGTTGCCCATATAACCTGAGCTACAAGCTGTGAATAAATTCAGTCATGACATGATTAAAGCTATAATACTTGCAGCAAATGAGAATGAAGCATATACGTAATTCACACAGCACACTTGCATGTACATCAAACTAGAAATAAATGTGCGTTCTATGAATGTCAGATCAATTTTTGAATTATGATAGATGTATTCAAATAATTATGCAATTTGTAAAGTGATCATTGCAAAAAAGAATCTCAGTATTTTCCTGTGAATTTTGGTGGACGTGCAGACGGTATCGAAATCCTAAATACTTTGCAGTATGCTGTGAACAGTAATTTAACATATCATAAAAAATGTAGTTTTCTGGCTTATACATGGCTTTTTGTTGTTTTCTGGCTTTTAGATGGAAAGTTTAAAGTATAACATGGTTATATTTTCTTACTTGGAAAAGTGATACATTAAATCTGTGATTTTATTGTGAATGTAAGCATTCTGTTTTGTATAAAACTAACACAAAAAATATACAACAAAAATATCAGATTTCTGATGTATGATTTCCAGGTTCCTGCAATGGACTGGCGACCTGTCCAGGGTGTACCCCGCCTTGCGCCCGATGTCAGCTGGGATTGGCTCCAGCCCCCCCGCGACTCTGTATGCAGGATAAGCGGTTGACGATGGATGGATGGATTTCCAGGTTTATTGGACATTCAGATACAAGCCCTTGTGTGTATTAATGCCATGCACTTACATTCACTTCTCTGATCTGTTAAGAATCATTTTTCAGAATTTTTTCTTTAACAAATATTTATCAAAGTTGACAAGTTTTGTTGTTGTTTTTCTGGTTACAAATTTGACAATCAGAGAGGATATGAATATAAAAAGAGCTGATCTCGGTGGAGATGTTTTTCAGGAAAAAAGTGAAAAGCTAAATTCACCACTCATTCAACAATTTCGGATAAGGAGGGGAGAACGGTCAGGATCTGTTGGTGCAATGGCCCTGATGGTGCAACGGCCCTGATGGTGCAACATGTTAAGCAAATATCGGTAACAGAACACAGCACACAGCCTGCAGAGAAGGAAAGACCTCTTCCTTGTGGCTATATAGTGGTGCACTTCATGTAGTAGCGCATAAACAACCAGGCTTTGGAATTAAGAATGAACAAAAGTAGGTAGTGAGCACAGCAGCGATGGACATGAAGTAGTTTCGATGTAAGAGGATTTAATCTGCAATAAGGAGATGTAATGTCTGTTTATGTCAAACTTATCTAGATGCCATTCGAGGGGCCAAATTAGTCAGAACAGGGATCCAAACAGGCTTCACGGTGCATGAAGAGATCCAAAGTTGCCTTAATGAACATGTGGACTATCGATTGTCTACAAGTAGACATTTAATAGATACAACATAATGCTACAGAGACAAAAGATTTATGTTACGTTACAAACAGGGTCCACCATGGATAAATCCACAAGCTCAGTACTTAAATATGACTGAAACTGAACTTCTTATGGCCTAACCCTAATTTTAAGAAGGTACCGAGTTTTCCTATAAACAAACAAAACGTATGTGTACATTCAGTGTTTCTCACTCCATCGTGTGCATCCTTGAGGTCTAACAAATATCAGCCTTGTTCACTGTCTTTGCAGTGGCACTGCTGGGTTTGTTAGCCTGTCACTACCAACAACTGTCAATAAGTGGAATAGCCTGCAATCAAGGCAGGTTGTACACGTCCCCATGCGTGTGTGCACAATAAAAACAAAACCCACATGTAAAAACATTGCTCTATTGTGCTAATAATGGTCAAAATACCACAGGGTACCTTTAAACTAGGCAAGAAGGTAGATTAAGTCCAATTAAATTCACAGACATCTTGTACTCAGGTGACCTGGCCGAGAAGCAGAATAAGAGTTCAACAAAATGAAACAAAACAGAAAGAAAGAAAACACATAAAGCAATCTGTCTAGTATTCTGCTTAAAACACTGCATTAGCTGTACAACAAATGTGGAAACAGTTCAGGGTACATCCATATCAGCAAAACCCCAGCTACAAGGGATAACCTAAAAAGCCAATGACAATTATAAATATATTAGTCACAAATCCAAGGGATCTGCCTGAGGCTCATTGACAAACCTGTATTAACTTTCCAACTATAAAAACTTTCATAATGACATTTAATCTAGATCATTAGTTTGCCATCTTTACTACTTCTGAAGTAAAATGGTGTTTCCCAGTGGCTGGGTTATAAATAAAAATTAGTCAGATCAGTGATTCTCCCCGTGACGCAGCACAGGATTAAAGTAAAACAAAAAATATTTCCATCTGCTCAGCACTCCGCCAATCCTTTTGGGACTAACATGACATCAAATGTAACTCCTTAGAGGGGTCTCACTGTAAAGGCCCTCTACTCCAGATTTGTGGAGCAATCAGCAACACAAATATTAGTTATGAGGTTTTTTGCATTGCCTGTTTAAAAATCCCAAATCTCAGATTTGCCTTACTGTGCTTTATGTAAATACAAACATTTATTCATTTAAATCAGCTACACGAAGTGAATCGTTCAACCCCATTCTGTGTCCACTTTGACTTTCCATCCTCCTGGAGGAGGAGGCAGAAGAGAGGGTGGAAGGTCAGGAATGGAGAGGAGCTGTTGAGGTACGTCACTTTCTGCTTGGCCATCTTCGCTGTCTCCCTTATCTTTTAGATCTCTGTTGAGATAAATAATTGAACAGTTGAATTCTAAATCAACAGAAATAACCATTAGCCATGCTAACCATGTATGACTGAAGTGTCATACACAAAAATGAACGTGCATACCCTTTGGTGCTGAGGGCAGTTCGCTTCTTTTCCCTTCTAGAGAGCCATTCTTCTATACTTCTCCCAGGCATAATTCTGTCTACAGCGTCCTCTCTGAGCTGTCTTTCATCTGAAAGAAATAAAATCTCACTGGAGTCAACATACAGCAGTTCACACAGTCAAAATGCACTTGATCATTTGTACTTTTGCATGCACGAGCAAGTGCTACCACAAGGTACATGGGCTGCTTAACTGTTTGTAAAGTTTGTTTTGAACCCACATCTGCAAAATTAAATTTGAGACATTAACAATCAGGACTGTGTTGCTCATGTATGACTGTTCACATCATTATTAAAGAATCAGTTAGATAATAATAACAATATTTATATTTGCAAATGCTCTGAGCATTGTGTGCATTAAATATGTGGCATATCGCTTTGGTGGTCTGTGATGTATTTTTTTTTTAAAGTTGCCAATGACATGGTAGACAGCACCACCATTTGGTTACAGCTTACCTTCCACCTGTCTTTTTAAGTTAAACAGATCCGCTTCAGACATGTGAGAAAACCTGCAGTTAGGGCCAAAATCACAAATTCCTAGAAAAAAAACAACAAAAACAAAAATAAAACATTATGAAAAAAAGATGGTTACAAAAAGGTATTTATTATAACTTGGTTAAAATTTAAGGTTAAACTGTTCCTTTACCTTTCTGGAGAAACTTCCTGCAGGGTTTCTTTGTTTGCTCATCATACAGAATGGCTGAAGAGTCTGTAAAATAAAAACAATTGCGTGTGCATGGTTGTTTATACAATCTTCCATCAAACAGGTGGGCAGCCAAGGTGGCATAATGAAGCATGCTTAACTCTACAATCACAATCTTATAAGTAGGACCGTAGGACAGTAGGAATTCTAGTGAATAGGATCACTGTCTAATTCAAAGAAAAACACACTAAAACATCATGTCATAAAAAAATAGCATGTAATTTGAGGTCTAAGGCCCAGCTGCAAGTCTCACCTCTAAAATGGTCATACCAGGCCTTTTTAGCTCTGTGATGCTGAACACCATTCAGATGTTTCTTCCTGTTATGCATGTTATCCTGAAAGGACCGGTCACAGTAGTCACAGTAGTATCTCTTCCCCATGGTGCAGGTAATGTGCTCAATCCAGCAAGATGTCACCTTTTAAAGCGCTGAAAGACAGTAAACAGAAATGCACCAAATCTACATAACTGCCTTGTCAACACCTGGTGAGTTCAGAGCTGTGTTAACTGAAATGGTTTGTGTATGAAACAACATTAACCAAGTGAGCATTGCCATGTCATGTATCAAATATGAATAAGCTTTCCTACAAAAACAAGAGTTTAGCCAGACTGTATAGCTACAAATGTTAATACATTTGTTGATTATTTTTCTAATCCATGAATTAATTAGGCTACGAAATGTAAATAGTCAAAAATGACAATCGTAATTTTCCAAAGCCCAGAACTACGTCTTCAAACTGTTGTGGTTTTGCCTGACCAGCAGTCAAAAATAGAGATATTTATTTTTGTTTACAGTGATCTAAAACAGAGAACAACAGCAAATCCTCACCGGAGCTGGACACAATCAGTTTTAAAGACACACACACACACAGTATGAAGTGCATAGCAGACCAAATGTATGCATAATAATGGTCCTAGTATTGATCTGTTTTGACATTTGAGACTTTTGAATCAGTGTAAGCTTGTTTACATTTACATAAAAGCAATCATGGTCAGTAATCATTTGTTTGTTTACTTGACGCTGTAAATGTCACACGTCATTACAGATTTGGCATAGGACTAAAAAAGGACATGGGCGTGGCACAAACTGGAACCAGCCTAATATCTACTACAGAACACCAAGAACATAAGCTATATCATAAACAAAGACAAGCAGTATTAATAACATTCTTGTGCTGCCATCTACGGGTTTAGTAACGGAGGTGCCTTGACTCTGCCTTGGTTTGTCTTCCTATACTACTGTGAGGATACAATCTTCGAAAAGTCTGAAGGTTCCGAGCTGTTTAGAATCACACTGAGCATGTAAACGCGCAGTTTGATGCTCTACAAATGCAACACGCCTAAATATTTGTCCCTGGCGTTGATAAATTTGGATAGTTAAGTTAGCTCACATGCTTACTGTCACACCACTGGTCGTTTGCTTTCAGTCACTGTGTAAGTTACATTGAATTTAAAACGACAAACCATTGGCGAACTAGAGCTGTCCTCCACTGTGATCCTTGCTTTGAAAGACCACGTACAGTATAAAGCTCACCGGTTTGAAAAAGACAAACAAATCGTCCTACTTCCTGATACTAGTTCCCCAAGTACGGTATCTTTGGAGGGTCCTCTAGAGCCCGTCGCATTCTTGGAGCGGAAGCGTATTATCTCAGCATCCGCTCCTGCGCACTGTCCCACCGACATGGCGCTGGCGAAGTCCGTCTACAATCTGCTCTTCAGGAGAACGTCCACTTTCGCTATAACCATCATGGTTGGAGCCGTTTTCTTTGAACGACTGTTCGACCAAGGCGGTGACGCGATTTTTGAACAAATGAATCGCGGGGTAAGTGCGTCCTTTGGTGTGTTAAACGTTGTTTTATCCTGACCTTGTAGGTAGAGGGCGAAGCGGCGCTAACGTTAACTCAGCTAAGCTAATAATGTTAGCGGTTAGCTTCTCCGTTAAGCTGAGCAGTCGTGTCCTTTTAAATCTAATGATACAACCTATGTGATTAAATGACACGCCTAACGTTTCTTAAAATTGATTTACTGTAGAAACTATGGAAACACATCAAGCACAACTACGAGAACAAAGAGGAGGAATAGGACGCTGTCCCGGGGTTACCTACTGCTGAAGTGCAACTGTTGTCACACTTCCTTCATCCATTCTCCCTGGACTCCGCACCTGAATCAAGCATCAGTCAACATGGACAATGTGCTCAAAGTCATGCCCAGGCTGGCAGCGGCTATCAGTGGACCTGTGGGAGCTGATTGACTGTCCAGACCACCATGAAGATAGAGCAATGGTTCCTGTCATCTCCTCCCATCCTGTTGTTGTTTGTAATGCCTTCGTTCTCCTCACAGATTGTAAATGGTTAAATTAAACATGTGGTAATGTCTTAGAGATCTCGCAATGTTTTGATTTCTCATATCCAAATGGCCATGTATGTCAGAGCATATTTATTATATTAGTTTTATTGTCAGTTTTCAGATGCATACACAAGTGCATTAGTGGCTTCATTTTACAAATCAAACAAGTAACGTTAACTTGGTAAAAGGACATAATGTAGGTATTTCTGGGAAAACTGATCATTTCCATTTGCTAATTGGATGTTTGGAAGCTTTTTCAAAATATACAATGGATCAGTACTTGCGTCCTTTTCACAGGGCAGCTGTTTGTGTTATAAGTTTTGCCATAACCTACTAATGTGTAAGAAATGCTCGAAGAGAAAATGTCATGGGATAGGCAGATGTCTATATCAATATAATTTAATTTTTATATAGCTGAAGTTGTGTTTTTCTACCACAAATTCATCCCCCCAGTTGTCACATTTATAACAGTGTTGTATACACACATGTACAAAAATTCCTGGACACATTATTTAAGGACTATTTCTAATGAAATGCATGAGCAATATTGTGAAAGTATTTACAAACTATGAGACAACTATTTTTGTACTACATACAAAATGTACCACATAAGTTTTATGTGTCAGGTTTTGGGTTTGACTTATTTTTGTGGAATTGACTCTTCATTAGATAGTTCAAGATGGAAAGTCAGAAAAGGTGGTAGATAGGGGACTTGAAACCCAAATGTTTCAGTGTAAAGCGCACAAGCAGCTGCTCTGTTGACAAGTCTTCCACATTACTACAAATATCAGTATAAGTGCACATATTATAAATAACACAAAAAACTTAACTGTGTTTACATAGCACATTTTAAGCAAGTTTATACAAAGCATATTTGCAACTGATAGAGTGCAAAGCTGGAAGATTTCAGAGTTATACAGTACCTAGTGTATTTTATGGTGAATGGTCTTTACTTCTATAGCGCCCTTCTAGTCTTCTGAGCACTCAAAGCAGTTTTACGCTGTCACACTAATGCACTGATGGCAGAGGATAAGGTGCCAACTGCTCATCAGAACGGAAATTAACATTCACGTGCTTTCTCACGCTGATGAAACAGCCAGCGGGAGCAATGTGGGTGTCAGTATCTTGCCCACGGATACTTACGCATGCAGACCGGTGGAGCCGGGGATTGAACCACAGACCTTCTGATAAGTGGACGACCACCCTTAATTTTGATGTACAAGCCTTCTTTACACTGTACTTCAGTCCTCTGCAGGGAAAGACTTTAGTGCATTCTAAAAAACATGCCTTATGTGCCACACATATTGAGATGAAATGATAATTAAATAGTTATACTTAACAGTAGGTAATGTTACCACAGTGACAAAATTGAATGGGTGGCAGTCTTTTTCTTCTTCTGGCTTTCCGGCAGACTAGATGCCTTATGGCATATTGCTGCCTCTCACAGTTCATTCTCAGTATCGTTTCATGGCATCACCATTTTCAGAGGGGTAATCCTGTTGCAGATAGTCCAAGTCCATGACTGCTTCCACTGTCGTCGATTGGTTCTCAGGAGGATTCAACATGTCTCTCAATGTCACTGTCTGTATTCCGGCTCCTGCTAGCGTAAAGTAAAGTTGATCCCTTTGCCTTTTGTACTGCTGACATTCCATAAACACATGTTTAACAGTCTGTTGTTGATTGCAGGTTCTACAGAGTCCATCCTCATGTTTGCCCATCTTTGCCAGATCCCATACAAGTCCACAGTGTCCCAGTCTTAGTCTTGTCATGATTACAGAATGTCTTCTGGTTTTTCCCAATTAGCACTGATCTGTCTTTACTTTTCTTTGTATTGAATAGTAGTGACGACCACTTGTTTCATTTTCCCACTCCCTCTGCCACACTGCTGTAATGTGTTCCTTAATCACATTACGACATTAAGAAACCCCAATACAAACTGCTAGATCATGTCTCTTTTCAAAGGCATTTTTGCTGCCCTGTCTACCACCTAATTCGCTTCCACCCCAACAATTGCAGGCACCCAAAGAAATCCCACTGACCCTCCAGCCTGTTCGATTCTGTGCAACAGAACCATCAGCTCTACAAACAGGTCTTGCCGTGCTCCCCAATTGCGTCCTCTCAGAGTTTTTAACACTGAAGCCGAATCGGAGCATAATACTGCTCTTCTTGGTTGAACTTCCTCCACCTATTGTAGTGCCCATACAATAGCTAGAAGTTCTGTTGTATACACCGATACCCTCTCAGACAGTCGCTTGAGCTTTACAATTTCATATTGTGGGATATAAAAAGCAAAACCTGACTTCCCAGTTTGTGGATCTTGGGATCCATCTGTATAGATCTGTAGATAAGACCCAATGATTTTCCAGTCTTTGTTTTACCATATGAGAATGCACAGTGCCTTCATGATGTTTTATGTTGTCTATTATACTGAAGTCTATTTCTGGTATGGGCAGCATCCACAGTGGTACAACTGACCAGTGAACTTGCGGGGCCAGCCCTACCTCCCCTAAGTCCCAGTTCCTCCACCTTTTTACTCATGTTAAATATAAAACATTCCTTCCTCCTTTTCCCTGACTCCCACTCCCATGCAATAAGTAGTACTGTTTTTGTAGGGTGTTGTCCTTTATGTGCCCATAGCTTAACAATATACTGCATTGCCAATTTCTCCCGTCGAATTGATAGTGGCATTTCCCCCATCTCTACCAGTAAAGCCAGGACTGGAGTTGTACGAAGGGCCCCGCAACATAGTCTCAGTGCCTTAGCCTGTATAACTTCCAGCCTTTTTAAGTGTGTTTCAGCTGCTGTCCCATAACATACACAACCATAATCCAGCCTAGACCTTACCATTGCCCTGTAGATCATTAGTTGAGTATCTCTGCCTGCACCCCATGTACTACCCGAGAGGGAACGCATTACATTTATCACTTTTTCACACTTGTTTACTACATTATTTATTTGCTTTTTCCAAGTTAGCGTCTCATCAAAGTGTACACCCAAGAATTTGAATTCTTTTAACCTCTCAATTGCTTGTTCATACAAAATAAACCACCACATTCAGTTTTCTTATTACCAAATATTATGTACTTTGACTTATTTACTGAGATCTTAAATCCCCACGTTTCACCCCAACTGGTTACCTTGTTCAGTGGTATCTGCATTCAGTTATTTGTTTGATATTCCTGCCCCTTTTCCAGATGGCCCCATCGTCTGCAAACAGAGGTTTTCCAAAATTATTCCCAATTCCTTCAAATATATCATTTATCATAATATTGAAAAGACCTGGACTTATTACACTTCCCTGAGGTGTTCCATTATCAATACCTGTGCCATCTGAAAATGCATTTGCAACCCTAACTTGGATGCTCCTGTCCTTCAAGAAATCCTGTATCAAGTTAATGATCTGCCCTCTTACTCCAGCCTCATAAAGTTTTGTCTTTCCACAGCATGTCATGCTACTGCTGTCTCTGCCCCTAGTTTTCCACAGTATCTTCTCCAGCACTCTTTTTTTGCAGTCTTAATCACTCTACGTGCCTTGGCTCGCAGTCTTTTAGACTCTACTGCTTTATCTTCTGTTGGATATTTCCTCAATGCTCTGTATCCACGATTTCTGTCTCTTACTGCTTTATCACTGTCCTTGTTCCACCGTGGTACACAAATTTTTCTTTTGAAGTACTTCTTTATCGGCATAGATTCATTTGCACTTCTCATGATCATCTCACACAAACTGTTGTTCCATTCCTCTACTGTCCCTTCCCCATTTACTTCCTCTATATTTTTGTTGCACCTTTCAGAAAACAATGCCCAATCTGCCTTACTATAGTTAAATAATTTTTGGTTGCCCTGTTCTTCACTCAGTATAGTCTTCCCAAACCTCAATAGTATTGGATAATGATCACTTCCTATTGTATATCTGTCCAAGCAATCCCACTCTCCAACTCTTGCTAGTTCACTGGATGCTAATGCTAAATCTATGTATGAGACATTTCCTGTTCTAATATCAAATCTAGTTGGCCTGCCATCATTTAAACAAACTAATCTCCATCTGTCCGTGTATTCCTCTATAGTGTTCCCATTAGTATCTTTTATTCTGCTACCCCAAAAACTCACTTAGATTTATTTGTTAGCATGGATTATAAAAGTTTACTATGTTAATCCACCTGTGCTGTCCCCATATTTCTTACTACAGCACATTCTAGTTTAGTCTTGATTTCTACTTGCTGGTACTGTACAGCTGATCTTATAAATGTTGCACACCCTCCCCCAGATTTTCCGTTTCAATCGTATCTGACACTTTCGTATCCAGGAATCAAAATCTAAACATGATTTAAGCCAGGTTTCCTGAATACATATCACCTGTGGTAAGTCTTTAAATTCATCTACAAATCTCTTAAATTCCTGCCCATTAGCCACCAAAGTCAGTGCATTCCATTGTAAGATGTAAAACTTCAGCAATTTAACTATCATCATTTACTTAGCTGTTTCTTTCCCCAGTACTCTCCTCACTTCTGTCTGTGTTCTTTCCTTTTCCCCTCCCTCTTTCATATACTTCCAGTTTCTGCCTCATATATTTGTGCAGCTCTTCAGGACCTAGACGCACCTCTTCCAGGAATCTCTCTGCAGCATCCACCACCACTTTGATAATGTCAGATCTTCTGGTCTGGTCCCTGACTGCCCACAGAACATCTACCATGAATGCCAGGAACGACTGGCTTCCCACGATCTGCCTTGCTTTCTCCTGGACTAGAGGGACATCAGAAGGTGCACCAGCTGCAATTTGCCAAGAGAGTTCACCTGTTCCTCTGACTTTCTTCAGGGCCTCTGCATATGACATTTTGCCCTCAACTCTCATTTTCTCAATTTCTACAGCTCTAACATGATGCTCACATCCCGTAAATGAAGATGTATGATTTCCACCACAGTTACAATACTTGACTATGTCAGCTTGACATAGTGTAGTCATGAGTATAGTCATGGCTTCCTCCTCACTTTCCACACCTTTTATTTACTCCGCACGCTGCTGCGACATGGCCATAGCGTTGACACTTGTAACAGCGCAGTGGGGGGCGAATGTATTGTCTCACTGGAAAGCTCATATATCCAAGACTGACTCTTGTTGGCATATTATCTTTCTTGAATGTTACTAGCACAGCGGTGCCAGATTCTTTGAATCTCTGTACTGCTTCAATCTCAGCTCCTTTTTAAATTCTTCAAGATGGTACTCTCTGCTATCTCAGGGCTTACGTATATTACTCCTTTAATATTTTTAGCTTGACCAGGTATGAAACAGGTATGAAACATTCTATAGGCCTGTTGAGCAGATGGCGAACTTTAAGGGCATTCAACGTCTGAGTATCGTTTCTGCAGAAAACAAGTATATTTCCATTCATCATCATTTTAACATTTAGAACTTTTCCCATTTTGTTTTTTAGCTCCTCTGACAGTCTGAGAGGGTTTAAGGCCTTGACACTCTTACCTTAAAATTTAATTATCAGCTTAAATCCATCCAAACCTTGACATTTTCCTCATGCTTTGGGAATCGTCACTTTCACTCCCATTGTCAGATTTATCTCTTCTTTCAGTTTGCCTGGGATTTTTATCATTATTACCCCCTCCCTCACTTGGCTTCCCTTTCAGGGGCATGGCCTAACCCCCGCCGGGTAGGCCTTTCTGCTGCTTCAAACAGATCTTAATCAGAGTTCTCACAGGGTATGCCAAACTCTGATGTTGTATAGGTCTACCAATCACCGTGTATGGTTGATTAGTCAGAAAAGTGAATCGCCCTCCAAACCTTACAACCCCGCCACGTCTGGGTCCGCCAGCACCGAGGTCTTTCGTCTTCTCTTCCGAGTTGTGTGGCCGTCACCGCAGTCTTGTCTTTGGAAAAATGTCAGGAATTACCTTAGATAGGTAGTTTAAAGAGGTAATCAACCATGTGCTTATGTTTAAATTGAGGTTAAAATGTACACAGAAAATGCATTTGCATACGTTAAACCACTATAACTGATACTGACCAAGACATCGTATGTAGACCATTAAGATGTGTCAGACATATGCGATGTTCATATTCATCTGACTGCAGTCCTTTTCATGTACCGACCAAATACCATTAAAAAAATTTAATACAAAAGACAAAAAAGTTTTAAAAAGCAAGACAACTAGGTACTCATATACGTACATTGCATACAACTGCATTGCATTGAACTGCATTTAACCCCCGGGCCGTTAGGGGTCATGCTAACACTACCGGTCCCATTAAGTAACTGTATTTTATCAACATTATTTCACTGATTGCTGTGGTTTGAATACTGCAGGCTCAAGAAAAAATAAATCACCAGGTCCACTACAACTATGTTATTTTATGTTCTCCCGAAACATACATATAACTTGGGCCAAAAACATTTGTGCTGCATTTGATGACCTATCAAATAAGCTTTGCTCAATATTGCTGAAACATTGACTATGTAAATCTTACCAGGGAGGGGAGTGTCAACAGCAGAATTTGAATAATTCAGGTACAAAAACATTGCAGATTTTTACTGTTCACACTTTCAGCCTGAACCCATTTTGTTTGAGTGTACACCCAAAGGGTTGGCATTTTTTAGTAGTGCAAAATTTTGAAATACAGCAAAATTTGAGAAGCAATTAACAGCCAAAAGAGAAGACGTATCTATGATAACTGTGAAACATCTGTAGGTCTATTTGGGAATGGTAAACTGGGGTATCTGGGAGATTCAGCTTCTATGTGACAAACCTGAATTAACAATATGGATGCATCATTGAAAAGAAAAGAAAATGTTCCAAAAATAAGAGGACAACATAGCTGTAAATGTCTTAATCCAAGTCAAATTGGATACAAAACAGTATCTTTAAACCAACCCCATAGTCTAGTAAGCCACACGCTAACGCCAAGGTCCGATAAGTATTGTATTTCAGGTGTGAGCATTTTTTGACAAACTGTCCTGAATTTGGGATCAATGTCTTTCTTTATGTTGTATCCCAGGATGGATGACTCTCCAAGCGGCTGCCAAGGCAGAAAATGTCTGTCCCGAATCTTTCGGGCTTCGACTGCACCTCCATCCTCAATACAGATGACCTTCATCTCAGCATTTCTTCTCTTTAGCTCTTTCACCTCCCGTTTCATTCTTTCTCTCCCAAACTCCTCTACCCTGGCCCAGAAGGTAGCATTAAAGTGCTGATAAAGTCTCCAGTCAGCCCCGTTCCACTGTAAAGCTTTGGCTCTCAACTCAGGGGTCAGTCGAGATATGGATGAGCTCTTGCGAGCATTTAGTTTAAAATACAGGATGTCCTCCATGGTCCAACAGAGTGTTTCCTTAAGCAGGATAAGAGACTCATCAAAATATTCTGCTATGAGAACCAGATCAAATTGTTTGGATAAGCTGTGAATATTCATCATTACAAGAGGATCATCAGCCTCCAGGTTGTTATCAAAACCAAAGTCAAAAAAGAGCAAATTTTTAAGATAGAATGAGTTGTACGCCTGTGGGCTGTAGAAGGACTGAGGATTGTTCAGAAACTTCACCACTTTGTTCCCTCCATCAATCCTCCATGTGAGAGGAACATCTCTCTGATAATAATGGAAGGATGACTCAAAGAGATCCACTGGGTTACGTAAGATGGTGAAGTACGCGGCATCTGGAGGCAGAACCTTGGCTACTTCCTGATGGTCAAAGCGCATGTGGTTACAAACTATGTTGAAACAGTCTCCAGGCCTGTAGTCCCTCACCTTGGAGCACAAGAAAGGCGATGGGTAGAAAAAGTCATTGCGCCCATCAGGGAAGGCAAATTTAAGCTTGTGCTTTTCTCCAAATCTGAAGAGGATGTTTAGTACGGTGCTACTAGCAGTTTTATGGGTCTTCATGAACATGAGGTTCACTCTGGGGGAACACTCTTCTGACTGGGAATTTGTGCTTTGAGAAGGCATGCTCAAATTTTTCTTCAATGGTCTGCCTTTACTGAGAGGACACGTGTCTTCCTGGGAGCCCCTGTAAATAAAAATATATGGATATTGGTAATAACGTTATTGCAGACACAGGTCCATAACATACAGTACACAATACAAGGAAATACATAAATAGAAAATGCATACATAAAAATTCCATATTAGCCTAGGATATACAGACTACTTCACCAATGTCGTCTTAACCTAGAAGTGTATCTATAACAGCTTTTCAGAGGACTGACTAGGGATTCAATTATATGATTCTCTGACTTGTCCAGGCGACACATAAAACTAAACATCAGTTGTCTTAAGAGTGCCTCCCAAGTTGGCACTCTAGTAGATACAAAACAATTGACTAGCACTATGCCACCTAGGGACATGAAGCAGCAGCCTCATTGCATCATTATATGCTACCATAAGCCTCTGCATACTCTTTTTCTTATAGTTAGACCACAACTGAGCAGTATATAGCGGTGTAATGTAGGTCCTAAACAGAGAGCACTTCACACGGTCAGAACACATGGAAAACCTCCTTATAAGCACATTAGCTTGAGAATAGATTTTACAGCGCTGACGGTATAGGTCTTTGTCATCCGTCCAGTCATTAGATATGACATGAGCTAAATATTTAACTTCCTCACACACAGCAAGAGGGCTATCTGACAAATAAAAGGTCGGGAAAGTTGAATTCCTGTCCTCATCGCTTCTAACTATCATTATGTGACTTTTCTTAGAGTTATACTTTATGTCATAATCAAGGCCATACTGAGAGCACACCTTCATCATCTGCTGCAGCCCAGCACTATATGGACATAGCAGGACCAGGTCGTCTGCATACATAAGATGATTAACAACAGTGTTGCCCACAAGACAGCCAGTTTTTAACCTATTTAGCTGGTCTGATAATTCATCCATATAAACATTAAATAAAATCGGAGACATAATTCCTCCTTGTCGCACTCCATTACTCTCATGGAAGGGAGCAGATTGTTCCATTTAACCAAAAACGTTTGATGGGCATACCAAAACACTAAAATTCTCACTAAAAATTTAGGGGCACCTCTATCTAGCAGTTTTACAAACAAACGCTCATGATTAATTCTATCAAATGCCTTGACATGCAAACAGATTCAACTGACTTAGCGCAATAGAAATAGTGCTTTTCTTTGTACATCTTTACCTTATCTTCAATTGGATTGGTTTTGTCAAGCAGTACAGCACCAGCATGAAGTTGATCAATGAAACCCAGAGAAACAGCCTTCGTATTGCACGTCTGTACTTCTTTCCTTTGATGTCAGACATCATTAATACCCAAACGGGAACCTGAAAATTACATTAAAGAGCACAAACAGGTGTAATGCCCTGCAGAGATTCTTACACACAAACTAACTCATCCCTTAATACACTTATTATGTATTGATGGAAAGCCCAAGCCTGGTCTATTAACCTTACATGTAACCTGGTGTTTATCATTGCTAAAAAGAAGATCTCTATGATAACTGTAAACATGAAATGGGAAAGCTAGACATAATACAGATGAGCAAGAAACTGCTGCATCACCTTTTCTGTCAAATAAAACACAGAGCCCTGTGTTTATACTATAAACATGTTTATGGTGCTTATAATGCCTTTACAACAGGCAGACATGGAAGGACAAAAGATCCACAAACATCACAGTTTACAGCTTAGGTACTAGTAGCTTCCAACAGAATACTGCTCATGAAAATGTCTAAAGATCAAACCCAGTTTCAAGCTCTGACACTGGACAAATGCTTCCTCTTTATACAAGCAAGCAAGTGATGATGTGATATGAAAATGTGTGTCCCTTTGTAGATCAGTTCTACTAATCTTTTACATTGATAGTTATCTATGTGGTCCATTAGCTTAACAATAGCTTAACAACTCTGTAGACCCATTATACTAAAAAAAAAACTTTTGATAGTCAAAAGAACCAGAGTATAAATGACATGGTAAATCAAAGACTAAATCAAAGAAAAATATGTGTGGAACAAATACAAGTAAAGAGACTTTATTTACCTGAAGATGACAGCATTAGCAGTGCGAGAGTGAAGCTTTTCTATCTATAAATCCACTTTTGTTCAGCTTGCTGTACACTCTGAAGCCATATCTCATTGGTAGTGAGAACTGAAAGAAAGTCAGATTTGAATGCTCCTCTGGGACATACTGTATTAGTTTATGAATTACACTACTGTTCAGTGGCACAACTCTACGTAACTGTTCCAGCAGATTGTAGAGTGACAAATAAGCTGATAAAACTACACTTAAGCAATTTGGCAACTTTTTGTATTCCGAATTGGTACATAAGATGTGTTAAATTGAACCGACTGCATTCAAATTTGTAGTAAGGTATACTTAAATTTGTAGGCTAAAAACAAACTTTACTCTTGGGCATGAAAAATCGATCTGCAGTGTTGGCATAACCAAGGTACTTTGAGCATGATCAAATACTGTGCTACATTTTGCCTTATTTTATCAAATGTAGTAGCCTATTTTTTATCAGCATTGCTTCGCACAGTCACTCCGGTAAACCAGATACATTTACATAAATTCGAGGTACTTTGAGTATTTCCAATTTTATGCAACTTTATACTTCTACTCCACTTCATTTCAGAGGGAATTATTGTACTATTTTCTCGACTACATTTGTCTGACAGCTTAAGTCACTAGTTACTTTTTTAATTTTCAGTGAAAACCATGCATAGCCTATCCAAATTTTTTGAAAAAAGCATAGTCACAAAGCTAAAAACAGAGCTGTTTTATTGAGATCATGAAAAGTTGACTTTTTAGAGATAGGCTACATGGTTTGGTTCACACATAGGCTCTAATTATCTTAGAATATGATGCATTACTAAAGATTAAACTACCCAACAGTTTAAAATGAAATTAACACAACCTTACAGAACTACAGCAGTGAAATGCAACATAGACATTAATGACTGCGGTAACGCGAGCCGCCGAATGCGAAACCGTGGTCAGGCCAGCCGCCGTCTGATTTCTGTTGCGCCTAAAGCAGTGTTATTATGGTAAGAACGAGGTGAGAGTGAGCCGAAGGTCCTGAAAGATACATACGTATTTTTTTGTGATGCTCTTAGTGATTATATGAGCACAAATACATACAACATAAATATAATAATATTACTAATAACAATAATGATAATAGTAGTACAATTTATTATTATTTGTTATTGATGCAAATACAAAAGGTACCTTTTCTTTATAATTATATGAAATTTGACCTTTCACCAGCATAATTCCTCAGCAGTTAGTTCAGCATTGTCATGGCTTCTCCTTACTAGTGTCCTCTACTATCACTGGTACAAATATCAGAAGGTTTTACTGTACGAGCTATGAGATATTCCACTCTAAAAATTCCTCCAACAGCGAAAATTCAACAGACAATTATAATTTCTGTGAACATTGATCTTTTACCAGAGGTGGGACCAAGTCACCGTTTTACAAGTCCAAGTCAAGTCTCAAGTCTTAGCGCTCAAATCGTAGTATCATTTCTCCAATTTTTTATAATATATATACCAGTTATAGTAGAGGACACTATGAAGCAGAAGATATGAAATAGGTGGTGTCACCCAGGGCTGTTAAATAAGAGAGTTACGACACTCTTTGATCTCGTCACGTGGTTCATGTAGCTCTCCATAGTTCCAAATGACTCAGCGCTGTCAACCAGTTTGAATGGGTTTAGGCGGGACGGACACCAGAAGCAGCTATATTTACAGCAATTATCGGTAAATATTAACAAAATATGATTCTCATTACTGAGTTGACACTTACATTACATACATAGACACAGATTTAATCAGTTTTTCTGTTTAATTTTGGAAGGAAAAGGGGCTGTTCCCATAAGGTAACATTACACATTTACAGCAGCGACTTAATTTGCAGCAATTTTCGGTCAATATTAATGCATAATGTGCATTGATTACTATGTTGACTACACTTATAGTTAGTGTATTCTATCCTGGGAGTGATGGACAGACAGCATTCACAGTGTGGTCTGTTGAAATGTAACTAGAGAGATGGTTACTGAATGAATTAACTACACTCCTAAATACAATCCATAACATTACTGTTAACTGGGGATTCATTTCAGTATGGCTAATGTACCCTTTCACCCTTCCCCAGACATAGGCTAAACTATTAAACAGAACACAGACACATTTTGACTGATCAGTCCACACCGGCTGCTGCCTGGGAGAGACCTTGCTTATGCAGTAGCTCTACCTTATGTCTGGCTGCTGTGCTTTCTCTTGCCAGTAAACTGTCTTCTCTTACCTTGTAAACTGAGTTAGGCTGTTTCACTCAATCATCCTGTTTCCACCTACATATTGTATGTATGATCATTAGCACCTGTTTTGTTTGTTTAATCACCTGATGATATGCCTTACAAAATCCACAAGTTCCACCAAACTTAAATTTTGTTTTATAACTAATAACATGTCCATTTTTAACTTACTGTATACTATGTGTATTGACAAATTGTATTTTGATTCTTTGGAAACACTGTTCTTGAAACCTTCATGCCAATAAAGCCCTTTAAATTTAATTACATTTTTTTAATATTGGAGAGAAGGGGGGCTGCTCCCATAAGGTATAATACATTACAGTATGGATATATTTTTTTCTCATGCTTCTATTGTCATAATTACTGAAATTCTTATGTTATGTTAAGACACATTCACATACACATGCACAACAAGTAAATATCAATGAATGCCAGAAGCTGTTTAGTTTAAGTCAAGAAAGAAGTTTTGGTAAATAGTGCAAAACATACAAGGTTTTCCTTGAATGTGATGTCTGACAGACATTTCTGCAAGCTCCATCAGCCTGGTCATCGTTCCACTCTCCGCTCAGAATCAGTCCTGCTGAAAACAAACAAAACAACAACAACACACACATATAGTTGATTTTGGACGGCTTTGCAAATTAAATCTCAGCTGAAACTTGAGGCTTTATCTAGGTATAGATATATCAGGTGTTCCTATACATGAAACAAACACCTATTCATACATTCCTTTACACACAAGGGACTGTTAGATTAAAGTTTAATGTGTCACCAGCAGTGTACATGCTACATTCATCATAATTCTGAATCACTACAGTATCACGTTTTTACCTTTATTAGTCACAGGGAGCCATTAACATGAGGAGTTGTGTGCAAAATAAATCATTGTATTCTATCTAACAGATGTCCAAAATATGACCTTGGTCATCATATGCCACTGATCTTATCACCCGTCACCGATGCACTGTCTAACAAACATTGTGTGTAATGACTGAATTAACCAAGGAACAACCTTGCTAGATACAAGCAAGCCATGTTATCTAGCTGAGATAATAGCTAACTTACCGTTCATCGTAATCACAGGTAACGTACAGCAGCAACTAAGTGCTGCTATACTGAGTTACAACAAATCTAATAACCAAAGATAAACGATGTATGCTAACTAACTAATAACTTTACATTTGAGGTAAATATTGGCAAACTGACATCTTGGTATGGCAACGTTAGCTGGTTAAGTGTTAACGTTACTCACGTTAACGTTAGCTAGCTTCAATTATATAATCTAACAGTTAATATCTTCCGATAAACCTTGACTAAAGCTGGTGACATAAAATACCACTATTGACTAGATTCATGAGAGGACAGATAATGAGTTAAAATGTCAACAAATGCAGTAATTTCATCAACTTACCAGGCAGCGTACTTCAGAAACACTGAAATGAACGGGGCTCAGCGCTGGAACTATTCAGTGTTTGGAACTATCGGCTGCCCCATGAAGCGTGTTACGTCCACATTCCACAGTTCCAACAGAAGTTAATGGGAGTGTCGTAACTCTCTTATTTAACGGCCCTGGTGTCACCTATTAAGGAACTATTTTGGTCAAAGGTCAAAGTTCACAGAAATGTTAAATGTCTATTTAGTGTTCGCTGTCGGAGGGGTTTTTAGAGTGTAATTTCTCCAAGTTAGTACAGTAAAATGTTCTGATATATGTACCAGTGATAGTAGTAGACAGTATGAAGCAGAAGATATGAAATTGGTGGTGTCACCTATTAAGGACCTATTTTGGTAAAGCTCAAAGTTCACAGAAAATGTTAACATGTTCACATTTTACTGTTGGGGTTTTTAGAGTGCAATATCTCATAGGTGGTATAGTAAAACCTTATGATATTTGTACCAGTGATAGTAGAGGACACTAGGAAGGAGAAGCCATGACGACGCTGAACTAACTGCTGAGGATCCAACGAAGGTTAAAATGAAGGGCAACTGGACTTGGTTGAAGCTACTGGAAGACGTTTCGTCCCTTATCCAAAGGACTTCTTCAGTTCTGACTGACTGGCAGGGAAACTCAGCTATTAACCTCAGTGGGGTCGTTATCTCGGGTCATCAATACCGCTGGTTCGTTAGTGTTCCTTGTTGCTGTGACGACAGTCGTTACAGTCGTTGAGACTACCTGTGGCCAAGACTGAACGACCATCGTTGGTATCTTCACCTGAGGCCAATAGGTTACGTTTGTTGAGTTTCCTGGGAAGTGATGAAAGGACAGCATTGTAAGTGGGGGATAAGTGGTGGCGTAGACCCCCTCCCCTGTTCAATGACAGTCTTGGCCTTCAACCAAGTCCAGTTGCCCTTCATTTTAACCTTCGTTGGATAACTATGACCTGGATGACTGAGAATCTTCATAGACAACTGCTGAGGAATTACCCTGGGGAAAGGTCAAATTTCATATAAATTATGTTCACAAAATAACAAAAGAAAAGGTAGATTTTGTATTTGCATTAATAACAAATAATAAATTATACTACTATTATCATTATTGTTATTAGTAATATTATTATATTTCTGTTGAATGTTTTTGTATTCATATAATCACTAAGAGCGTCACAAAAAAACGCGTATGTATCTTTCAGGACCTTCGGCTCACTCTCACCTCGTTCTTACCATAATAACACTGCTTTAGGCGCAACAGAAATCAGACGTCGGCTGGCTTGACCACGGTTTCGCATTCGGCGGCTCGCGTTACCGCAGTCATTGATGCATCAGTAATATTTAAAGAAACACTAATAGGCTTACGTTAAGCTAATAAAAATAGGGTAAGAATAAAACACTGACGGGGGTATTTTTTTGCTAGGCTAAATTTCTGAATGCTGGACTTTAACTTGATGGTGGAGTAACGTTAGGCTAATCTCAGTAAGGTATTGATACTGAATCTGAATTTACTAATTAAGTTTGCCAGAATGATCCTGCTACTATGAGGAGCGCTCAAGCTTAGCTGATCCCGCCCAGAAATAAAACGTGTTGGTCGTTTTGTTTAAACAGCTGAAAAGGACCTTACCTCTAACGTTAATCCAAAACCAGGAGATAGTGAGCCGTTTTCACATCGCTCCAGAAAGTACAGGTATGGTGATGGATGCGTAACTTTAGCCGATTTAATATCAACACAGGAGAGAAAGTCCCGCCTCCCGCCACCTGCCTGTCACTGTGTAACCACCCCAAAAAATGCTCTATGGGTATTGCACCGATGTCCAAAACTTCCAAACCAGAAGTGTCTTCGTTTGGCTACATTTGACCAGCCGCCGCAGCGCTTTAGAGAACGCAGGTAAACGGGAACTGATGAGGGTGTTTTTTCTTCTGTCTTTGTTTTTTTGTTTTTTTATGAGAACCTGTTGGTCCAGTTCTCCGACCCAGGTCAAAAAGAAGTGCTCTTAAAGGCACTGAAAATATACTTGAAATTGACATAGTATGCTTATAGTACATTCATACTTCTAACATGCTTACTACAAGTATATTAAAGATATATATTCTCCTGAGCTTTAACATACTTCTCAAAAGTATACTTTGAATAAATTGGTAATAAATATATACTTAATTAAACTTTTAATAAATATACTTAAATAAAAGTATATTTTTTTACAACATTTTAGTCTATTTATTAAAAATATATTTATCTAACTCTTAGTAAATACTATTTAGGTGTACTTTGTGGAAGTACATTGTTAAACAATTACACTTTTAGTGGGTTAAAAATATATTTATGCCAAACATGCTTCATTGTGTAGGCTACTGCAAAATATTGTAATTATTTATGTAATTGCCACATGTTTCAGCGTGATTTCCAGAAGTATTATTATTATTATTTCTTTTTTTTTTCATTTCTTTTCTTTCATTTAATTTTTTTTAATCAGGTAAACAGCTAGTTGAGACCAGAGACCTCTTTCATAAGGGTAACCTGGTCTAGAAGGAAGCAGCACATGTTGTTAACAAACAACAACATACAGAAATAAGCATACTTTAAATCATAATGTAGTTATACTTGTTTCTGTATGTAAACAGTAAACACATGTGTACGGAGGGGCGAAGTGTGCCCTGCCGCACAGCCCACTGAATTTGACCAATCAGAATCAAGGTTTTCAAATCGACGACCCAATCACACAACGTGAAAATCCGCTTCACGAAAGTTAACGTGTGTACTGTCGTTGTGAGAGGGAAGCTATTTCTGGCCAGAAATCATTTTGTTTCTCAGGTTTCGTTTGTTTTACTTTACAGACTCGGACTTGGAGACAGGCACAGACATAATAAGAAAAGAACACAGAAGAGAAGAATATCAGCTCCCTGCAGAAGTTAAATGTGAAAAGAGGTAAAGAGGCGTGACTGCCAAGTACAAGAAGGAGAGGACAGACGCAGATACTGCCAGCAAAAATCGTCTTTCTTGGTAAGTTTATTATTGTTAGCAAGACAACACAATTGTGTAAGTTAACTAAAGTAGAGCTCACTCTGGGTTTGGAAATATTTTCCTTGGTGGATAGCTCTGGTGTGCATTAGCTAATGCTAGCACGTGGATTAATATATTTGTTAGCTAACGTTAGTTAGCATTTTAATAGCTTCATAATCGAGACAGTGACTTTCGTCTGCCCTAAACAGTGTTGGGAGTAACGCGTTACAAAAGTAACCCAATTAACGTTACAGTAATGTATTGCTTTTTGCTGTAAGGCAGTTTTTAATGTTACTAAAATTTCGGGAGCAATCAACAATCTCAGTAACCTGTTGCTGGAATTTTATGCATGAGATTTTAACAAGGCAGGCCTGTGCATGTGTGTGTATGAGCCCTCAATTCTGCTTTTGCACTGTTAAAATGACCAGTGAGGTCTTTATCAAGGTAATCAATGCAACTAATATGTTGCTATCTGTGTGCTAAAAAATAGGTTCACATTTTTATAGTCTCCCTTAATACTCACATGTCTGTGTTTATAGTAAGTTATTGGTCACTGTAATTATTATTCCTGCCCATATAGTCTGTAAAGACATCACTACAGTTGTCATTTTTGTATAAATTCATTCTGAAGCTACTATGAAAAAGTGGACATCTTCTAAACGTACTCTGTTTTTTAGAGATTTCACTTCTTTTTTTTTTTTTTTTTTTTTTTTCTTTTTTTAAACCTGTCCTGCCCAGCAGCCTGGTATAGAGTATAATGACCTGGATACCATATTGTGCCAGACAGATTTTACTTTAACAAGAGAGTATTAAAATACTCCTTTGTCTGTTTTATTATTTATTTAATTATGTATTGATTTGTCACCGGGCCGGACAGGTGGGCAGACACGGGGATGGGGGGGCACAAACAGACAGCACAGAGAAAGGACAACACCTGCAAGAGAAGGGGGAAAGGGGGATGGAGGGTGGGGACAACAGGGAAAAGCTGTGGGAAACACCAATTGCAGAAAGCAACGAAACCTGCAAGAGAACAGAGAGGGGGGCTTGGGGAGGAGAAAAACAACAACAAACAAACACAAACAAAAAAAAACAATAAAAATAATAATAATAGTAAAAGAAAACCAGCCGAACAGCAGCAATAAACAGCTGACATATTAATGACATATTAAGACAACTAAGAGAACAATGAAAACAAGAAACAGTCACACACACTAAATAAGCAACACAACACAGCCACGAGAGCTGGAATAATAATTAATTTAAATAAGTAACTGAAAGAAAGGCATCAGGAATAATTCTACCAGGGACAACCTAAGTTTGTTTGTGTCTGTGTGTGTCTGTGTGCGTGTGGGTGAATGTGTCTGTATGTGTGTGTATGTACATGTGTGTGCGCATAAGCCTGTTAAAGAATGTAGTTGTTAGAGAGAGTGGGACGCCACGACTGTAACAGGCAGGCAAGAACCCCAGTAGCCAATAGGGGTGGAAGAAAGAAAAAGAATAAATCAAATCAAAAAAAAACAAAGACTCCCAGATGCACCGCGATGCAAACGCAGAAGACTCCGACCCAAATGCCAGTTGACAACGTAATGCCGACGGAACGCAAAAGAGGAAGAGCAGCGCCCGGACCGACCGCGGCGCAGACACAACATAGACCAGTGGCCTCCCCCATCCAGCACCCCACCGCCGCGCAGCAAACAACCACAATGCCCAAATGCCACGCAATCATCAACACCAATGCACAAGTGACGAGCCCAACGCGCACACTGCGCGAGCACGGCGACACCCATGCCCAGCAGCCCCCCGCGAATCCCGCGTGCGAGGTCGGGCAAATGAGAGAGAGCAAACGGAACAACACGACAGCGAAAGCCAGCGGAGAGAGACACCAGCAGCAAGTCCCAGCCCGGCAGCAAACGCGCCACACAGGTCACCGTGCACCCGCCAATAAAAGTCCACCGTCCCCCCAACTGCCGGAAAAAACTAAGGCCGCCGGCGCCAGCCGACATCCCCCATGCCCAGCGCGCCCCCCGGCCGCCATGCAACACCAGCCAAACCAGCAACGAGGCAAAATCAACTAGCTCAGCTGCATGCCACCAACAACCCACCCATCCATCAAGGGCCGAGAACTCCAGGCACAAACCCAGAACAAACCGGAGCACAGCCCTGCCCTGCACCCACACTGCACATCCCGAAAACTAACTATATACCTCAGTATCCAGAGGGGTCCAACAACTGGCCGACAGAGAAATGGGCAAGCACGGATCCGAGGCCAACGAAGCAAAACAGGAACTTTAGAATGGGCAGCTGACTTTCGCCGATTTGATAGGCTAGTCTAATATGAGATGCAGGCGACTGCTCGGGCGGGGTATGAAAACAGCGCCGTCAGACACAGTCTACCTCCGGTATGCTGCGTGAGCTTAGAACAATGATTAGGCAGAAGGTGGTTGCAACTTTGTGCAGCCAGAGAAAAACAACCACGTACGCCAGACTCGGCGCCTGCCACCGCCTTGCTCCCGCGAGGTAATGTTATGTCATGGTGATGTGACATCTTGGTGACATTTTTCAGCGCCGGGTGATGTGACGAATTCTGCCTGCCTGCCAAGAATTAGATGCACCTCGCGTGTGGTAACCGGTGGTAATGCCCTTTTATGCTGAGAAAAGAGGTGGACGCAAATCTCGGCAGGTAAATTAGCCTACATCATCTGTTCTGCCAAATTATGCATCCACCTGTATAGGACCTTTTAAGACACTTTGCTGTGCTCATTGATCAACTGCGGTTATCACCACATATTTATTGCTAAATATCTAACAACTGTTGTTAATTAATTAGAGGTAATATTGTTTTGATATAGACAATATATTTCCTTTTCCCTTCCACAGATGCTGTGTGATAAAGCAGTTTCCAAATCCCATAGTGTCTGCAGTCACGGAAAATGCAACGAGTCCTACTCAAAGATAACCGACCCTCCACTCCAAGGATAAGGATTGTGACATTTTTCAGTTTCAGTTTGGTTCCACCATTTGTACTGTAAGCTTGTGACGGAGTACCTTCACTACAGTTGAGTAAGCGCTTGGACTGCCATACCAACGAGCCTGGCTCTTTCGCTTTGCTGTCAAAATTGCATGTTTGGTACCCTGCAGACCTGTGTTTGAATCTGGGCAGGGTGACTGCTCTCGCCTTTGGCTGCATATGGTGTCAGAAGTGGGATGGCTTGCCTTGAGGTCATCTGAGCCAGGTCCAGAGTCCGAACCGTGTGAGGGACGACCATGGGTAACATTAATGATGGGATGTGTATAGTGTACTTTTTTTAGTAATACTGATCATATGTCATCATTTTACTGATTTTATTTTTATTTGAAGATATTTTGGTAAAGATGTACATGCTGCTGTACCTTTTGTACAGGAATTTATTTTTGTAATGTACACAAAATTAAAGTTTTTTAGTTGTCTGTATGTGTGTGTGATTTTTATTATTATGCTAAAAGGGCATTTTGCAAGATATTTTTAATGCATTAATAATGCATTATTCTCATACTGAATGGTTTCATAAAGCAGCTTCCCAAGATATTAATAGTGGCTCTTGGAGTATACTAGTAATAAATTACTAATATGCTGAAATGCTAATAAAATGTTCAGGGAACACATTTAAAATATATTTAAACTGTTCTTCAAGTATAGTACAAAAGGGTATTTTAAGTTAAATTTAAAAAAGTATATTTAAATTACAGTAAAGGTACTTAAAATAGGTCCATTTTAACACATCTAAGTATATTAAAATATATTGCAATTATCTTAAAGTTGACTTAAGTATTTCTAAAATGATACTGAACATACTTTAAGTTGTTCCAAAATAACACATTTAATATACACTTAGTATAGTACAATTAAAATATGATGCATCCAAAAAAGGTGCTACTTAAGTATATTTCTTTTTCACTTAGGGAACCCCGGTTATAAAGTTCTTTGCATAAGTTTCGTGTCCTGAATGTGTAACATTATGTGAGATTTAAAATTAATGTAGTATTTAGAATGTGTATGTGTGGCCAAATAATATCATGTGTGTAGCCTACAGAGCATTTAAAAATACCAGCAACTAAGAGAACTGAGACAGAATGAGACAAAACTTAAGGAGAACGTGAATAAATAAACTAAACAATGTGATAGCCATAATTAAAATCACAATTCAAACTAATAACCTATTATGGACAATGATAGTGCAACAACAATGCACATAATGTGAAGCCTCATTACTCATCATAATGATGAGTGGCTTAGTTATTGTTATTGACGCCAGGCAATATCAGAAAGGATAACAAAATGTCACAACCTAAGATCACGGTTTCATCTAACCAAGGTGCTAAAGCAAGGGCTGCCAGCAGGCAGAAACTGGAGTTTGTATAACTTAGAGGAAGCAACAGACTGTCTTCAAAAGCTGTCAGTAATGATGTGTAGTCTTTTTCAAAGTTTTCAAACTACGTAGGTCGTTCCCAACGAAATTACTTAACATATTTGCAGCTCAGTGTTGTTTAAGTAAACATCAACAAAGGCAACAAGAGTGAACAATAACACAAAAAACTGGTTTCTTTTTACATTAACTGTAGCCTATTTTATTATGTTCAATCACAGTAACATACATTTTTCAATTGTACAAAATATGATTTATACCAAATACAAAATTATGTGGGGAAAAAAACATCAAAGGAACAGCACACAAATAAAACCCATTTTTTTACTCAAAATATGCCTGCGTTACTAGGTTAACAGACTTTATAATACACTGCGGTTCATTCCAAGGAGGCAACCCAATCCGTTGTGTATTGTTAAAATTATGCAACTGATATTGGAACTAAATGTACTTAAATCTAGGGTAGGCATCTCCTCCCTTCTGGGCTCCCTCCAAAGCCACAAAGCCACTCACCCAAAACATATTTGCATGTGCAGTGAGCATGCAGGCAGTAGTGCACACAGGTACGCAGAACTATGATTTTTAGTTTCTATATCCCAGTATTTCCAGTTCTAAAAAAAAACATTTCAATTTAAAAACACATTCAAAGGCAGCATTTAATCCTAACAGTTCTATTTTTTTCTGTTCATCTTCATTGCAGTAAATTAATAACATGCTAAAACAATTTAAAATGCCTTAGGAAGAGTGTGCAGTAAAAACAAAACAATGTGCTATTGCTGACTACTTCCTGTTAATCTTCGTAATCATAAGGCACTTTTGAGTGACAGGGAGATGGCTTTGACGTTGACCAAAACATATTGTATTTTAACTTTACAAAAAGCACAGGACATACAAATATACAAGTAAGACACCTTTGGTAAACGTATTCACAATATACTTTTTGCAGCCTTTTTTTGCTTAAGTGTTTTTTTGTTGAGTGGACACTGAGGATTACCATGGCCTATTTTTGTGTTAAATAAACATATTCCGATTTAGAGATAAATATAAATCATCATTTCTTAAAGGACCAGCACATGTATCTCTGTATTATTATGGCAATGCTTTAGACACTGCTTTATTAAATATATTGCTAAAAGAAAAATAAATCTCGATCATAAACCATTCTACACTTAAAGGACCAGTGTGTAGGATATCTTGGCATCTAGTGGTGAGGTTGCAGATGGCTGAATACCCCTCGCCTCACCTTCCCATTGTCTTGCAAACATGTAGGAGCACATACAGTGGCTGCGAAACTCTCTAGAGTCAGTGTTTGGTTTGTCCGTTCTGAAAAACTGCAAAACGGTTGCCCATACTGCGTAGCCTTACAAGCCAAAAAAGGACCTTCATCTCCCTACAAAAAGCAGTTACCAGGTAGTGGTAATATAAGGACAGTGGAATGCTTACTGCTGCAGTTAGTATGTTATGGTTCTGTGACTCAGTAAACAGGTGTGTAGAAAATCTGACCACCCAGCAACCTGCGCTTCAGCTCCTTCCACAGCAGGCTACGCTCTCTCTGGGATCCCTTCATGAAGCCACGGTTCTCTTGAGCACGACGAGAAAGATAAGGAATGACTTCGTTGACCGGGCCATACGGAACGTACTTGTAGACTGGAAAACCTGCTTGACCTGTTTTCAACAGAGAGAAAGGAGACACATTTTATCAGCGTCCACTCTCTCCACCTTGTGTGCATTTCATGTCATGACTTTAGCAGAGAAACAGCCAGAGTAAGAACTGGAGTTGTTTGCTCCCAAGATATCTCTAGATCATATAGACCATTTGTAAGGTCACTGGCTGCCGGAGTGCTTGCTGATGTGTGTATAGACTATGTTTCAGTGGTATCCCTATGGTCACATGGTTGTGTGATGTAAGCCTCTGTGATTCCATAACTTTTACTATCTGATCTGAGCTAAGCTGAGCACAACGTACCTAGCGGGAAGCTGATCTGATCACACATTCCAAGCAGCTGTCCAAAGTAAACCTTATTCTCAGTGGGTGAGAGGCCCATGGCATTCATCCTGAAAAGTAAACCCACATATGTTAAAGGGCTGTTACATAACAACAGCTGGAGTGTGGTATTCAACAATTCCGTTGAAAGCAATTTCCTTCGGTAAATCCTATAAGAGCTTTGGAAAGTTGACAAAGAATAGGTTTCAGTTAGAGAAATGTGATAGGCATTCGTTTAAACCATTAAGATTGATCCTTCATGAATGAGAGGTTTTAAGGCTATCATGTATGGTCACACTAAATCTGCACTTATTGCATGTCAAGTTTTCCACCGTCTATGAATTTTTCATGCAGGCCTGAAACCAAACTTACTTTTCAAGGGTAAATTTTACTGTGTCCTCATTGTGAGTTGCAACCATGATATTTGGTTTCCTGCTGTGTTTGATCTCCTCCAGCAAATACTCCAAACACCTGGAAAAACAACAAGGCAGATGATTAAGATTTAGACATTTTCTAGCAGAACCACAAAGGGCGTTGATGATATTTCAACACTTACTTATGATACATCCTGTTAGTGGCCTCATAGTCCGGGTTTATCGGGTCTTCGTAGCCAATCTCTTTGGCCCTGTCTCTCTCTTGGTACATGTAGGCGCCACGAACCAATTTGGCACCAAAGTACCAGCCTTCCCGTCGTGACACCTCAACGTCCACAATTACATTGCCATAGGCTTCCTAAGAGTATTAAAAAACACCAAAGGATATCACTAAATTCAAACCATCCTTGCAGAAACAAGATGTGGTCAAACTCATGAGTGAGCAGAATCCGACACACAGAGTCCGGGAGACACAACGGGAGACAGCTTTACACAACATACTGGAAACTCATGTAAACTCCCACTGCAGCATTACAGTAACATTTGTATCAGCTTGAGATTCAACTAATCCATGCTCGCTGCATGTTAATGTTACATTGACCGCAATTAGCAGACATGATACGCTGATGTTATGTATCTTTCACCAGAGAGGCTCAGCAATGTAGTATATTTGCATAGCCAAATTTATTGGATAACTAAAACAGTTAGTGAGCTAGACTGGATGTTATAAATGAGACTTTTGCCACTCTTCATAACAGTTGTGATTTATACTTTTGTGTTGAGTCTACGACGTACCCTACAGCGTCAGCTATGGTCACCATGTGGTAGCCATGCATTTAATACTAGTGCGTCAGTGTCTGCATCATTCTGCAATTACACTGCCAAACACTAGTTGGCAGTAGCACTACAGCGTCCACTGTGTCGACTGTTTTAGCCCTCCGCTAATGTGAATAGGGGTAAAATTATATACGTGCGGCTGTTACTTTTCAACTGATATCGACCTCATGGATCACAGTCTGATAGTGAAACAAGTCATTTCGCTCGGGTTGTGACGCCCAAATATATTGATCCAACGTGTTACAACCGCTGGTTTGGCCGCTAGTAAAAGTTACTTCAAAGTTCAATTTAAGACTTTTAAGACCTTTTTAATACCACCTAGGATGAAATTTAATGCCAACTTCACTGCCGTATAATAGAAAATCTGTATGAATTTTAAGCCCGAGAAAATTATTATTTACGAGGTTACCTGAATTTAATAAAACATTTTATTATAATACTTACATTCATATTTAATACACTATAGCTTTTGGGGTGTGTTTGTACTAAAACATAAAATGAACCAAGGACCTCACTTTGTGCTGAAAAGTGGTGGGGACATAGGGGTTCAGATTAGCGGTGTGATGATACACTTAACTCGCATGCATGATTCACAATATTGGGTTCACAAGAACAAGACAAAAATATATATTTTTATATATAACACTACTACCAGAGGGTCCTCCCCTAGAAAACATTGAGCATTTTACACTTAATTTCCTGCATTCTGAAGACTTTTTCTGTACCAATTTATTGTAGAATTGTCTTTATTTCAATAAACTGAAACATAAAATTCAAGTGACAATTCAAAAAAAAAATAGTGCAGTAATCAGCAGCTTGTTTTTTTAACTTAAGTTACTTTTTTTGTTTCTTCTTTATTTACATTGCATTGCCTGTTTTCTTATTGTGCAAATAAACCTTTTTCAAAGCATGTTCATGTGTTTTTTTAACATTTCTTGTTGCAAGCCATTTTTCAAAACATATTAAACAAAAAAAAAGGTGATGGAAACATGTCCCTAGCGTCCCCAGAGTAAATTAATACAATATTTGTGGCACTAAGAACTCTTAGTGGCCACCAAAGCGTTTTTTTCTGACGCCAGCTCTTTTTTCAATTCATTGCAATGGGAGTGCCGCATTTTTGCAAGCTGGTAAAAACGCCAGGCACTGAGTGTTTTTTTCCAGTCACCAAGAGTTGAAAAATGTTCAACTTCGGGGAAAACGTTACGCTCGTCACTGTCACTTTTTGCTCAGCTGTCCAATCACAGTACAGGAGGGGCGGGACAAATACTACACCGTAGCAACGGTTACTATCCTGGAACCGGGCTTCGTCGAACCTCAGCTCTTGGACCAAACGGTGGTACTCGCCAAGATCTTTCCTCGCCCACAAAATCTCATGAACCCACATATGGCAAGTCCGTCCTCTCTCTCTACAGCTTCAGCCTTCTCTTCATACAGAGCAAGGGCCAGAGCAAGTGCTCTACTCTGTGTAGACATTTTTACATCCAGTGAAGTTAGGTAGAACCAGAGCCCTTTAAAGAGAGAGTCGCGTCATCTCCGTTCACTCCAATGGACCAGTTTTTCACAGCAATGGCGGATCATGGAGCATCTGAATAGTTCATAGTAAGGTTGGCTAAAAAATGTCCACAAGGTAGGTGATTGTAGCTGTTATTGTCAAAAATATATGTCCTCCTTTTTAAAAAATAGTAATGTAACCACATACACGTGTCACTGCTGTGCAAATATTGTAAATCAACGCATTTATTGTATAAATGACCAGAAATCGCTTAAAATCGCTGTTTTGTCGTCTCTCTCGGTCATTTCGAATTGCCCGCCTAGGACTTCCTGGAACTATCTGCGTTCTCCATGAACCACGTGACGATGTAGCATTTTGGACCCCCGCTGACGCGACTCTCTTTAAAGGGCTCTGGGTAGAACTACTTGCAACCACTTGCAACAAAAGTATCATAGCAACCAAAGCAGGTGGGAAAAACGCCTGCTAGCGCTCCCTGCTGTGCGTTTTCAGAAGAGCAGCTGGCGTTTTCAGCTGGCAAAAAACGCTTTGGTGGACACAGGCCCATAATGAGATTGACTCGCACGCTGATCCGCCTGTTGTGCTAACCTCAGCGTCATTGCCCTCAGCTTCATCCCCTACCTTGTCTGTATCTCTGACCTTCTGAACTTCAGACACTTGCCCATTCTAAGTCGACCAGCTAATGTTAGGTTATTAGTAGCACTTAAGAGATGTTTTGTTTTACCCAATAACTGGCTGATTCGCGCCAGAGCTGGATGCCAGAGCTGGATGCCAGAGCTGGATGCCAGAGCTGGATGCCAGAGCTCGTGCACCGCGCACTCCACAGTCCAGAGCGTAAAGCACTGACGTAAACAGTAACGTTACCTACTGCTGTTGTTCTGACGATATATGCTGCCTTGTCGAAAGATGCTACCGTAGCACAAATTGATAGCAGACCGCGTTGTCACACCAAACGGAGTAAATTGTAAAGTCACACACGCAAAAAGTATTTATGACGCTACGGCATTTATTTAATCCTATGAAAGGACAAGAAAAAAATTTAAGATCTTTGTAAATGAAATTTGATACATTTTTAATGAAATTTAATACTTTTAAGGCCTTATTTTTAGAATATGAAATTTAAGACTAATACTTTTAAGACACTGCGGGTACCCAGTTCAAAGCACCAGCCACTTCCTGTCGGCTAGGAGGCGCTGCTAGGCTACCCAGCCAACCAATCACAGTTGTTACTGTCCGCGTCACCCTGACGTGTCCTTACATTTTGGAGGAGGTGCAGGTTATGCTATGGCGTAAGCTACTGCGTAAGGTACGGGGCTATGCGTAGGTTATGCCGTTGATTCAATGCAGAAGTATGAATCACACTTTAGACTGTAATAAGTTCTGTTACTGTACTGTATGGGTCTTCCACTGTGGTGTTGACCTGCGGCGTTATGTTGTATTATTGTCTGTTATGTGGGTACCTTTGTTACAGCGACTGAGACAATGAAGAAGCTGTGTACCTGAGTGACTAAACATAGCCCCTTTAAAACATGACATTTCAGGAGCCATCTGTGATGTCTTCATATAATGTGTTGTACAGCTTCACTGACAGGAGCTTGCTATTGTACACATATACAATATCTGTTTAGGCATTTCTATCCATATGGTACAGTTAGTAGCAACAAAGAAACTCAATGTTACAAAATGTACCAACAGTATTGACAAAAAGATAATTTTGGTTTCACAGTTCACACAAACGGGAAAGGATTTGTAGATTTAAATAATCAATCAAACTGGTCATGATTAGCTGTAATGAGGCAACTGGTCTCACCTTGAGGTAACATTGATAAGTGTTGAAAATGATTGGCTTGTCTCTGTTGAATTTCCTCTGCATTTCAAGGGTCAGTCGACTAATAGCCGGTTGGAAGTATGTCTGCTCGGCGTCTACCATTAGCCTGACCCCATTCTCCATGGCATGCTAGGACACACAAACAAAGAGTATTTACAGCTTACATGGCTCTATAAGTGACACTCACCATTAAAGTGCAAGACAGTCACTCAGCAAACACCAAAAGATTTCTGTATTGCTTCTTAAAATCATTTCCTAAATGCACAATGATTTGATCGCCTTACCTTGGCCAGAACGTCCATTCTCTGGAGCATTCTCTTCATCTGACTCTCCTCCTCCTCTGTAAACTTGTTCAACAAGGGTTCCAGCTGGCCCGCCTGCACAACAAACACAAAACATCCAATTGTTTGGCATTTGCTTTCAAAGCCTTTTGTAATCAGGATTAACCCCCAAACTATATTATGTGATAGGCAGGCAGAGGTTGCTCTGCCATTTTGTGTTGAGTTTCTTAACTGCTCTCAATAGCATTGGCTAAATTAACATGCACACTAAAACTCGACTTATACCAACACTGCAGAAATGTAAAGGACATTTTGCTTCGTTTCCCACATATAGACTTTACTTAGGCGGGCCGCCCAGGTATATTAAAGGCTACCAAAGTATATTTGGTGACCCATTTTAGCATTCTGCTGATAAACACAGAGAGAGATGTTATCTGTCATTATGTTACAAAAACGCAGACAAGGTGGAAATTTTTGAAGCAAGGACCAGGTAAAGCAACAGTGAACTGTGAACACATCAGTGCAGATGTCATTCAATTGGCAGAGCTGCTGGAAAAAAGGAATTGCGGGTGGAAAACTCCAAAAGAGGAGTTCTGTGCTTCTCTGCGACTTTATCGAATAAACTGCTGATGGAGAAAGTCAGCAGGGCAAACACGTACAGGTAGATACAAACAGAAAGAGGCCAAGTAAGTAAGTGTTTGCAGTAAGAGACCAGAGGTGTGGGAGTGTGGGCAAATAAGTACCGAAGGGGAAAGCAAGGTGAGCAGAAGTAGTGAGTGAACTCTAAAATAAGCTGGAGAATGTCATGAAAGTCATTCTGTGGGAAACACTGAAATGATACGTTTTCACCTCATCAGAACATACTGTATGTTTACTTGTGGGAAGAAGATATGATATTGCGCCAGCAGGTTATTCTCTTGAGGGAAGAAATTAAATTCCTTGTACCAACAAGACTCTTATCCACTTTACATTATGGTAATGATGTAATGACTGATGAGAAAACAAAAATAGTTGTCTTGCCTACATCTACTTTATACTCATTTATCCGTTTAAGAAACCATTAACAGTATGATTACATGTATCTGTAAAATGTAGAGATCTGAAATGTAATCTATTAGAAGTATGTTGGATTTTCCACCTTTAAAACTGAAAAATAATCACCATAAGAAATGGGTTTCTGCTATCAAATGCTGTATCATGCTCTTTTGAAGATTATATTACGGCCTAGTGTTTATTGCAAAGCTCACAGTGTACAGATAAGTTAAAAGATAACCAGACTTATTTAAAACAAGGGCCACTTACATGGGTAACACTTACTGAGCTCCCACAGACCCTTCCCACCACTAAATAGATGCATGACAAGGACTCACCTCAAGGTTTGGCACCATGAGCAGATTGGAGATTTTTGTTTTATCGTTTATCAAACCGTTCCAGTCCAGCAGATCTATCGTTCTGACAATAAGATGTAAAAAATGTGTATTAAAATGTGAAATTTTAGTGAAAATATTTTAAATTCAGTGCCTTATTCGCAGTTGCTACTGATTTAAGAGGGATTCAAGAACTTCAGCCCAGAGGCTCTATTGTATTTATGTATATACAGAGTACAAAAATATTGCATGTGAAGTATTTGTTGTTATCATTGCATTGATGAGTAACTGTCTTACCCTGGCAAACCCAGCTTCTTTCCAGTAAACCATTTCTCAATGTCATCCTTAGTTCCAACACCCAGCTTAATCAAACTTTCCTACAAAAAAAATATTTCAATGATTAAAAACACATATTGCTGAATTTAATGTTATCAAAAGCACATGCCACTTAAAGTCACAAATGCTCTAACACAAAGAACATTTTAGAAACAACTAAAACAGGATTTGGCACACCAGTCATGGATAAGCATGTGTGAACCTGCATTGGACACACCTTGAGTTGGCCCAGCTCAAGTTTTTGTTCCAAAACCATCATTTCAGACTTTCCCTGTTGTGCCGCCAGGAAGTTAAAAAAACGTCTCCATTTAACCAGGACTTCTGAGAACTGGAGCTGTTCAAACACAGGACAATGCATCAATGAGCAAATGATCATTTTGTGTGAGTCATAGTGTGATGGGGTTAGCTGGACACCTCAGTATTTTATTCACAGAAAATCACACCACTCCTCACTCACTGTCAGTTGGCATGATCGTTTTCATGTTAGGACAGTGTGACACTGAGGTGTGAGTCCATATACCTTTTCCTGCGACGCTCAATTCTGGATGCTTTTTTAGAATTTCAGTGATAACACTGAAAGCAACTTCTGGGGTTTGTACACTGTAACATGAATCTATGATCATAACTAATCAATTGGTATTGACCAAAAACATAAAGATATGTTTTATTGTACCAATACTTTGTAAAGGTGATCTTGTGCCAATACACATTTGTTAGTGTTACATATGGCAGCACTGTTGTTGTGAATCAATGCACACCTTTATGTAAATTCTGTAATATGAACTTTTAGTTCATATTAGTGACATTAACTTACAAGGAACTGTGGGCGCCCGAGAGCAGTCAGTTTGATGGCAGAAAATCCATCTGCAGAGGCTCCCCCTGAAATTGATAACACATTTTATGTTGCTGGATGTTGTATAACTCTCCACCCATTTTATTTGGTGTAATTCAAGTCTATTTATGTTGCGACTGTGCTGTGGGTTTTTTTTGTATTTGTATAGCCATTATAATAAACAAACTCTAGTTAACACGTTATGCTTCTTAATTGCTTCCTCATTAACAATACTGCTTACCAGATGCCTTAATACAGTTTATGAATGTTTCCATTTGCTTGTCACACTTGGACTCATCTGCATAGAAGTAGGTACGAGCACTAATAACCCCTCCACGCCTGTCCCCGAACTGACGATGGGCTTTGTACTTCTTCTCACGGTGATCAGAATCTGGAGTGAAAAGAAAGTAACATTAGCTGCTTGACATGGAAAAAGATATTTTCATTACAAACTTAAACCTTTTTTTCTCCCCACAGAGTTTTTGTATTTTGAAATACTATTATTAAAAAAAGCTGACTGAACCTTAAATGTCTCGATCACATCTGTATCAATGAGATAATTCAAGACAATATATTCAGAAATTACACTAAAAACAATATTATCATAAACAATATTAGCAAGTTATTAAAAGCAGTTTTCTCCTAGTTCTACAACTGGACTCATATTTCAATCCTACAAGCTTTTGTTTTGAGTAATGTACACTTATTATTTATCAGATTATTTATGTCAGAATGAATGTATCACAAACAAAAACTATTTATGGAAACTTTCCCACTTTTTCCCCCCACATTTGCTATTTGTAGAGTTGGCATCTGATCTTTTAATCTGAAATTTCAGTGTAAATTTGTAATAACCACAGAAAGCACTAGGCAGGTGAAAGATATACTTGGATTTTAAACATCAACCCTGTAACATGAACCAAGCTCTCACTGTAGACACTGGACAGGACATTTCAGACCGCACTATATCCAGATAAAACCAGTACTGGCCAGGCTAGAACACATGGCCACATGACTAAACATACCAACCCTGATACTCGTGTTGCATTCAGGCCAAGCTGAAGCAACTGAATTTCAAAGCAAACCAGGAGTTCAGCCTTGCATTTATTTGCCTAAATTGTATTTAAATGTTTTTTTTATATTTCCCTATTGTTGCTTTCATGTAAAGTACTTTGAATTGTCTTCTCGTTGAAATGTGCAATACAAATAAACTTGCCTTGCCTGCTAACTGTTCAGGAGTGCTTTACACAATGAAGAATCCAGTAGCTGGTAATACAACACATTTGGAAACTGAACAGCTAAACTACATGACATCAAAAGTTATTTTTAATTGAGACAAACCTGGACTCTCTTTCTCTGCTTCAGAAACACATGAACTGCAAAAGAAGAAAGCACTGGCATCAGAAGATCTACCTAAAATTAGGGCTGCACGATTTGGAGAAAAAGTTATATTGCGATTATTGTTGACAATATTGCGATTGCGATTATAATGGAACAAATGGAACTAAGAGTATACTTACTTAATTATAAAGGAAAATGCACAAAATAATGACATTTTGAAATGTGTTTTTCTCAACTTGAACAAAGTTAAACAATAAACAATATTTAAAACAATAACTAGTAAAACAGTACAAGGGGACTGTTTTGCTCTATGGAGAAGGCAGTTAGAAGTAGCAAATATTGGCACACGGGCACCGGCTCATTTACATGTGTCTACTGCAGAGTCTCTATCCACAACCTGGAGGAATTGTACATGAGTGTATTAAATAGAGTGTAATGCTTAGTTAATAGCATACTGTTAGTATAACAATAATATATTAAATACTACATACATTAAACTTTCATACAGGCCTAATAGTATACTTATTTACCACTATTTGAATATTAAATCCGGTCACAGATGTTTCATTTCTGTGGGGTCATTAAATCCTTGTGCAAGCAAAAGGCTCTACATTGTTCTCTGTTAATTGCTAATGCTAAGTACTAACTTGTCAATAATCGTATTGTTCAACATTTAATGATTTGCTGTAGCACTTTTTTAACGCCCCGCCCTATCCAGCCTGTGATTGGTCGGTTTATGAAAAAGTGACTGACAAGCACCTCAGCTCTATGAAAAGTTGAACAACTAAAGATACAGCTAATGTTAAGCCAGCGAGCCAAACCCAAACCTTCCTTTTCTTCTCCAAGTTTTCTTCTGTCTCACTGCTTCAGCTGCTGCCGACGTCTCTCTGTCTCTGTCACAGAGCGACCGAAGCACCGACTATGTTTCAATTGTAACAATTAGCGGGTAGGCGGGGTTACGATAGGTTGTTGACTTAAGTTGCTCGCACACTGTTCTAAATAATTTTTCTCATTGCACTGTAGGCTTATCTTTTTTTAGGGGCACATGCGAGAGCCTGGTGTGGACGGAGATAATGAGCAGACTGCAGTGCACAGAGAAGAGAGTGTCTCACACACTTTTCCTGTTTTATGAAATCGCACACTTTTTGCGGTTATCTAATCGAATGCGAGGACATCACGATTGCGATTAGATTAATCGTGCAGCCCTACCTAAAAAGGTTTACTTTTATATACAACAAATGAAAAGGACATTATAGCTTAGATATTTTCTCTCAGTTTTATGACTTCTGTCACTTGCATTGCTTCACATGAGTTAATTATCCAGACAGTATGCCAAAGTTAACACAAGAAGTTCTAAAGATATTTCTACTGCGATCTAAGAAGACTTTGTTGAAGTTTGAAAGAAACAAAAAAGGAAAGACAAATGTTTTTCTTTCATTTCAACCTTTTGATGCAGTTATGATGATAACTGCCTTTTCTAGGGCGTGCCGTGACATGAGAAACATATCAGGGAACAAGCAGAACTACTGTGTTGTCTTCATAGAGTTATCAGTATTTTCCGTTCTGTTAATTTAATTAAGATTTCCTGGACAAAAATGTGTTTGGATTTAGTGTGTGTGTATGTTCGTGCTTAGTGAGATAATCCCCAGTTTGAAAAAAAAGCTTATTGCCTCAGAACATTGCACAACTCTTCTGTGAGTGTGTGCCAGTCTGCCACATGAAATGGATCCAAGACGTTACTGAAAGGCTGGCAGCCCTTTAATGAATACATCCCCTGGCTGAATAACAAGCTCAACCAATCAGAGGAGAGGGGTCTATCCTTACCGACCAATAGAAGACAGGCACTGTTATGCTACTAGAGATGTAATAAAAACACATTCAGTTTTGATTACAGTTTGTTTATGTGGATGAACCATACTGTGGATTACATAACTCATGTAATATTTTATTTTACTGTAATAGAATAATTGCTCCTCTGCTCCCATAGAACCATGCATGGAGAGGGGGCGGGGTTGCCTCTTCCAGTTCATTCCAATTGTGTTTTTTAAGAGTCTTAAGAGCACAGACTGATCTTGTTATGGAACATGTGATACTGGGCTACAGTGCAAACACCTGACTCAACAAACCTTTTGAGTTTAGTATGTCTGAATGCAGATGAGTCATATTAAAGTTATGAAATACTGATTAAATGTGCATGGATTAAAGCTTCAGTACAAAACATTTCATACTACAGTACCTGAACCACAAACCTTACTGAGAAAGTAACCTGCATTCTAGTTTTTCCTAAATGGTTCAGTCAGATGTAAATATGACTTACTCCATTTCCTTCTTCTCTGCCTCCTCTTGTGTCAAGTCCTCTTCAACACTATAGTCCAATACTGCCCCCACACCAAAAGCCTGATTCTTCTGAATCAAAGGTTTGATGGAGTTGTGGTCCTCCCCTGCCACAAACTGACCATAGAAGGTCATCTTCATCAGCTTCTCAAACATCCACTGACCAAACAACTTCTTACTCAGGACCATCAACTGAAAATAAAACATGGACAATAAGCTAACAACAGCCTACAATAATATTCATAAAATAACAATAATAGCGCTGAATGTTAGTTGCTTGGCCAAACGCCTAAGCATTACCCAGTTATACATACATACATATCATTTTCAATCAACTCACCTCTTTGTTCTTTTCAACAAGGACGTCAATTGTACAGAGCTTGAACACCAGCAGACTTCGCAGCAGTTCAATGTTACCTTTGCTTTTGTAGGCCTCCTCGGTGTTGTCGAAGTCAATATGGATTTTATTTAACTGCGTGTTTGTAACATGTGTGGTCTGGTTGATGACCTCAGCCGGCACAGCTTCCACCACGATGCACTCTTGCTGATCCTTCTCTTCTTGGCTCTTGGTGGATGCCACTGTCGCCCGACATCTTCTAGGTGCCTTGTGTATGTTGTTGACATTCACAGTGTTTGCCCTAAAAAGAGCTGCAACAAACTTAGTGTATAACATGGCTTCCTTCGCTTTCAGAGCAGCCCGCAAACCACGAGCCACCACAACCTTCCTCACCTTGCTGTGCAGTTGCTGAGATGCTGCGCAGCGCGCGCTGTTCACATTTTTAGTCATCTCGCGCTGGGGGGCGGTGCCTCGCATGTTACATCACGCGACCTGGTATCACGTGGACAGCACACACACGGCGGTAAATGCGCGTTCTCGCCAACACGCGCTTAACCTCAAAGGCCCTTACAAAACAAAGTGAGATTGCAGCTTCATTTAAAAAAATTAAGAAAAAATTTTAAGGCTCCTTTCACTCCAATAGCTGTCTTCCAAATAAATAAATAAATTCTTAACAAACATATTTGGCATGTTTGGAAACTTTGGGATCCCTACAAAACATTTTAAATAATAAAAAGGATTGGCCGCACAGCATTAGGTGCAAGCTAATGCTGTGCGGCCAAGCTCAACAGTGCACACTGATGTCATCCCAATGTGGTTAAGTGTCTGGTATGTCCATTAAGTAAGGTATTTTTGTTGTTTTATACCTCCTACAAGACTCTTCAATAAAATAAAATAAAATGCAACACCACAACATGGCCTGAGACAATAATGAGCATTACATTTTTTTATGTTTAATATCTATTACAGGGCTAATTGCATTGGATGGCATTATGTTTTTGTTTAACCTTTATTTAGCCAGGAAGTCCCATTGAGATTCAGAATCTCTTTTACAAGAGAGACCTAACTAAATTGTATGTGTAGGTATCCATGGTGTTTCACCGTATGCTTGCATAGCTGTTTGTAGCTGTTTGTTTATACGAATGTAACAATGTAATAATTACAATAAAATATTCCTGTAAGTTTCTACTACACTGAACAAAATTATAAACGCAACATTTTTGTTTTTGCCCCCATTCAACATGAGCTGAAGTCAAAGATCTAAGACTTTCTTTATGTACACAAAAGGCCTATTTCTCTCAAATATTGTTCACAAATCTGTCAAAATCTGTGTTAGTGAGCACTTCTCCTTTGCGGAGATAATCCATCCACCTCACAGGTGTGGCATATCAAGATGTTGATCAGACAGCATGGGTATTGCACAGGTGTGCCGTAACAGGTGTGCCACAATAAGAGGCCACAGTGTTGTAATTGCCATTATGAATCGTGTGTTTCTGTAGTCTGTTTTTCCCGTGCCCCTGTAACACAGACCTTTGACCCCCTATGGCCCCCCTCTGAACGAAAAGTCTACAATAATCATAGTTATATATCTTCCTTGTGACGATATGGCGCTGATGTGAATGGCGGAACAAATGTGTCTCAACTAGTTGGATCCTTTAGTACGTTACACCGCCACTGTACAGTGTCATGCCAAGGCAGTTATCCCTGATAGAGAGGGCCTTTCCGAAACTGCTTGCTACTCCCTCTCCCTACCTACTTCCACTCCGTTTGCACGTTCATGCGGAGGGTCTGCCACATTGAGTGCCAGCCGAAACCAGTGAGGGCGGAGTGGTAGTGCCGAGTTTTGCCTGCCTGCTGAGAATTGCATGCACTTCCAAATACTGCTTTTAAACGCCATAATATTCTTTGTGGGGTCCATCAGTGGTGCTAACTTTCGAAGTATATATTTTATGAATGTTTAGAGTCTTTAATATTTTAATACACTTAGTAGAAGTACCATTCCTTGACATTCAGTAAATATATGTGGTGATAACACCGTTCGATCAATGAGCACAGCAAAGTGTCTGAAAAGGACCTAAAGAGGTGGATGCATTATTCGGCAGAAGAAATTTTGTAGGCTACCAGCCGAGATTTGCATCCACCTCTTTTCTCAGCATAAATGACCGTTTTCACCCGCGAGATGCATGCAATTCTTGGCAGGCAGGCAGAATTTGGCACAACACCGGCTTGTTGAAGGTGTTTAACACCTCGTGCCGCACGATCACATCAGAAGGAGCTTTAATGCTGAGTAGTGTTTTACACATACGAGGAATTTGCTATGGTGATAAGGTGCTACACATAGACAAACATACAGTCGACATAAATAAATGTAGAGATAAATAAATATGGAATAGGAGAACAACGCTGCAGATATACACGTGCATTATTCTGGGTCTGAACCGAGATACTTGCTGCAGATGGGTAGAAGCTGTTTTTGTGGTGAGAGGTTTTGGTCCTGATGGACCGCAGCCTCCTACCAGAGGGGAGAGTCTGAAGTTTGTGTCCGGGGTGGGAGGCGTCAGCTGCAATCTTTCCTGCACGCCTCAGAGTCCTCGAGGAGTACAGGTCCAGAAGAGAAGGAAGATTGCAGCCAATCACCTTCTCTGCAGAGCGAATGATACGCTGCAGCCTGCCCTTGTCCCTGGCAGTGGCAGCAGCATACCAGATGGTGATGGAGGAGGTGAGGATGGACTCAATGATGGCGGTGTAGAAGTACACCATCATTGTCTTTGCCAGGCTGAACTTCTGGAAGTACAGGAAGTGCAGGAAGTACATCCTCTGCTGGGCCTTCTTGGTGAGGGAGGTAATGTTCAGTTCCCACCTGAGGTCCTGGGAGATGATGGTGCCCAGAAAGCAGAAGGAGCCCACAGTGGTGACTGGGGAGTCACACAGGATGATGGGCGAGGGTGGGGCTGGGCTCTTTCTAAAAACCACGACCATCTGCACTGTCTTCTGAGCGTTAAGCTCCAGACTGTTCTGGCTGTACCAGGTCACCAGATGATCAATCTTTCCCCCGGAAGGGCGGACTCATCCACACCTGAGATGAGCCCAATGAGGGTGGTGTCGTCCGCAAACTTCAGGAGCTTGACAGACTGGTGACTGGAGGAGCAGCTGTTGGTGTACAGCGAGAAGAGAAGGGGGGAAAGAACGCAGCCTTGAGGGGATCCGGTGCTGATGGTCCTGGAATCATGTTTTCCCAGCTTCACGTGCTGCTTCCTATCCATCAGGAAGTCAGTGATCCACCTACAGGTGGAGTCAGGCACGCTCAGCTGGGATAGCTTGTCCTGCAGCAGGGCCAGGATGATGGTGTTAAAAGCAGAGCTGAAATCCACAAACAGGATCCTGGCGTAGGTTCCTGGGGAGTCCAGGTGCTGGAGGATGAAGTGAAGGGCCATGTTTACTTCATCGTCAACTGACCTGTTGACTCTGTAGCCAAACTGCAGGGGGTCCAGGAGTGGGTCTGTGATTGATTTTAGGTGGGACAACACAAGGCGTTGAAAGGACTTCATAACCACAGTGGTTAGGGCGACAGGTCTGTAGTCGTTTAGTCCTGTGGTCCTTGGTTTCTTGGGGACAGGGATGATGGTGGAGGCTTTGAAGCAGGCTGGCACATGGTACGTCTCCAGTGAGGTGTTAAAAATGTCCGTGAACACCGGATCCAGCTGATCAGCACAGTGTTTCAGGATGGATGGGGAGACAGAGTCCGGCCCAGCTTCTTTGTGGGGTTTCTGCCTCCTGAAAAGACCGTTGACTTCCCTCTCTGTGATGGAGAGAGGAGGGGAGGGGGTGGAGCTGGCCAGCTCTGAGGAGGGAGGGGAAGAAGTGGTGGACTGAGGCTGAAGCTGAGCTGATGAGTTATAGGGGATGGTGTCTGACTGACTCTCAAAGCGGCAGTAGAACTGGATCAGCTCATTTGCCAGGTGAGAATCGTTTATGGAGTGGGGGACTTTGGGTTTATAGTTTGTGATCTGTCTGAACCCCCTCCAGACAGAAGTGGCATTGTTTGCAGAGAACTGGTTCTTTAGTCTCTCTGCGTACAGTCGTTTAGCTTCTCACACCTCCTTGCTAAACCTGTACTTTAACGCCCTGCACCCGGCCCTGTCACCACTCCTAAATGCCTTCTCCTTTTCCAACCTTAGCTGTCTGAGTTTAGCTGTACACCAGGATTTGTCATTGTTATAACTCACCCTGGTGTGTGTTGGCATACAGGTGTCCTCACAGAAGCTGATGTAGGACGTCACAGCCTCTGTAAACTCATCCAGACTGTTGGTAGCCTTCTTGAAAACGTCCCAGTCAGTGCAGTCCAAACACGCCTGAAGATCCTCAATAGCTTCACTGCACGCTTTGCTGCACGATGGGGGACCTTTCTTTCAATGTGAGTTCCGTGTGACCTCGCATGTTAACATGTAGGATTTTTAAATTCAGAAACTACACATTGAACACAACATTTCATATCACAATTCACAGGTTAACTTAATTGTGTTCAATAAAAAAAATGCTCTTGTCTGATAGACAACACAACTATTGTTTTTATTGAATCCTATTTCATCGCATATGAAAATCTTCAGCCAAAACAAAATAGCCTACAGAATAACCATGGCACAACTAGGCACACAGGGGGATCACGTCACAAGCAACAAAGGCATTAAAGAAAAATAGTTAAGTCTTTATACATTTTTACTATTTTAAATTCTTCAGACTATATAATGCTTCAATATGATGTTTGATTTATTTATTTAAATGTTGTATTTGTGAATGTAGGCCTAATATTTTTAAAATTAGATAAAGAGATTCAAATAGGCTTTTCTTTTACAATGAATATAAATCTTTTCATAAAAGAATATGATGCTTCTTTTTTCGTAAATATCTAAAGCCATAGTCTTAAAGAAATCTAACCAAAATAATTTGGTTCATAAACAAAACAAACTAAATGACAAATGTTTTCATTTTCGTTATTGTAAAAAACACTTCTCAACATCAATCCTAAAATCTTAATACAACTGTTGTTTATTTAATACAAATATTATAAAGCATAAAGTCAGATCCTATTTACTCTGGGGGGAGAGGGTAGTTCGTCTGAAAGTTGGCTGCAGTATTGAGCTCCCTAACCCCTACATGGGTTAGGGAGCTCAATTTGGTTGTGAAGGTGACTCTGACCAGAGTTCACTCCGTGTCGGAGTGGAAGTGGCGAGAGTCTAGTTTCGGAAAGGCCCAAAGTGTTCCTCCTGCCGCGTAAGCGTGCGTGCATTCAATGGTGAAGGCGGACTTTTGACTTCATGAAAGTAAATGAAAAATATAACATGTGGATTGTTTCATCTATTGTTTTAGTATTGTTTTATTAATGAGGATTTTGCAGGGCAAGCTAGCACACGGATTATAAGAAGGCTTTTATAGGCTAACGTTAACGTTACGTGTTAATGAACTTCATATTATTCATTGCACTGAATTGAAAATGTCTAAAGAGAACGAGCATATAAAAACATTACAATATATACTAAACAAGAGATTTTGAAAGCTTGAACATTGCCTTTATCTCTCTTGTTCCGGATTGAATGTGCCCCTCTGACAAAACAACTGGCCCCAGTCTGGCCCCCTCAATAAAACTGGTCTAGAAACGCCACTGGGATGGAGCCAACAGTGAAGGACTAGAGGATCAAATGTAAGAATACTTAAGAAACAATGGAAAAAACAGCATCAGTCATTCTGTGATTTAAGTACAGAAGAAACATTATCGTGTGTTTAAATGGAGGCATGCCTGCCAAGCTAACGTTACACTGATTGATACCACCACTCCAGATGCACTAACGTTACAACATACAATTGTGTTTGAATACAGCTGAGATAGGGGTCAACACATAGGCTACCTTTTTATATCATTATAAGGAGTTGTGATACACCAAAGCCAGTAACATGTTCCTTTGCATTCCGGTAGGAGGGAGCAATTTGAGCCCTCATTACTGTCTGCCGGAAACGGAAAGTAGAAGAAGCTGCTTGCTAATGTTGCTAACCAACACGGAAGCAGCATAGCGTGCGAACTGGTAGCATTAAGTCTACAAACGAAGACGCTCTCAGTTGCGTTGAAAGGTAACCGCGTTGTTTGTGTCGTTTACTACATGCATTTAATGTACACTTCCCAATTATTTGCACCGTCGAGTGTGAGAAATATTGATGCATTTTGGTCGTAACAGACGCTCGTTAGCCGGACTAGCTGACCTTACATTATCAACAAAGAGACTGATGTGTAATCGTAAGGTAATTAACGTTACTACAGAGTACATAGTATGTCTTCAGCTGGTGTTCACTTTGAAGCCACAAATGTTAAGGTGAACCATAAGATTAAACTTTTTCTGTTGCATGCTCCCTTACAACAGATGTAGTTGCAGAATATTGCAATCGAATGTAACCGCTAGCTAACGTTAGCTAGGCTAGTTTAGCATCAGCACAGTTAAAGGCTAACGTTACGGCAAAAGGTTTGGCGACCACCGTCGCCTCTTGCTTTATAACTAACTTACTACTAAAACGAACGAGTCAACCAAGAGCTCTCGAGATACCCTCTAACGTTATTATAAATCATTGATGAATGTTCAGCTGGCGGGCACCAAACAGGTTTGGTCGGTTCCCCAACTGTTACATTATACGCGAGCTTCAAGGCCCCGGAAAAGTAATGAGGTCGAGACAGTTGTTTTAACCTCCTGCAAAATACAAACTCCTTTTTTGCAACGAAGGTTAAAGTCAAGGGCAACTGGACTTGGTTGAAGATACTGGAAGACGTTTCGTCCCTCATCCAAAGGACTTCTTCAGTTCTGACTGACTGGCAGGGAAACTCAACTATTTAACCTCAGTGGGGTCGTTTGCCAGGATCGTCGATACTGCTGGTTCGTTAGTGGTCCTGGTTGCTGTAACGACAGTCGTTAGGACTACCGGTGGCCAAGACTGAACGACCATCGTTGGTATCTTCACCTGAGGCCAATAGGTTATGTTTGTTGAGTTTCCTGGGAAGTGATGAAAGGACAGCATTGTAAGTGGGGGATAAGTGGTGGCGTAGACCCCCTCCTGTCATGGACTGAGGTTAAATAGTTGAATTTCTCTACCAGTCAGTCAGAACTGAAGAAGTCCTTTGGATGAGGGACAAAACGTCTTCCAGTATCTTCAACCAAGTCCAGTTGCCCTTGACTTTAACCTTCGTTGGATAACTATGACCTGGATGACTGAGAATCTTCATAGACAAACCCCTTTTTGAACTTGTAATGTCATTCAGTAAAACAGCCCTGTGATAAATGCTTACGTACATTAGTATTTATTGTACATTTTGTAAAACGGTTGTATATGGTACAATAATTAAATACAACTCCTTCATTTTACACTAGCAAGCTTATACTTGTCTTAATATACCTTACTGGAAAGCTGGTAGATGGATAAGTAAATACACATGTGACAAATTAAAGGAAAAACCTGAATAAAGGAGTGGAGTATTGCAGCAAGTGCAGAGGCTTTATATAGGGCACAAAGAGCCACAGACTGGTTTGACATGGTGTGAATCATCAACCCAATTGAACAACCGAGGGAGGTTTTAGAGGGCAATTCCTTTCATTTGTCACCCATCTAATAAATCTGTAACTATTTGTTAAGTTTGTTAGACATTCATTACCCTGTGTTTTAAAGCTTTCAGGCTTGGATCAGAGGTCCTGTGCCATTTTCTTTTTGAACTCATCATTTACCTCTATCATGGCTGCATCCTTGGTTTAGAGTTTTTGTCTACATTAAGGAATTGGAGACAGATGGACTAAGTTTTGGATTAGGATAAGGAAGGAAGGACCACTTCCACATCTATTTGTGAAAGCAAGAAGTGATCTTAAAGTCTGCAGGTGCCCTCATTCTGTGTCAGCAGTGCAGCTCACTCAACCACCATGTCTGATGGCCGGATCTACGTGGGGAATCTTCCCGTGGATGTCCAGGAGAGAGACATTGAGGATCTCTTCTACAAATATGGAAAAATCCGTGATATTGAATTGAAGAACAATAGAGGCACTATCCCATTTGCCTTCGTCCGATTTGAAGACCCACGGTGAGTTTTAGAGATGCTCTTTGGCAAGGCGAATCACATACCCCTTGTTGGATACCTTAAGTTTTGTGATATAATATCGTCTCCAGTGACTGACAGCAGGGAATGGAAGGAGACGGCATTTCCAGCTCTATGTCCGCTAGTGAAACGGGCGTACTTTGGTAAGGAGTTCTTTGCTCTCTTCTCTTAGGGATGCAGATGATGCTGTCTATGGAAGGAATGGATATGCATATGGAGACTCCAAGCTGCGTGTAGAGTATCCTCGATCCTCTGGTGCTAAATTTGGTGCTATGGGAGGTGGTGGAGGGGGAGGAGGAGGAGGAGGAGGAGGACCTAGGGGAAGGTTTGGACCCCCAACTCGAAGATCTGAATTCCGGGTCATAGTGACTGGTAGGTGGACGTCGTGAGTCATAGCCAGTTAATGTTTCTCTCCTACACGCCACCCTGGAGGTCAAGGGGATTGGTAGAATGGTGGACGTAAGAGTCATAGGCAGATATGTTTCTCTCTCTCTCTCATGGCGGACTGGAGGACAAGGAGACTAGTAGAGGACGTCATGAGTCGTAGACAGATATGGTTCTCTCTTTCATGGCGGAATGGAGGACAAGGGGACTAGTAAAGGACGTCATGAGTCGTAGACAGATATGGTTCTCTCTTTCATGGCGGAATGGAGGACAAGGGGACTAGTAAAGGACGTCATGAGTCGTAGACAGATATGGTTCTCTCTCTCTTGGCGGACTGGAGGACAAGGAGACTAGTAGAGGACGTCATGAGTCGTAGACAGATATATTTCTCTCTCTCTCTCTCTCATGGCGGACTGGAGGTCAAGGGGACTAAGTGGATGAGGTCAAGTCAGCTCCTTATGTCATGAAAAACAAAACAGTAAACTGAAAACCGGTCATGTTGGCTGCATAATCCCAAACACCGACTATAGTGACTGGTAGGTGTAATTTTGTCATTAATTCTAAAATTATTTGTGTGCTACATTTATCACATGTTTATTCAAGCTGTTAGAATTGGACTGCTAATCTAAGACCAAACCCATAAAGTCTAAGGCTTATATAGTTGCCTGACTTGACCAGTCTACTACTAGAGCAGATTCTTGGAAGTACTCACACTGTGGGGTTCTGATCTGAAAATATTGGGTTTCTCTGAAACACTTGCCCAGTAATTTTATTTAAATTGTCCTATTTGTACACCTTTTATCAGCAAGGATAATTTCCATAAATATCAGTCAACGTCTGTACCATACAAAGTAGTTTGTGAATATTGAGTGGAAAAGTTGGTAGAGGTTTACCTGACCCCCAGAGGGTTACAGAATTAAAATTCATATTCATCTTTCCTATTGAGAATTAAAGCGGCTGTGTATTTGAGCATTTCCAACTTTGTGATTGGCATGAAACTCTGAATCATGTCATCAGCACTGACAATGGATAGCTGTATTGGAGGAAAAAAGTCAGTAAGATAGTACACTTAAGTAAACTGCAAGTCACAAAGAGCATAGCAATAAGAAATGGCCAATCACATAGCTTGCAATTCACGTAGTAGTAGTAGTTGTAATTGATAATTAAAGTATTTAACTTATGCTATAGTTGATATTAAGGCTGTGTTCTCAATAAGCTCATGAAGCTCAGAAACAGAGGATTTTAGTACCATTTGACATTCCTCATTGATGACAAAATGTGATTTCTCAGGAATAAAGTTTAATCAATCTATGGTGACTGTAATTTAAATGTATAGCATTATGCGCTCCTATTATTCAGGAGACTCCATTGTGTGCTGACTAATTTAGAGAAAACATTCCTATGTAAACTTACATTAAGAAAGAAGACACACACAACCCAACTCTTCCTACTTCTGTCTTTTTAAATTTGGCTTTTTCAGCTCAGACTTTATAAAAATGTCTTAAAACCAATGAATAAAGGTGCTGTTTACTTCAAAGCCAAAATGCTTTGGACAAAAGTTGAAACCAGTCCCTGCAGTGATTTTAGGTTTAAAGTGCCAGGTTATTTGAACCAAGAAATTAAGTTTGGTCTCCGTCACATTTCTTTTTCCCTGTTCCAGGGTTACCACCAAGTGGGAGTTGGCAGGATCTCAAGGATCACATGCGCGAGGCAGGAGACGTTTGTTTTGCAGATGTGCAGCGTGATGGAGAGGGCGTGGTGGAATTTCTCCGTAGAGAAGACATGGAGTACGCCTTACGCAGACTTGATCGTACGGAGTTCCGCTCACATCAAGTGAGTTTCAGTCTGATGATTTAATTGTCCCTTATCCTTTTCAGATAGTTAAATGAAAAAAAAATCACATATACTTCTTTTCCTTTTGTAGGGCGAGACTGCCTACATCCGCGTCTTCGAGGAGAGGGGTACCCCCAACTGGGGTCGGTCGCGTTCCCGCTCCAGATCCAGAGGACGCTATTCACCTCCCTACCATAACAGAGGATCACCCCCTCCACGTTACCAGTCACCTCCACGCCATGCTATGTCGCGCCATAGCCCACCCCCCAGGAGACACGCTCCACAAAACCATAGCCCACCGCCGCGTCATTACCGGTAGAAAGGTCCAACATTTGTAGAGGAATTGGGGAAACTGTTTTGTAATTCTACTTTGATTTTATTTTTAACCCCAGGCCTCCTCATAGGATACATCTTTATTTCTTGCTACATACATTCCATGGTCAAGGTCGCCTGAACACCCTGCCCCTCCCCACCGCCTTAAAGATTATTTTTCATTGTTCTTTAAACACCCATATGTGTTATCTGGAAAGCAGGATTGTTTTCTTTGCGAGGTAAATACATTTGATCATCGTATAACAAATTGAAGGATTTCTTTTATAAAGAAATCCTGGGTTGTGATGGCAAACCCTGGCAGGAACCAGCACACACACACACACAATGTTGTATTGTCCAAAACAAATTGCACAATTCTGCAGCTATCAGGTTAAAGGTTGTACTGCGTCTTAACTTCTTGACAAAAGTTACCTTTTTGTGACACATTTCTATAGTTTTTGCCAATCTAAGAACCCGTGGAGCCAATCAATAACCTCCTGATTTCAAAACATGTAAAATTGGTGAGCCTTTTAGAGTAGTGACACATGTGGACTGTGTGCCTCACCTTGTCAGATAATTTTTTTTTAAAATGTGTGAACCTCTGTCCGAGGTGGCCTGTAGGTGGACTATGATTTGTTTGCTTCTGTTGTTTTTTTGTTGTTTAGTTTTTTCTTTACCAATAAAATGGAAACTTTTACTGTGTTTCATTTCTTGTCCTAAAACATGTATTTAATACATGGGTACACTATAGTCATTGCAACTTTGCAAAAGGATGAAACATATACTTAACTGGTGTATGGACATGGAACTAATGCTGAATGTGTCAGGTTACACTGCCTGGGACACCACAATACATTACATAAAACTGTTTTAAAGACGAGTCATCGCCAGCTAGTACAATAATGGGCCTGAAATGGCTATCATTTAGATTTTTTACACCTGTGACATCTGCAGCAAGTCAAAGTCACCTCTGTTAAAATAAGGAAAGTATGTAAAGCGGTATATTGAGCAGTAAGTTTATCAAATATCCCACACTGGATATTCTGAGATATTCAACGTTGATCTTAGATATTGTTAGTGGTGTTGAAATGTAATCCTCCAGTGAGTTAACAAGAGGTTGAGTTTTTTTTGTCTTCACGGCTGTGGATATGAACTGACTTCTCTTGACAGGCCCATTGAATGGTGAAATGTCAGTGGTTCAAGCACTCAGTTGAAATTAAGGGATAGTTTCCAGTTTCTTTCAAATTTGTCATGAAAAAAACAGTAATGTAACAAAAAGTTTCTAAATTCAGCAGAAGCTAGTCTCAGGCTATGAAATTCCCTTTGAGTGAGGACCGTGAATTTTGTCCTCCCATCTCTTTCGGCAAAATAAGGATTAGGAAGGGATTTGGCCATGACCAACCACCAAAGACTTTTACAATGTACATGTGGCCACATGAGTGTTGTTTTTAGATTGACCTGAAACTAATTTAACTTATACTTCAAAGACCAGACACACACAAAGTAGACAAACAAGGCACCAGTTCCAAATTACAGAAACAGTCTGGTCCTTCAAAGATATTATGTTTCACTTACTTGCTTGTTTGGCTGTAACATCTCTATATTCTTACATAGAATGTTTATATAAGACAGTTTGGAGGTAGGCGTGCAGGTGTATACATATACAATACACATAAGGCACATGGAATGCAAAATATAATATTTTTAATTGCAATAAATTAATTATACCAGGTGACAATTTGAGAAGACACAAAAAAATAAAAAATATATTTATTTCCAATGGCATATCAGTCCATCATTATCAGATAAAGCCCCTATACAGACACTGTATTGCATTTCATTAATACATAGTTCTACGATAAGTTCATTTCTCTTTAACACATTGTATACAGTAAATCTTCTGACAACAAACACAGCAAGACAAAAACAGCGATACTCAACCATGTTTTAGAAGATCTTATGGAGACACATTAGCTGTAACACTGGAATTTAAGCCACAGTGACCCAAACATGGGTGTGTTTAGGCTATTTTGCAACAGTGAATGGCACTAATAAATCATATTTTCTGACATACTCAAGCTGGCATACAGCCATGTAGATAGTTTTGTATTTATCTGCTGAGATTTTATGATATCTATATATATATATGAAATTTCTGTCAAACAGATCACGTTCACAGACCTTACTGGGATTACTTTGGAATTACTTTCTACACCAAATACGGTCAATTTAAACGACTGACATCAAGGTCTCCCGGACATTGTGTTTGATAAGAGACATTCACCTCCACTGTATTGGATTAGCGGTGTTTATCTCAAAGATCACATTCACACATAAAACCAAAAATATCTTCATGGCTACATAACACTAACTAGCTACCACTGAACTGACCCTTTAAATGTAATAAGTCGACCCTCTGGTACTTAGTACTGTGAAAACTTAATGATGCCTTCAAAAAGATCAGATGTTTAATCTGGTGACTATTACAGGGAGGAATTAGAGGGCATTAGATACAATGAGGCAGGCCGACCGTCAATTTGACTGCTCTTTCAAATAAATAAATGGAGGTACACACTGTGTACACACTAGCATAACAGGAAAAATGTACTGTAACTGAGGCAAGGTGTCCACGAATGTGATACTGGCTTAGCCTCAACTGAGAGGTTAAGTGGTTAGCTCCTATGTAACGGGCATGAACATGGGGCTCTTGAGGTAATAATGAAGCTTGGGCATATGAAAACAATTAAGTAGAGAATGTTAAAAACAAGGCAACCAAGACTGGCAGGGCAAGACCGAGGCAGAAAATCATGAAAGTGCTCTGAAGGTGGAAGTGAAAGAGAGAGGTTCAGAGTGCAAAAGAAGCATGCTGCTTTTACTGCACAAGCCTTTGAGTTTTCCATCAGCCCAAAATAAACCATCACAGCAGCCCTCGCAATGCTGAAAGGAAGCAGAACCTGTTAGCACTGTACTGTCTTGATGTCATGAGAACCAGAGCAGCTGAATTCTTCAGCCTGAGCAGCAGTGTGTTAAGGTAAGCAGGCTGTACTGAGTGTCTGCATTAACCATTTGAACCAGCTGATTCCAAAAGCATTGGTCTGCACAGAAATAAAAAGGAGAGGGGTCAAAGCATGAAATTAAGCAGGATGAATCACACCTAAATTAATGCATAGAGAAGGCTGGAGAGGGAAGGAACACACTGTGCGAGAACTTGGTCGCGTGCCAGAGGAAAGGGCGATTTGGTTTATGCAAACCATGTGCAATCATGCAGGACTGCACAGAGTTCACAGGTTTGGTCTGGATATCCTGCAAGCTTGTGTGCATCAGAGGCAAACACGGGAAGAGGAGCCTCCGAGAAGCCAGCAAGCGGCCCTCAAAATGGCTATTGAGAAGCAAACCACACATGCTACTTGGACACAACCTAGCACTGACCTGAGCAAGGGGTCGGTCAGTATTAGCTAGTATCTCTAATGTTTACAAAACCATATCATCCAATAATGCCAGACATTATTACTGAAAATATATTTTAAGTGCATCACAAGATGTTTAATCATGGTAGCTACAATTTCAGCAAAATAATAATACTGGAAATATATTCAAGTGTATTACAAGATGTATGGTAGTTATTAAACAACGTTAACCTCGTGAAATATGTGGAATGACAATACAATGAAGAATTTGGTTGTGGTATCCCTGAAACAATATCTAGATTTAAGGCAAAATAAATAACATCCTGAAGCAGTTTCAACAAGGGTACATTCACTAGGTGAACAATAACACTTTAAAAATACATTTACTGGCAATAGTTGCATCTCCTGAATATAGAAAGGAGCAACCGGAGAGAAGCTGTTGCACAACTGTCTTAGAATAACGAGCAGTTTTAATTACCAGTCTTTCCAGTACTTACCAATCACTGTATTTCATTAACATTGATTCCTTTCCCCTTAAATACATGACTGTTATGTGGGCGTGTCCGTATCTTGAAACAATTCAGCACAAGGAAACGTGGGAGCAGCAGCCAAACAGCATCGTCACTTGTTTTCTATGAGAGTCTGCACTTTGTGGACCAAGTCTCGAGCCATCATCAGGACCTGCGGGACGTTGTGTCGCTCTGCCATTTCTGAGAAGAGAATATAAAAATCAGTGTGACTTAAAAAGGTTAATTGCTTACTAATATTGATATATTAATATTGAGTAAGTAAAGTTTGCTTTACATTTCCTGTTCTAGCATTTTTTTTAACCTATTTTGAAAGTATCCTAAATTATCTGATCTATAATATCATCTTTATCAACTATTTAACTTTGCTCCAACTGATTATTTGAATGATATATTAGCCTGGTGTAGTTATGAATAAGCTCTGGCAATTGGCAATTGCTTCCATCATATTGTAGCATTTGTATTATCATTCGTCATCGTCTTACCATTAAAAAACTTGATGATGTCTGTGAAATCCATGTTATTTTCCAGGATGATGTCTCTATACATCTCCACGAGTGCCAGAGCAATGAAGAGCACAAAGTGCTCAGAGGAGGTGTACTTGGCCGCCCAGATTGTTTCCCACACGGAGAACACATCATCATACACCATTTCTGTGCAACAACCGACAGAAAGAAAGCAGATCACATTTAGTATCATGTTATGTAAAATGCTAAATTTGGCTCTGTAATGGGCAATTCAAACAAATGTCACGAGGCCTTCGCTTCCCATCACCTCTTTTGAAGTCAAGCAGAAACCAACGATAACAGAAGTAGAAATGAGTATAGTCTCCGTTCTGCTGCATCAGTTCAAACAGCTCAGAGTCCAGGATCTTTTAGTATAAAGACAAAACGGCATCATTAAACCATAGCTTTTACTTGAATGCATGCATTCATACTTTGTGTTTGTGCAGATATTTGTACATACCTGGATAAGAGAACGCATGTTGGCAAAGTGAGAGTCCATGGCGCCTCCATGAGGAAAATTCTGGTTCATCCTCTTCATCAGTTCAGTGAAACAGCTAAATGCCATGACCTCTGGGAAGCACACACACACACACATTTAAAAAGGTACCAGTTTAGCCATTTAAATGCATTTTGGAAAAGTGTATACTAACAGAGTTTGCACTAAAGTCTCACTGACCATCGTCCAGAATAACCAGCAGGGGAGCCAGCAGATCACACATGCCCTGGACGTAACCTATCTCCAGATGTTGCCACACGTAACTACAAAGACAACCAGATGTTTCAGATTTTTTGTTTTGGGTTGAGACAAACTTCAGAGATGTTCAGCTTGGTGACAGATTTACCTGCACATGATGTTACGCAGCTTGTCCAGATTCTCAGGAGTGAAGTACCAATATGCCCTGTCACAACGTCTGACATCTTTGTCAATGCGATGTAAATTGATCAAGTACATGTCCAGTGTTTCTTGCTACAAAAATGATAGTGAATTCTGTTAGCGAATGCTTATGATTAAAAGAAGTATGCCATGTGTCATGTGCAATGCTTACAGAATAGATTTGTTCTTCTGAGGATTCATCGTGTTTGGTGTCTCCTCCGACCTCTGCAGACTCTGGTTCAGTGAGCACATTTTCCATCTCAGGCTCATCTTCCGAAAGGCCCAAGTCGGTGCCCTCAGGACTGGTGTTACAAGCTGTGTCCAGATGGTGATCTAGGACAAGGTCCACTGATGCCATTTTCTCTCTTTGTGCAAAGAAGATAGGGGGTGGGGCAAGGCCTGCCAAAGGCCGTGCCTTGATATTCTCAGAGGTCACACATGTTATCCCTGCAGGAATCTCCTCCATTTCCAGGGCAGAAGGAGAGTCGTCTGAATCTGCTGTGTCTGGAGACTGCCGTGAGTGGGATGATAATGAAAGGCTCCCCCTTGACGCTGACTGAAGAGCATTCAGTACGTGTCTGACAGGTGAATTTGAACCAGCTTTCTCAAACGGAATTTCTGCAGCTTTTTTGGTTTCAGCCAAGTCAGAAACTGCTGCTTCAGCATCATTTCTTTCTGACTCCGTGGAACAGGCCTTTGTCAGTTGTGATGTGTTTTTGTCAGAAGTTGTTTCAGGTTTTGCAGGAATCTCTGGCTTTTTTCCAGTCGGTGGATTAGTATTTTTTTCTGCTGTAGCCAGACATAATGGCTCCACTTCCAGATCTTTGCCCTTGTGTGCTTGGAAGGTCAGGGTCTGCCCAAGTGGAGGTGCTTGGAAATATTCGTTATGAATCTCTGTTTCTAGCTTTAGGACATTAGTGTTCTCTGGAATACATCTTAAATTCTTATTTGTGTCTACTGCTTTTAAATCTTCAGATCGCTCATTTGTTGTTATATCTTTTTCTTTGACTTCTGGTTTTTCCTCAGATTTAGATGCCTCTTGAGACTTACTGATCCCACAGTCCTTAACCACCTCACTTTCTGAAACTGTCTCCATCTTTGTCTCTGAAACCTTGTCCTTGGCTACAGGGCCCATTACATTCTCCCCTACTGGCTCTGATCCAGTTGTAGTTTTCTCATTTAAGACCTCTGATGCTTCCACTGTCTGCTGAGAGGTTGTAGATCCAGCAGCTGACTCCGTTACAAGAGGATTGTTTTCTGAACCTGGACGTTGATTTGACAGGCTTTGGGAGGAGGGGTTGCAGGAGGGATGTTGTAGATCTGCAGTGTCACTCGTGATGTCCTTCAGTGGACTGCTGTGCTGTACTACACCTTCCTCAGCCCTGGACTCAATTGGATCCACTGCCTCAACTGATAGAAACACCTGATAACCAAAGAAAAATGGTGGGCATGCAATACATTTTGTATCCCGTAGCAATGAAATGGACAACTATTGAAGGGTTACACCAGTGGTTTTGCATGTTTCAGCCCATTAGCTACAAATCAGACATAACATTACTGCTGAAAAATGTATAAAACAAAGACAATAATAATAATAATAATGATAATAAGACAAGGAATAAAGGTGGCAAAATATTTACTATGACTCTTTACCTATTCCAAACAATTTGATTCTAATAAAATGTTAATGAAAGGTATGAAGTTATGATATGCTTTGGAAATTTGAGGACATTAGCCTATAGTAAACTATATATAAGCTGTATTACGTGGGCTAACACTTATTACATGAAAAAAACAATGGTATGGTCTTTTACTGGAGATGACTGTTGTTGTGATGTTCATGTTCATGAGAAACTACCTGGGCGCTACTGCTGGAATCACTTTGCGAGTGGGCATTCTGTTGATCTGAGCTGCTACTGAGAGACGACTGGATTGGGGAAAAGCACCGCACAAGAGACAAAAAGCAGAACTGTCAGCCAACTTGCTTAGAAATGTCTTTGTTACACAACAAACAGGTCCCTTTTGTGTTCTGCCTGTGGTGACAATGGTTACATAATGCTGCACATTTTATGCTATGAGGTCAAACTTGCATCTGTACTGATAGTCGAATCCCGCTGCACTGGTCCTCTTTCCACACTGGCTCCAGACGAACATCTGGCGAGGGCCTCTGCATGTTTCTCTCTCTCCCTCTGACGGACAATGGCCTCACAACCTTGCCACTCCTTCATAGTCTGCTCATACATTGTCCGCATCTGCTCATCAATCTGGAACAGAAACCTTGTGTAAACTAAGATTGTAACATACCCCATGTGTAAAGACAGATGTTAAAATTGTCTGACAGCACAAACAAATACCTCTAGCCGGCATTTCTCAGTCATGGTGAACTGATAGTGTCCCAACAGGAAGGGCCAGACCTCTTTGCGTAGTGAAGGAGCCACACCACCAAAATATACAAGCCTGTGTATCTCCTTTTCCTCATACGCCTGAACAAGATAAAGTCTGGTCACACGCAATTTAAAATAACTATTTATTACCGTAATGAAATAAAATTTAAATATATCTTATGGCCTGATGTTTCAGTATGAATCTTACAGTGCTGTCCTTAAGGAACCTGCCCCAGACCTCCACAGAGAGGCCTCCACTGGCACCACAGGGCACATCAGGGTCAACTATAGTGGTGTTGACCAGAGCAGAAAGGTGGGTACGAACTGTAGACAGATGGCGGCAGTATGCAAGCCCTGGAGAGAAAAGATGCACATTATCATATTGACAAGAACTAATGTTTCACCAGGAACAATTTGAATGAAATGATTCTCCAATTAATCAATGTTAACCCCCAGTAATTGTTTGTTTGTACTCACATCCATAGAAAGCTCGGGAGATTATTTGGTATTTCATTGTGTCACAAAGGAGCTTTAAGGGAGCCCTGTTAGGAAAGGGAAATGCCTAATTTAGTCAAATGGTGTAATTTGAATTTCGATTTGAGTATGTCTATGGGAACAACATACCTTTCCTGATTACAGCCATTAAGCAGAGAGCCATCAGAAGAGCCATTCTGTGAGCAGGAGGAGCACGAGGACTTTCTGGGCGTCGGTTGCCACATGTTCACGCCCTGGTCCATCAGCTCCAGAGCCACTGCACAGCATAATAGGCCTTATCATTATCATTCCTAATATCATGATCATCATAAGCAATTGAAAACCAGATGAAATTCCAATAGATTGGACATAAAAGTGCATGTCTGCAAATAATAAGAAAAACTGTGGAAATATGGAATGGAAAAAAACAAACCAAGTGAGAGGATGGAGATGGAGATGTGGCAGACAAATTACTGCATGTCCATGCAAAGTCTCCTATTGACTATAATGTGAAATGGACACATGGGTACTAAATAGGCAGGAAAAAGATATGAAATGCAGCATTAGAGAGAAATGAATAAGACAGATGACAACAGATGTATCTAAACTGAAACTGTCTAAACTGTACATCAGTATTAAGAGAATAATGTAATCGTAGATGTAATCTATAAATGATGCTTTATTAGATTAGCTCAGGGAGGCAGAACAGGAAGATTAAAGACCCTTACTGTACTCCATCTGATTGCCAGGAAATAGGATCCGAAACACATAATCGGTTGCTTCATCGTCTTCCTTATCTGACACAGAATCACATGAGCCATGTGGACTCCTCTTTCGCAGTTTGGGGAAAACCTTTCCCTGTGAATGGAAATGCAATGTCCTCATCTATGCTAACTGTAAATAGTAGTAATATGAACTGTTACAACAGATTATAGTTTTAGAGTTATTGCCTCAAATACTGAAAATGAGAAGCTATAGAAGTGTTTTTCTATCTTCTGTTACATGCTGACCTTTCCTCTCTGATTCCAGAGTGGTGGGTCCAGCTGTCCATGAGGTAGCAGCCCGGTCTCCAGGCAGGTGAGAAACTGGAGGAGGTGGCCTCCTTTGGGGAAATGTAGAGGAGGTCTCTGGATCCCATCCTGGCTCACCAAAACTACTGTCCCACCACTGTTCACTAGAGAAATGAACACAACAAATAACAAGGTAAGAAAGTTGTAAAACTCCTGCTTTATGTTCTTAAAGAAATATGAGGGGGTTACTTTACCTTGCTGATGACAGTGGAGATACACAATCTCGTCCAAACGAATTGTCATGGCATAATCCCAGTAAACACTGAAGGAAGCATGAGAGAATGGGAGCCATTCAGTCAACTGTGTAAAAATGAGGATTTATTCTTATTAGATTGGGTTCTAACTAACCTTTTCTCAGAATCTAGCTCCCCTAGATTGCCATTCATCAGCTGATTGGGCGTCCATTTCAGTGTCATGAGGTCTGCAGTTTGATGAAGAGAAAGGTAGCCTGGGATGGCCTCCATGTCATCTCTCTGCAGAGACATGTAAGAGCTTTCAAACCACAGCATGCCTCTCTTAATATTCCCTCTCTTGAAGCAGATTGTATTAAAAAAGGAAAGATACACTGAAAAGGATAAAACTCATACCGGCTGCACCAGGACATTGTTCTTTCCAAACAGAAGTGTGGCTCTGGAGTTTTGGTGGAGTGATTCAACGTAATCCCTCACCCACATGAGAGGGCGATCATCCATGCTCCCACTGGACTGCCTCTTCTGGATCTGATCCAGGTTAAGAAGACATCAGAAGTATTACAGATCTGGCATTACATACAATAGTTTACAGCTGGTTATTCGATTAAAATCTTCAAGTCTAACCAGGGCAGGCCGTCTGGAGGGTGAATCCTGCCGACAGTGGCCGCTGTGGATGCGGTGCCGCTGCACAAGCTCGTCAGCAGATGGGTCTGTCCAGAAATGGTCAGCGGTCTTAACTTTGGTGTACTCCAAAGCACAAGGGCCAACTGTAAAAACAAGGCTAATCAGTTTGAAGTCATTCAGATATTACCAAGTTTTGAATAATTGATCATAATCTGAAAGTAAGGCAAAATAAAGATCTGATTGTACTAGTGTGGTCTATTTATGGGTTAGTGCAGAGTTTATAAATACCCAATAGAGATGCAAGAATTGGTCCATCCACAGGATCCAGCAGCATGGCTTCTTTCTCATAGAAGGCACTGCCGGAAACAATATTTAGAATGTTTTTTTAATTTTAAAAACTCTCTGTTCACATATCATAGTTGTGAGATCTGTACAACAGCTATAAAATACTAAAATGTTTGAAAATTCAAAAAGGTTGGAAATAGGTTGGACACCTTCAGCTGTTTTTGAAATCAGTAAAGGAATCGGTTCCTACATAGAACTACTTAAGGCAAAATTATGGTATTGAATGAAGGAGATAATCTTTTATATTCAGCAGATAATAATGACATTCAATAATGTATAACAATACCTGCTGTTCTCCACCAAGTACAGGACAATCTTGTCCAGGAGCTTCTCCATAAGTGCAGTTCGGATCCACAGGTGTTTTAGTGCCTGAGGGGGGAGGTTGGCCAACTTGGATTGCCGGCCGCGGTCATTACTCAGTGAAGAATTGTTCTGCTTGCTGAAAAACAGAAAACAAGCCAGACAGATGAGATGTCTGTAAAGGTTGTTAGACTGGGAAAGACACATAGGACAGAACAAAGCATTAGGATGCATTAAAGCATGTAAAATTAGAACACAAAGAGAAAAGATTTGTGAGACTAGAAAGGAAAGAATGCATATAATGATTTTATGTCACTGGCCTCTCACAGGTGGAAGTTAACGCTTCACCTGTTTTCAATGAGCTGTTCCAGCTCCTGGACCTTGTGGCAGAGTTCCTCGGCAGGCAAAAAGCTTTTTGCCGCCTTCATGAAGAGCGCTGCAACCTTGTTGCTGCACAGCAGGCCTGCAATACGACGCTTTAATCCATGAAGCACGCAGGCCTCCACTACGGCTATACACACACACACACACACACACACACACACACACACACACAAACACACAGAATATTAGTCAATATTTGATTTAGATTTCAGTTTAATTCATGTATTTGTTTTCTTTGAGGTGGAATTTTTTTATTTGCCCTTGAGGTTTTTTTTTTTTATCTCATGAGCACAAAATAATTTCCTCTTTGGGAAAGCCTTGATGTTTTTAATAAGTGAAAGGCAAGCGCAGGTGGCACAAGTACAAATAGAATGAAATCTGCCGAACACTGTCTATCGTTGCTAGGATATGAGGGATGTGAATCACACACGCCTCTCTCCTGGTTAGTAGCAACATTTTTAAAGGGTGTTAGTTTACTTTAATACACATCCATCCATCCACCTTATTAAATATAGACATGACTAATAGCATTATGCAAAGAAATTGTTAGGTTTTACATTGCTGGAACAGACTGTAGAGGATCATTTTGCACTGTGAGGATGAACTCGTAGGAGGTGACGGCTTGACACAAACTGATGGCAACCATCATGCTGCACTGTACATGTAAATGTGGTTGTAACCAATACTGTGACTTGTACTATTTAATACATCATGCCCTGTGTTAATATCTCTGAAATTAGATACAAAAGGCTGAACTATTTTAGGCAAAAAAGCACAGTTTTTCTGAGAAAATTAAAATTAAAACAAAACAAAATTATGCCACAAAATGATTCTTTCTTATTTTGCTTTTTTATAGCGTCGCCCTCTGTATAGCCCTATTGTATGTAGCCTATGATACCTATTCTTAAGTTAATAAGCCTAAAGCTGATGAAAAAGGCCTTAGCATGTACCCTGAATTTTTGAACACCCTGCCAAAGAAATATAGCTTCCTGTGCAATGTAAACACAATAGGTTTAGTGCAAATAAACATTTACCACAGAAGGATATGATGTGACTGCTGTCTGCGTGCACAAATTTCCTCGTTACTGCCTCCTCCATAATTTGTTTCACCTAAGAGAGAAAGGTACACAGTGAGACCAAACGTAATCTGTCTGACACAGTTGCATAAGGCCACAAAGGTGTCAAAACTACAAGCACATGAAGCAGTGGGAGACGACTTTGTAAGAGGTAATACTGAGCAGCACAGTCCCACAACACCTTCATTACATTCTCTTTTGACTTTTCCTAGACGTTCTGGAGACGTTCTGGAGGAGTTTGGTTCAAGACACCTAGGACTGATCTTTGAGGAATGTCACTATCAGAGAAGTGCAAGTATTTTCTTCTTGCTTCCTTTAAAGGGGTACTCTGGGAATTTGATTATGCACTTCCATAAGGTTGGAGAACAGATTTTTTTAAATGGTCACAATCGAAGCAGAGGCTGAAATATCTGTATTTAAGTTCATTATGGGTCAAACTCCAAAAACACTGCATTCTTCACTTCCCATAATTTTGTTGTATCTCAGTGTAAGATCCCTCGGTGTCAGGTAAATACATACATCTTAGCACCATGTTTAGAAATCAGACTTTTCTTAATACATTTGTAGTCTCCAAGACGAACCTGAGATTACCCTTTTGTCATCATCAGGGTTGTTTTCTCTGACTTGACAAACCTTCTCTAGAGACACAGAAGACATCATACATATCCTAATGACGAGAACTGATGTGTACAATCAGGGGATTTACCTTCTCAGTTAACTTAGGAAAGATTTTGGAAAAGGTAATATTCTAAAAAGTATTTATGTGTGTTGTAAAATTAACTAAATTTACATTAACATAGAGGGGCAATTTGTTGCTGTATATCCACAGAATGAGACATGCGAAACAGCACACTATTACTAAACAATGTTTATTGGACAAAATATCAGATGCCATGTCTGTATAGCACAGAATTGTTTTTATGAATGAACAACCTGAAAAGTCTGCTTTGTAATATATAAACATCTATAGCAACCTGAACTCAAAATTTAAAATCCATGGATTTACTAATAAAAATCCATTATTTTAGTTATATGTTGCATTTTAAATCTTTATATCCCAGCTGAGCCCCTCCTTGCTGCAGGATGTAGCACCAGAGTCATAGATATGAGGCAATGAGTCACAGGTGAGGGAGAGCACGGACACGATAAGCCTGGAAGTACCCGGCTTTCTCAGCAATGAATTAAACATGCTGTTTTATATCCCTAGGGAGTCATGTAGTCACTGAGCAGTTTGGAAGGGTCTGTGGTGTCCTTTCTTTAATTTCTGTGGACATCCATATCCAAATGGCTCACAATTCAGTAATGACTCCCACAGCTTGGGTAGTATTTTTTTTGTTGTTGCATGCCAATGAAAAAGATGCCAAGGTCACCATCTTACTATGTTATGGGAATGTCAGTTTAATTGTTATCCCTTATGAGACAGAGAGAGAGAGAGACATGTAGTATGTATGATGCTTTGGCAATATTGTTGTTACACATTCATGCCAATAAAGCTAATTTGAATTGAATTGAATTGAGAGAGAGAGAGAGAGAGAGAGAGAGCATAAGAAAAAAACTGATATTGCATTAATATGAAATAATCTGTACATGTGTTGTACCCCCCCCCCCCCCCCCAACACACACACGTCTATAAAATCATCATCATCACTACCATCATCTGTATCATTGTCGTCATCATCATCATCACCATCATCGTCATCATGATCTTACGCCAGTCTAACAGCACATAACATACAATTTTACTGGTAGCCTACTTGCATGCACTCTTACTGTGTAAACGGAATGGTCATTTCTATGATAAACAAGCCTGTGGTGTGGCGTAGTCGTGGCTCAACCCAGATGAACGATGTCCACACGCACACGCACGCACACACGCACGCACACACACACACACACACACACACAGTGTCTTGCTTACAGCGCCAGTAAACACAAACTGTGATGAGCAGGAAAGAAATAAAAATGCAACGAACCTCTTTCTTCACATTGCGCAGCAATTTCTGACGCGTCTCGGCCTCTGTCACGGGAGAAAACATAACCCTGATCAGATGCCGTATCGGAAATAAATGATGATAGGATCACCACAGGAAAATAATAATAAAGGCGGCTGTACCTCCCATCGCTCCGTGCAGGGTGTAGCGGCTGACACGCACAGCTTATTTTAGGGAGAATGTCCAGAAAGCAATGTAGACAGCAATGCTTAAAAGGCAGAGAGGCTCCGAGATGTACGATGTGATCTTAGCGACTAAATTAAACCTATCTGTTACCTCTGAGCGAACCACCACCCCTTTAAAGTCACAGTAGCCTATACATATATATAAGCGATACAACGCCAAGACCACTCACACGTTGTCCCCTCACTGAAGAAAAGAAATGTAAGGTGTGGGCTATTTATTGTCAAGTAAAGGCGCCTTTTCGACCAAAAATACCAGGGACTTTTAAGTCCCCAGGTCTATTTTGAGAATAACATATTTTTGATGTTTTGGTGTTCCTTAAAAGTTTCTTAGTCACATTATTAATCAAATCTTCACAGCTTGATTTTAATATAGTAGAGATGATGGTTTGATCTGCTAGATATGTAGCCAGGATGTTGGAAATTGGAATTATGTCACATTTGACATGAAATAGGCTATGGGGCAGTGAAATAGGATACATAGGTGTATAGCCTAGATGTTGTAGCTGCAGAGGTATAAACCCTATAAAAAAGTGTATATCAGCAAAATGCACTTAAATATTAAAGGAAAAATATGCAGAATGGTCCCATTTTGGGGTTTGAATTCTTATTAGACTATATTATTATTTCTGGTGAATTAATGTGTTAGCAGCATTTTAATGTTGTAGCTGGTCAAGAAGGACCTACTTTTAACAAAGGTATTTTATTGCCTATATTGTTGGGTAGTTTCATATTAAATAATTTCTCATATTTTATATTATGATCATAGTATGTGATATCTTAATCTGAAAAATGACTATGGTTACTAGCTGCCAGGTAGCCTAACTATAGTGGAGTAACTGTTTCATCTCATGACTGTTTCATCTCATGTGGGGCACAGACCTGGCAAGTTGCACACATTTGTTGTTCATTGTTGATCTTTGTTGTTGTATATTTTTATGTTGTCAGTTTATATATTTATGTAGGCTACACAATATTCTCTTCTGTTGTGTTACTTCTGCACGGCACAGACCCAGAATAATGCACATGTATATATCTGCAACGTTGTTCTTCCATTCCATATTTATATATTTCTACATTTATTTATGTTGACTGTATGTATGTCTACGTGTAGCACTTTATCACCACAGAAAATTCCTCATATGTGTAAAACACTACTTGGCCATAAAGCTCCTTCTGATTCTGATTCTATATATTACAATAATTCCCTCTGAAATGTGGTGCAGTTTAAGTTTAAAGTTGCATTAAGAGGAGATATTTAAGTAAAGTAGGTTACTTCAGAATTGTCGCCTACTCAAATACAATACTTGAATGAAGTGAAACTATGTGAATGTACTTTCCACCACTGGAGGACAGAGGCAACCAGATTCTGGTAAAAGTGAACTTTGTGAATTATTTTATCTACCCCCAACACCAGGTTTTCATCTTTTGAAGCTAAGTTAATATTTTAATTCCAAAGGTTGACCAGCATTGATATTGCCCCAATCACATATAGCAGTGAGTTGGTCGATATATAGCCTAGTTGCATAGGGTAGACAAGGAAAGGAAACGAGGAAGGAAGCAGACAAGGGGCCATAGAGGAGGCTGTGTGAGTGTTGGAATGGGACACTGCTTTGTTCAACAGTAGGGGAGAGAGCAGACGAGCACAGTTGGCTTTGCCAGCGAGAAGACTCGATAAGTACAGTCTGCTAGGGCGGGCTATCCTATCTTACCTTTGTCTAGCTGTGTCCTAGCGTATCCTTAAATATTTGTCTTTCTCGCACTCTAAGGATTTGTATCGAGGGATGTCAAAGCGAGTACGAAGCAGAGAGGTCTGCGCTGATTGCAGTGCTCCGGGTAGGATGTCAAACAAGCTAGCTTTAGCTGCCCAGCTAACCTGCTAGCCCTTATTAAAACTTACCACACGTCCGGTTAGCTAACCTAGTTAACGTTACCAAACGCCGATAACTAATTAGCAGTTACCAGCTAACTGTTAGATGTTTAAGTGAAATGGTTGTATTTGTTGTTCTTGTGGAAACATTTGTTAAAATGTGTCGTATCTGTTTGTCTGTATCACATTAACTTGTCTGATTCGGAAACTATTTGCCTGAATTGTTATATTGTTAAACGTTAACGTTTCGGTTTAATCAGATTAATTGTCTTAAATTAGCTAGCTCGCTAAGACTGATTTGTGATTGTGGATGTGTGTTTGGAAGCAACTAACCTGGAGATGATTTGCTACTATTAGCGAATATGTAAGTCTGACTAGAATCGATTAATTAATGTGCCATAAGTGCTTCAGTTTAAGGTTTTGTTATCGTTAATTTTAATTATCTAACGTTACACCGTTAGGTTAACTAGCATGTGCTCCTTATCCTAGAGCCACGCTGGGCCTCCGTTAACAGGGGTGTGTTGATTTGCGATGAGTGCTGCAGCATCCATCGAGGTCTGGGGCGACACAGCTCTCAAGTCCGGCATCTGACTCATTCTCCATGGCCATCCTCCCAGTTACAGGTGAGAAGACAGGGACACTAGCCACATATATATATATATATATATATATATATATATATATATATATATATATATATATATGCACACACACACGCACGTGTGTATGTATGTATGTGAATGGCTTGTGGTTTCATGTTTTAGATGGTCCAGACACTGTATGGCAATGGAGCTAATTCCATATGGGAGCATAGCCTTCTGGACCCTTCCTCTTCAGTGAGTGGGAAGCGCAAAGCCAACCCCCAGGACAGAGTTCAGTAAGTGCTTTTAAGGATATTCTTGTGTCAGGGCTGATTTTGGTATGCCTGTTTGCACTTTGATATAAAGCTCTATTGGCAAAATTGATTTTCATAGTTAAGGTCAGTGAACATGTATAATTGGCCTTCTGTACCACGAATATGACTCATGGCCAGACAGTAACTTTAAGAAATGAAGATGCAGATGGGAAAATACACAACAAAAATAATGTTCAGTTAAATGCAAGTGGCAATATCATAATCATGTTAGCTATATGGGATCGATTTGACAATGATGTTGATGATTATGCAAGAAATTTTATTTTGAATGGTTTATGCATCTTTTCCTTTTATTATGAATGCTTTTCTTTAAACATGCAGTGTGTACTGTCACTCATGATGGAAAACAAAATGAGAGATGTCACGTAGTCACCCCCATCTGCTGCCAGGTATAAACACTGCGTCTGGCTGGTAGAGTAAAGATAAACAGTGAGCCACATATAAACACAGCCATGCTGAGTCCAACCATCGCACTGTTCTCGATCGAAAAAAATCGTATTGGGTGTTCCCACCACAGGAAATTTCCCAGGGAACTAATAGCCTTTTGGAGAATTGGGGAACTAAACCCGATGAACAAGGACTATATTTAGTTCCTGTTGAATAGTTCCAGGTGTGTGTCTGGGTGTTCTACCGTCTTATGGTTCAGGAACTATCAGGCCTGAGGTTTCAGGGCTGCATGTGGCTTAATGGTCAAACACAGACCCTACAGCTGCTTTAACTTCCTTCATCCACAAAACGATAATGAAATATTCTAGATACCAGGACATACAGTGCCTTGCGAAAGTATTCGGCCCCCTTGAACTTTTCGACCTTTTGCCACATTTCAGGCTTCAAACATAAAGATATAAAACTGTAATTTTTTGTGAAGAACCAACAACAAGTGGGACACAATTATGAAGTGGAACGAAATTTATTGGATATTTCAAACTTTTTTTAACAAATAAAAAACTGAAAAATTGGGCGTGCAAAATTATTCAGCCCCCTTAAGTTAATACTTTGTAGCGCCACCTTTTGCTGCGATTACAGCTGTAAGTCGCTTGGGGTACGTCTCTATCAGTTTTGCACATCGAGAGACTGAAATTTTTGCCTATTCCTCCTTGCAAAACAGCTCGAGCTCAGTGAGGTTGGATGGAGAGCGTTTGTGAACAGCAGTTTTCAGTTCTTTCCACAGATTCTCGATTGGATTCAGGTCTGGACTTTGACTTGGCCATTCTAACACCTGGATATGTTTATTTGTGAACCATTCCAGTGTAGATTTTGCTTTATGTTTTGGATCATTGTCTTGTTGGAAGACAAATCTCCGTCCCAGTCTCAGGTCTTTTGCAGACTCCATCAGGTTTTCTTCCAGACTGGTCCTGTATTTGGCTCCATCCATCTTCCCATCAATTTTAACCATCTTCCCTGTCCCTGCTGAAGAAAAGCAGGCCCAAACCATGATGCTGCCAGCACCATGTTTGACAGTGGGGATGGTGTGTTCAGGGTGATGAGCTGTGTTGCTTTTACGCCAAACATAACGTTTTGCATTGTTGCCAAAAAGTTCGATTTTGGTTTCATCTGACCAGAGCGCCTTCTTCCACATGTTTGGTGTGTCTCCCAGGTGGCTTGTGGCAAACTTTAAACGAGACTTTTTATGGATATCTTTAAGAAATGGCTTTCTTCTTGCCACTCTTCCATAAAGGCCAGATTTGTGCAGTATACAACTGATTGTTGTCCTATGGACAGAGTCTCCCACCTCAGCTGGAGATCTCTGCAGTTCATCCAGAGTGATCATGGGCCTCTTGGCTGCATCTCTGATCAGTCTTCTCCTTGTATGAGCTGAAAGTTTAGAGGGACGGCCGGGTCTTCGTAGATTTGCAGTGGTCTGATACTCCTTCCATTTCAATATTATCGCTTGCATAGTGCTCCTTGGGATGTTTAAAGCTTGGGAAATCTTTTTGTATCCAAATCCGGCTTTAAACTTCTCCACAACAGTATCTCGGACCTGCCTGGTGTGTTCCTTGTTCTTCATGATGCTCTCTGCGCTTTAAACGGACCTCTGAGACTATCACAGAGCAGGTGCATTTATATGGAGACTTGATTTCACACAGGTGGATTCTATTTACCATCATTAGTCATTTAGGTCAACATTGGATCATTCAGAGATCCTCAGTGAACGTCTGGAGAGAGTTTGCAGCACTGAAAGTAAAGGGGCTGAATAATTTTGCACGCCCAATTTTTCAGTTTTTTATTTGTTAAAAAGGTTTGAAATATCCAATAAATTTCGTTCCACTTCATAATTTTGTCCCACTTGTTGTTGTTTCTTCACAAAAAATTACAGTTTTTTTATATCTTTATGTTTGAAGCCTGAAATGTGGCAAAAGGTCGAAAAGTTCAAGGGGGCCGAATACTTTCGCAAGGCACTGTAGGGTGGAGTTTCTTTAACATTAAAACAAAGTTAGTTGTTGGTTTCCCAAGTAATGTAGTCTACTGTACAGTATTCTGTGTACAGAGATCAAGTTTTCATATGACCGTGAGGAAGGATACATAAGGATCCATACTCTTAGTTTGGACGTGAACGTCTTCTCAGAAATTGCAATGCTAATTCGAAGAGGCGAGACAGTTCAGAGATGGGGAGCTTCTGGACAATTTTCTGACAATTTTTGTTCTCGATTTTAAGGGACCACAAGATATTCAGGTTCCTGTGATGTTGTAAAGTGGCTTATTCAATGAAGGAAATGCTTTGCCACCAGTCAAAAATGCTAATGTGTCTTAAACACATGTAGATATCAACGGTGGTCCAGATTTTCAGTTTTCCTGGTTTTAGATGTGAGCATCTTCTGTTGTTTCCAGTCCCAACAAGACCGAGTTCATTAAGGCCAAATACCAGATGTTGGCGTATGTCCATCGGATGCCTTGTCGGGAGGATGACAGTGTAACCGCAAAAGACCTCAGCAAGGTGAGAAATTGCTCTATTTGTTTGCTTAATTTTTCATTCACTTCATTGCCAACAGTTTTTTAAAATGTAAGAATAATCCAACATTGTCCCATGCAAAGAATCTTCTTGGAGTGAAACTGATGGCGGTGTGTCTTCTGAATACCACAAGTGGCACTCACTTGCATTACTAAAGTGCATTTTTGGTTTTTAATCTTGATATGTGACCATTTCCTATACATTTCAAAAAGGGTTTGGCCTATTTATAGATTGCTTTTTAGCATTCAGTGCCACTGTGACATACTGCCACTCACATTTGCTTGTGCAGGTCACACTAAGACAATGACTATGAAATAGTATAGCCTCTCTGAACTTTGACACTCTCTTGGATATGTGCTCTGAATTCTCCAGTGTTCCTTACAAATAATTTAACGACAAGCTGGATTATATGCATGTTAATAGGTATTTCAATAAACAATTGTGGTTGAATAACAGCAAAGTTTTTGTGATTTAGAATTAAAGAGAAAAGTGCATGTAGGTGAACGAACCCATAAACCTATATTGTCATATCGGTGCGTAGTGTTTCCCATTAGTTAACGAGACCAATTTTCTCCACCATAGTTTCAAAATGAAGGAAAAATATTGAACCGAAAATATTTTACAACAACATTACTACAGCCTACAATAGCCAACGAGAACCCTGTAAGGATGCCCCTATTATTTCCTGGGTAGGCCAAGGGGCAGTGCTGTTGTTGTTGAAAACAATACGCTAAGACATGCACTTACAGAAACTAAAATATTAATTGGAATTTTTAAGGCTATATGCTGTGGTCCCACAGTGATTTCCATCTAATAAATCCCAGCTGTATTTGTCTGCATGGAAAAGAAAAATATATACCTTTTAGTGTGTTTAAACTTACATTAATCAATTCCAGTAGCACTTACAGTTATTCTGACTTTTGGGTTAGAGCAGCCCCAAAATCATGAATTCACTCCAAATGGTTAAAGAAATGCATTCAATTAACTTTGGATATACCTTGAAAAAGCATTTAAAATGAATTTTACAGGAATGGTAAGAGCTTACCGTTACTGACACATGTTTCTATTACTCAATTTTTCTACTCCATTTCAGTAGACTAAATAATAGAAACACCTTTGTGTATAATTCAATATAGTTGGAACAGAAAACCTCACTACATCTTCCAAAATGATCATACAGTTGAATTGCCACCTCTCTTAAACTGTTTAAACAAACTGAATTACTAAGAATTTTATATGACTTGACTTGACCCAAGCAATGACTTGACCTTACTTGACTTGACTTTCATCACAGTAACTTGGGACTTTCTTGAGACTTACGGCGAAACACGATATTAAATGAACTTAACTCAGTGTCATAAATGTTACTACGTAAGTTAGACATCTAAAGGCTCACACAAGCTAACTTATTACCTCCTGCGGTGTTAAAAGCATGAACATTGTGCCAGCACTAGAAATCTCACTCATCACACTGGACACATGTGAATGCATGGTAACTCTACAATACAGAAACATGAACACAACGAAATGACGTTCACTTACTTTTCGTCAATGACTCAACATATGGAATATTGGAAGCTGGATCATTCAGGAGGAAATAAAGATGCTAATCATCACAGGTACATGGGCTAAACTATGGTCGTTGAACTTGAACACATTTTCGTTCCCACTATAGCCAAGACACCAGCTACACACTTCCTCTACTTTACTACAGAACAAGAGTCGTAAAGCTGCGGGCACCCAGAAATGTCAGAGCCTTTTATACGGTCTGTATGCACCCCACAATCAAATTACAAACTAACTACTTGTTGATCTCCTTTCAGCAACTCCATTCCAGTGTTCGGACTGGAAACCTGGAGACCTGCCTAAGACTCTTATCTTTGGGAGCACAGGCCAACTTCTTCCATCCAGTAAGTGTAGTGGAAGGAGCAACCTGTAGTTTTTTTTTTTTTTTTTTTTGTGGGTTATAAGTTGACATAATAATGCTTTGCTATTGTGTTGGTTTTTGTGACAAAAGGAGAAAGGGAACACCCCTCTACACATAGCAGCAAAAGCAGGACAGATGTTACAAGCAGAACTGTTGGCGGTATATGGAGCTGATCCCGGGGCTCTGGACTCCAGTGGAAAGACCCCCATCGATTATGCAAGGTAAAACAGGGCCTATGTTTTTTAATTTAATATTAATTTAACTGGCTCGTCTTTTTATTTCTAATAAAGGATGTTTTTAGGTACAAGCAGTATGAAGTCCTACCAACACTATATGATGTTACTAACAACATACATTGTAGAGCTGCTACAATGTAGAACTTCATTGTTTTGATGAAGTGTATTGCAAGTCATAGTTACCCAAGCTCACAGGCCACCTCTATCACCCATGATTTCTGGTGAATTCTGTGGTATAATCTCACAATGTTGGCTTTGTATAAATTAGAGCAAACTGCCAACTGCCAACTTACATGACTAACCTGTAGTGTGGCTGCAAGCATCGCCTTAACAGACACAGCCCAGCTCACAGGAAATGATACACATCCTTTGGAAATTTAAGCACATACCCAGAAACAAACTGTGTACTATTTATATACTGAGGTGCTAATGACGAAATGTTGCACATTGTTGAAAGGTAAACAAGAACGGGTAGAAAAGGCTCCGTTAGAAACTGGAAACAAACTCTCCAGCTGAATTGGTAAAATAGTTAGCATGTCTCGCAGTACAATGAACATTAGACACAGACCTACTGGCATTATCGGTATGACTAATTCAACAATAAAACGGTTCAATTCATAGAGTATGACTAACTGAGGCAAGAGAGGAAGGAAACACTCTGTAGCTCAGTGTGCTAGCTGACTCAGCTGGACCAGTTTCGCAAAACTTGGAAAGACCTAGAAATAAAAAAATAAAATAAGCGGTAGTGATTTGTCATGTTGCGTATTAGTATACATATTGTACAAAACAGATATATGATATAGACAATATCTGCATTGCACAGTAATGTGAGCTACATAATAAGTGCCTTGTTTTACTTGAAGTCAGTGTTTCCCACAGAATTGGATTCTATTTGTGGTGGTATGGTTTGGGTTAGGGGGAGGGGGGACTAACGTATCAGAGTTAACTTGAATGCATTAGTTTTGGACAAATTTGTGCAGCAGTGTTCGTGATTTTAACCATTCAGCTCTAGATTGATTCAGGAATCTTCTCTGCAGGGAAAAGCCGGGAACAATCCTTCCTCCAGTGCATGTCCATGTTTTAATTCAGATTGTGCACAAGGAGGAGGGGCTATTCACAGACGGGTCCGTTGACAATGTGTTTGTGAGAGAGAGACGGAGCAAGCAATTAAATAAGATTATATCTATTTTTAAATAGTAAAGAAAAATCAATATGTGTCGGTCAGCGTTACTATTTTGTCAGGCCTCCACAAATCAATGTATGGGACACACTGAAAGTCAAAACTAAATATTTAATTGTGTTTCTGGCATAATAAAGGCTTGCTGGTGTCTATGCGTGACTGGTCACCATGGCTAGCTAACACCCACATACCTTCCACTTCCATTTGAATGTCAGATTTTGATTACTATTTTGGTATGAACATAGAACAGATACCTGATGTGTTACAGCACAGTGAGAGGGCAAAAAGGCACAGGTACAGTTCACAATGCATATCAAAGAAAAGAAAAGGCGCATAGAGTTGATTATGTTCATAAGAAGGACAATGGTGGGAGGGGTCCCCTGGAGCCAGTGTTTTGTAAATGTTTTTTTACTTGTGGCCATAAAAATCTTCAAAAGGTATGTGTCGCTCGTTAACTGAGACCTTTGGGAATATTTACAAGGTACAAAAAGGTAAAATATTTCAGGTCCAGTATCTCTGAGATTAAATTACCCACTCTTTTCCAAAAAGGATATGTATTGAACTTCATAGACACAAGATTTTGACGTATATTAATTTAAAGGCATTCAACCTGAGGCACCAGTGCCATATTTCTTAAATGTGACCTTTTATTCCTAATCTGTGCAGACAAGCTGGGCATCAGGAGCTGGCAGAGAGGCTAGTGGAGATACAGTATGAACTCACTGACCGGTTAACATTTTACCTATGTGGCAGAAGACCAGGTAAGTTGGCGTATTAAACATTGCTGCTGCGTGGCATTTAAGAATTTTCTGTGCTTTTTCTATATATTATTTTCTATGGTAGTTGCGCTCTCTCATATCCTTTTTTGTGTTGTAGATCACAGAAATGGGCAACACTTCATCATTCCACAGATGGCAGACAGGTAATAGCTATGTTTTAAGTGACATTAGGGATTTTGTGTCATATCTATTAGTTACAAAGTTGGGATCTTTTAATGCAGAGAAAATAAACCAAGGGAAATTGTTAGGCTACTGGCTACTCGTCAATGTTATATGTCTTACTCTGTATAAAGGCACTGTGATTTGATCATTGATGTTCACAAAATAATTCCAATATTATTTTTCCTATGCTGCATTCTTTTGATGCATAAGAAATAAGTAAGTATACTTGTTAGGTGTTTGCATGTCTCTTTGTGTGGAATTTTGTTAGATTTATAGCAATTTAGCAATTTAAGGTTGGCACTTTAGCAGTTTAAATTTTTCGTTCAAAGCAGCCTGGATTTGTCAGAGTTTGCAAAAGCGGCAAAAAAGAAGCTCCAGTCGGTGAGACTTTTAAAACATTTTATTACATGTGAACACATTTTCTTACTATTCAATAGTTGTTCAATGCTGCTTTTTTTTCCCCAGCTAAGTAACCATCAGTTTGAAGAACTTGCCATGGATGTTTATGATGAAGTTGACAGAAGAGAAACAGATGCAGGTAAAATTCCAAGAATTATAAAAATGAGCTATATAATGCTGTATGTAATGCTCTATATGTCCTGCATTTTCTCTATATTTTATGTTGTGGTTTTTCAGTGTGGTTGGCCACCCAGAACCATAGCACACTTGTAACAGACACCACAGTTGTGCCTTTTCTGCCCGTCAATCCAGAGTATTCATCTACCAGAAACCAGGCAAGTCACAGTGCCAACGTCTCCCTGTTTTAAACTTCAGTTTGTTGTGTGATATGTTCTCCTTTATGTGTTTTGACACATTTGTTTTCTCAGGGTCGTCAGAAATTGGCAAGGTTTAGTGCTCATGAATTTGCCACCCTGGTCATTGATATTCTAACGGATGCTAAACGACGGCAGTGGGGTAATTCCTGTGAAAGTCCCAAAGGTACTAAGTCTTCTCTTGTTTATATTTTTAACAGATGTTGGATTTCCTTGCTAATGTACTTTTGTTTTGTTTTTTATTAATGAATCAGCAGGGACAGAAAACTGCATTCTCGAAATCCTCTAAATTATGGCAAACCACATCACAGCCTTTTTTCTTCTGTGTGTATGCACCAAAAATTGTTAGGGGTCATAAAGAAGAGCAGGTCCTGACTTTTGAATTCAGGAAAGAGTGTTGCTTAGCTATTTGATTTTATACTGCTGCCTGTAGCCAGCATGACTTGTTTGATCTCTAATGCTTTGAACTGGTGGCCTGCCTTCAGAGAATGTGGAGCTGATCCTTCAGGGAATAGACAGTCGCCATAACAGTGAGAGCCAGGACAATGACCAGCCCGATTATGACAGTGTGGCGTCAGATGAAGATCCGGTGCAAGAGGCCACCTGTGGGGACAGCTGCAATGACAGAAGGACCAAGGTTAATGTTCCTTTCGGACCCTGCTACCATCTTGATATTTAATCTTGCTTTTTACTTTTTAAACCGGTCAAATTAATCCTATTCTATGCAACATGTTCTGCCTCAGAGCTCGGAGTCATCTGACCTCTCTGATGGACCAATCACAGTGCAGGAATTTATGGAGGTGAAGAGCGCCCTCACCGCATCAGAAGCTAAAATACAGCAGCTTCTTAAAGTCAACTGTCACCTTAGTGAAGAGCTGCGGTTGATGCAGGGCAAGGTTAGTAAAAATAACATGGAACTCATGAGCAGAGTGGGAATTGTGCTGCAGATTGTTTACACTTTTTCTGTTTGCAGGAATGTGTTCAAAGTCAGTATGCCCTTAATTGGTTGGTTTCCATCACTTTAATTAGATGGTAGTCCACATGAATATTTCAGTATTCTTAATTAGAGGTCACTATGTGCTGGATTTATGTTTTTTTGCATCCTCTCTACTTGCTAGTCGTTCTATCCTCTTAAAACAGCTTGTGTTCAACATTTTAGCCTGTGTGTGCAAGACTTGATGCTTCTCCGTGTTACTAGAGACATGAAGTAATTTGATGTAACCCACAGACATTAGTAATTTATGTTCAGGTCATGCCTGTTTGAATGTGTCAGACGTAGCCTTTTCCCAATTTAAAATTACACCATGTATGAATTATACAGTGAATTTGTAGTTGCAGGGAAGAGCAGATTTCGACAAATGGATGAAAATACCATTAGAATGTCATAACTCAATACTAGCGTAACAGAGAAAATGGCTGCTATGTTTCTGGATGTGGTACAATTCCTGTGGTAATAATTAACAATCACAACATTTTCTCTGCTATGCTGTTTAGTGAAAAAGCAAAATAGGACTGGATGTTCTAGTTGTTTGTGGTCTCAGAGTGAGGATTCAGAGGAGGAGTCCCAAGTCAGATGTCAAAAGAACCACATACTAATCAGAAAATGGTAGCCACAGAAGACATTGTGATCCATCATTGTAAATCAGAGCCATCAGACAGCCAACAACAAACCACCTAAGTGTTGCAGTGATTAGTGTTTGAGTGTGGGTGAATGACCAGAGTTATCAACTTAAATTAAATCTCTGACACCCCCAGAAGGCATGTAGCAAGCAGTGGCAAAATACACAACTGATTTATTTATCTGAAGATCCAGGCATATCTTGTCACTCAGTTTCTTATTTCTTAGTAGTACAAAAAAGTAGCGATACTTAGCCGCAGTGATACTAAGACATGCATGTTTTGAGGAAATCCTTCCCTGTTAAGATTTCTGCCACAACTCCCAATACTATGGTGACACTTGAACTTGAACAGCAGCGTCTGTTTCTAGAAACAACATCCCAGTTATTCAGCAAAATACACAGACGCTGGCGTGGACCAATGTTTTACACCTTTTCAGCATTTGGCAATCCGATCTCAATCTGTCTTGAATGTTTGTTGGATAAATTTACACTTATATGAAATCTGATAGCTGTCTGATCCGCTCAGGATGCCTGAAGTGACTAAGTGTAAATGGGGTCACACTCCCTCGCAGGGAACTATTAGGATCATTCCTCCGGTGATCTGATGAATTAATTTCTATTTGACCGTTGTCAGCTTCCGCTACTAGATACACCTGATAATGTTACCAAGTTAAGTAGTGTATCACCTTAGGGAGAGACCAAGTCTGCATGCTTAATGGTATGACAGGAATGTTTGCACCCATTTTGGGAAATGGCAGCATTTTATTTGGTTTTCTCATGCACCTCAAAATTCTTCACTGCCCACATTCTTTCTCTTTTAAGTTGGCTGAGAAACATAATGTGTACTGCCTTCTACTGCTGGTTTATTTACTCCTTAACCATACTGCTTTACTGACAAAAGTGTTCATTTCAGTCCCTTATCTGCTTCTGACACCCTCCAAATCCTCAGTGGAACCCCAAGACATTATGCAACATAGACAAATTGTGAGCTAACTAGCCTCTAAAAGCTCTTCCTTTTAATATTCATCATGTTTTGTATGTTGTCACAGCCTTATTAACATTAATTAAAGAAAATGGCCAAGCTGTAGGCAGCACTGCTTTTGTGTTAATCTAACCTTTATCGGTTTTGTAGCACTTAATTCATATCCCAAAAGTTGACATTATAATAATTAACAAAAATAATTAATATGGACTAGTGTTAATCATTTTTAGGTAGGTTTTAGTTGTATAAAAATCTATGAATTTGTAAGTATTTGTAGCATAGTTTTAGTCAATGAAAACTGCTGACATTTTAGCCTTTTTTTTTAATCATCAGATTATATTAAACATTTCAATCAATCTAGTCAAAGCTAACGGTCTAGCCAAAACCAGTAATTATTTGTCATTTTAGTCACACTTACTTCAAATTCCATTTTATGGGCCCAAGTATCGCCTTGTTTATTTCTCCCAAGCCTTGTTGTTGCCATTGTTAACTTTAACTTGCTTTCTGGAAAACGCAACAGATTTGCTCTCTTTTACTTTTTGTTGGTGATTGTAATGCGTCTGTTCAGAACCTGGTGGTTCATGTTGGTAATTGCCATCTGTTGTGCTGGTTTATAGTTTTATCATCAGTTACATGTCTTGTCACCAGCTGTTGTTTCAAAAACCGTTCCAAATGTTTTCGTCTCTTCTATTTTTGTCTGTGACAGCAAAAAGAGATTTTGGTGAAGTTACACATTAAGCTATTTAAGAAATTGCATGTTGAAATAGCCACAGTTAGTGATCAGTGATGATATCATTGTCTCCTCATGGGAGAAAAGTTGTTGAGATGGACATATTTAGTCAAAGAGACAGAAAGCCGTGTTTTCCATTGCCCTTTTCAGTTTCTACGTACAGTTCATGTTAAGGGCAACCACTTGCAGCAGTTTCTCCAGGGCTCGTAGTTCAGGAGTTGCTATCTACACACAGTGTTAGCTTATCCATTGTCGAAGAAACAAAACTTATGTTGTGAGGAAAAACTTTGAGAAACCAAAAAAAAAATAAAGGTGACTATGAACTCAACATTAAGGAATAGCCTTTATCCTGAAGACTTGGCTGTATTCTACTCTATTATTGATGTCGGGCTGAGCTTTTGTAAGATCATCCCCCAGCTAGAGTAGAATTGAAAGATGTTTTGTTCTCTTCAGCTCAACACCCTGCAGACTGAAAATACAACACTGCGGTGGCAGACCCCCAGCGGACAACACCACCAGCAGGGGCCCTTTGGTCGACACCCACCCCGCGGAGGTCGTGCCATGTCCATGTATGAGACGGGCTCTGCTCCGAGGCAGTACCTCCACCGAGTCGAAACAGCTCGGCATGAGGATGGAGTCATTTTACAACCCTTCCCAAGCAATGTAAGCACAGAAGCACCAATGTTCCTGCTGGATTGTCCTCACAAGACAAAAAAATTATGCCTGGCTTTTGGGGGCTGGTGTTGGTTTTTCATTCAATCATTCATTCATTGCATCTCAATAGAGTATGCTCAACTTGGTTTGACCCCTTTCTAGATTGGGAGGGGTCCATTGGGGACGGCTGCTTCCTCCCTTCCTACCTTCCCCTCTTCCCTGTCCTGGTCGTGGGATGAGAGATCTCGAAGGGTTAAGTACTGAAGTTCCCCCTCGGTTCAGAGGCAGCCCCCAGGGGACACTAAAACCTGTCCCTCTGCTTGACCCCACGGTCTTCTCTCTCCTGACCTTTGTCTTTAAACTGCTTTTTATCAGTATCGCCTGCCTGCATGCATGCACCACAGTGCCTCTGCTTCAGTTCAGTCAACTGAACAACTCCAGCTTTTTTATCCACAAAGAACCTTAACCAGAGCTGCTTTGTCTCTAGTTGACATCAGAAGTGATGATGAAATGTTGTGCCAGAGAAAGCTATTCGAATGATCAGACAGCAGAGTCCAAAATCCATGAAAGATAGATCAAATGGCTCATCACATTGCACTCATTAGCCACTGATAAGTGCACCCAGTTTACATCAGGATTTCTGTGCATCTACTAATTGCATCCACAGCAGTATGCACTGTGTTACACCACAGTGACCTGGTTGTAAATGTCTTTTTCTCTTAATCTGCTTTAAAACAAAATGTCTGATCATGTGAACTTGGGTTTGATTTCAGAAAAGCATGATTCTGAGTTGTGTGTGCCTACAGTTGCTCTGGTATTATGTTTGTGCTAATCATATACAGTATGTACTGTGTTTGACTGATGGTAATGCACTCTCTCTATAGGGCTGTAGTCTGGAAGGACAGAGTATCATGCTGGAGAATGATTATGACACCACGCCCAACCACTCTGAACTGGAGGAGACTAGGTAAGAACATTTGCGTTAACTTTGTACCCACGTGTTCAAAAGGGCACGGACTGTGATACTTTTAAAACTAATTTTAGATTTTATACAATTTTCTCTGTAAAGCTTTGTAAACATTCGTATATTTTCATCCCCAATATAACACACAAAAAATCCTCAATTTATTTGGTAAAACAAGCTAATAGGTTCTTCAAACAAACACATTTAAAAAAATATGCAGTATTTACTGAAATGAAATGTTAAGGGCGAGCAAAGACATGGAGTAAGAAATGACAGGACAGAACTTTGAAGTTAAATAAATGGGAATGTTTTTCTGGTTACGGGTGCTGGAGATGGTGACATCATCGTAGCAGTAGCTTACAAAAGTTAAAGGTCACATGAAGACAGAGGAGGAAGCTAGACTAATATTGATTTTGACAGATGTTCAAATTGATTAGAACAGTCTGGCTGTACAGGACTAAGTTAACATATCACTTGCCTGACATAAGCTACCAGTTGCAAAAAATCAACATAAGAGCAAGAGCCAGAAACCTTGCACGTCATTACCTCTGGTTGTTGCAAATATGTACATGTAGTGCTGATTAAAGTCACTGCAATTGGCTGCTTGTTGAAAAGCCACAAATGAATGGATCCAGTTCTCTACACTAATTGCGCATTTTATGTCAACCACCATCATACAATTTTTGTGATATTTTTTTTTGTAAAGATGTGGTTAAGATAGAACCTAAAATGCACTGAATTGTGATTCCTTAAACTTTAATTTCTAATTACAAGCCAGACTGCATCTGTTTTATCACAGGGAATGGCATTTCACTTAATTCACAGTCAGTGGACAAGAAATAAAAATCCAGAATTCAGTTATGGCCTGGATCACCACCCACATTTTTCACAACTTTTCAGTTTTTCCTTCAAAACCTGTGTCTTTTGAGTTTCAACGCATTTAGCAGTAAGCCGTAAGCCGTAACAAACCATTTTTTTTCTTTTCATTCGTAGCAGCCCTCTTACAGCCTCTGAAGCAGTGGAGCCAGGGGAGGAGGGGGAGGAAGATGCCACCCTGCCATGCACAGAGGACGTCATCTGTAAGACTGAGCAGATCACTAAGAACATACAGGAGCTTCTGAGAGCTGCCCAGGAGACCAAACATGAAAGGTAGTTAATGACTAATAAATCAATAATAAATAATAATATAAATAAAAGTATAAAATGAGTGAACTTCAAATATATTGAAAGTTGCTGTCATCATTCTCTTTTTGTCTGTCCTTTTGATGGTAAATGCCGTTTCATCCTCTAGTCTTGGCTGCTTCTAGGTCAGTGGTTTTCAGTAGTCGTCCTCGGGCCCACGACCCTGCTGGTTTCCATTCATTCTAGCCAGCTAACGACAGATTTACACTTGAGTTGCAAGGCAACTGAAGTAATATTAGTAAACCAGCAGCACTCTGGTCTCAAAGACCAGTATTGACAGCCACTGATTTTGAGGCTCTTAGACTGGCCTCTGTCCTTGTGTCCTAGAAACGGTGTGTATGCTGGGGGTAGGCCTTGAGTCTTTAAATGCAGCTGACAGGAAACGCCACATTCCCCTGTGGCCTGCTAAATCCACAGCGAGCTAATTTAGTCAATGAGGTTTCTGTATGTACTTTACCATATATTAATTTCCTGTTTTTTAGTTATTTATTGCTGTTGTTAGGGTACATTTTACCTCATCCCAGTTTTTTTTGTTTGTTTGTTTTTTTTTTTTCATCCAGTGTAAATATTTCAAAATTCAAAGTGTGTACTTGTTGTTATTATTAGGTATTCACAATAATGAAAGGCTAATTGTGGAATCATTTAGTGGATTACTTTTACTTTTTCTGTTTAATTTTGTGAAAAATATTGTAGCTGACTTGGGCGTGGTATGTTTGTTGTCTTGACTGGCTACTGATTTTTAGAAAGTAGGTCTTAACCAAACCACCACCTAGATCCAGCTCTCATGGTGCTCTTTAACATACTCAAACATAGCCTTTAGCGTTGATATGAAATTATAGACCGAAGTTTTTTAGGTATCACTGGTCTACTACAGACTTTCACAGCTTTATAATTGGCTTCTTATGTCAAACTTTCAGTTTGAGTATATATCAAGAAGTTGAATAAAACTGTTTATTTTGGAGCCTCACCAACCCCGCTGTCATCTAACCCTGTGTCGTGTTTGCTCATCAGCAGTTTTGTGACACATTTCCCCCAAGATGCCTATCTCAGGGTTCTTCTGGAAAGTTGCACCACTGCCTTGCATGTGATTAGTTACATGGTCAAATACAGAAGATGAGCAGTGTGTCAGACATTTGAATGGTTTATTTAGAAATACTGTGTAAACAGCAGTTACGTTTGTAGATGGGTTTTTTTTTTTTTTTTGCCACCTAATGAGTACTTTTATTTTAATACTTTTAGTTTTAATACTTTAATTACTACTTTAATACTTAATATATTCTGCTACTAAATACGTTTGTACTTACATGTCTAAATTTAAGAACATTCCCTTTTTTCAATTAACAAAAATAACAATTAAAAGGAACATAGATTTTTTTTTTGTTTGTTTATTGTATTCTTTACCAGGGGTGCTGGATTAAAGTTACATGACAGGGAGTAGTATTTCATGTTTCTCTTTTTTTAGTTTGGTGTTTGGGAATGTTTGTGGTAGCTGTTTTGCAATAATGTTTCTATATATAGCACAGGAGTGGTGGTTCAGCCTTTTGTCTCCATCTCCTGCAGCTTCCTACCTTGTTCAGAAAAGATCTGCATGGCTGTGTCAGAGATGGCTGCCCTGTTTCCCAAGGTAAGATGACTCACCAACAGCTTGGTGTCCCTCCCCCGTACAATTAAGGGATTTGTTGTTTGTTTTAAACCAACCAAAGGGTATCTAAAATTACATCTTTATATCAGGTAGGCCCTGTTCATTGCATGGCCTAGTGTTCTGTTTAATATTTATTGGATTACTTTGTTTGAAGTTTTCTTGCATACATGCAGCCCACACTGAGGGTTTATTTATGGACATTGTCATGTCTGTCTCTTAACGAGTCTCCATCAATCCTCATTTCCATCACAGAGGCCGTCCTCAGAGACTGTGCGAGGTTCTCTGTGTCTGCTCACTTCGAGCGCCAGCCGGCTCCATGGAGAGTGCCAGAAGGCCGCAGAGCACAGCCCCTGCCCATCGGACATCCAGCTGGTCACTCAGCAGGTCATCCAGTGCGCCTATGACATTGCCAAAGCTGCCAAGCAACTTGTCACTGTGACAACCAAAGAAAACAGCAACTAACTAAAACACAGACATTCCTCATACACCCAAAATACAGTTCATCAGTGATGTTGCTCACTACAGCGTAATCAGTGTTAGTGCCATTTTTTTGTTTTCTATGTGTGTGTATATATATATATATATATATATCATGCAAAATTACAGATCATTTTGTTGTTTTGGTTTCATGGTAATACAGACTAAGGACCAAATCTGTTACTATTCCTTACCTCACAAAGAGATAACATTTAAATCCACACAATTTCCAGAAGTGCACTGGTGGGGGTGGGTGGGTGTGTGTGTGTGTGTGTGTGTGTATAAAACAAATAGAACAAGCAGGTGAACCTTCTACATTGTACTTTTCTCCATAGAGGTCAACAGTTCTGGTCCTTGAGATCGGGTGTCAGGTATGGCTGAGCTGCCAGAGAGGACAGAAGTCTAAAAGACACCCGGCATCAATGATTATTATTGATGGACCTTCATCTACACCAGCGACAGTTTATTTGCCTTTATCCATTTTAAATGTTTTTAAAGACGCAATGACAGTATTTTAATCTTGAATCAGTGTGACAACACTTGCCCACATGTTTAGTAAGCAAATGCTTCAGTGCACTGAGCACCATGTAAGTCGCCAGCAATTCAGTGAAGTGTGCAAACTTTCACTCCATCCAGCAGCTCCAGCAGGTGATTTCACTGTCCAACCCCTCCGCTCGGGTTGAAGATGTGTTTTTAAGTAAAGTATCAGTAGTTTTTGGTTATAATGTTACAGCCATACTTCCGCTGGGGTGGGGGTGTGTGTGTGTGTGTGTGTGTGTGTGGGGGCGCAGTCGTCACAGAGATGGGCTCCATGGCTGTGTGAAAACCATTTTGAATCAATTTTAATAGCATTATGCAAATATATAAGATGTATGTATCCATGTAATTCTTTATCAAAATAACCCAAATGTTAATCTATTTATAAATTGAATGTCATACCTCTAAGAAAATATCAATGTTTATTTTCATAAGCTTTTGTTTTTAACATGATGCTCCTCACAGACTAACTCTTGCTCTGAGGTTTGGGACGTCTCAGCTGGCAGTAAGTTATAGGCAACTTGTGATCTCTGTTTATTTGGTGTGGTTCTGTAACTTCAGTGTGTTAGATGCTGCCTCTTGTCAAATACGTACAGCTAAGTAAATGTACCCTCAAAGTACCTGTTGTAGAACTTGGGTCTAATGTGTGTCACTCATTGTGAGCCAGATATGTTTCAACCAGGGATGGAACGAGAACTAGAATACTCTGCACAAGTAGAGTACAGTTATCTCATTATTACTCAAGTAAGATTAACTGTGTTGGGATGTATTTAATGAAAAGTACAAATTATTATTATTACAACATATCTGGTCAGCATGAATTTCATGTCGAATTACATTATGAATATGCGACCTCTCCCCTGAGCAATCTCTCAGATTCAGTGGTCATTTCTGAAGTGCCAAATGTCTTTTCTTTCTGAAGTTTTTTCAGAAGGCTGGCTAAGAAGAGAAAAAGGTTTCAAGGCAAACAGGAAGTCATAGATAAGTATTAAACTGTCTTTAAACCAACTTCATAATATTACACTATTCATCTCTTCTGTTGAAAGGTTTTTTAAAGGACAAAAATACCTTGACTCAACGTCCACTTACTAGCTTTTTTGTGACCTTTTGTGTATATCCTCTTGTATGGTATTCTGATGGGAGAACTAGTCATGCAGACAGCCATGTGATTAGCCACCAATTACTTTCATTTTCCTTCTCCCCCACTGATGCAGTGTTCTTAATCCATGACTAACTTTTACTCAACAGACCCACTACAGCATACTTGCAAACGCTAACAAGTATGTGAAAGTAGCTCAAGTAGACCGACAGTCAGCACCTCCATAAACTCAGCAACATCCATTATACTGCAACATCTAGCTATGGTTTGCTAGCATTTGCCACCATAACAGTGGTAATACCGGACCAAGTAAGTTAAGGCTATTTGTGTAGTGAATTGAGCAATGCTGCATTTAATTGCTCGTGGGTGCAACTTTTCATTTTCAAGCAGAATAATGTTTTATTTCTTCCTTCAAAAGTCGCGCTTTAAATCTTTATTTCAAACTAGATATCCAGAGTGGTTCATGAGCGCATTGCCTGATGTAAGTTACTATCCGATACCCAATACAACCAAACCTGATTCTACATTCAAAATTGTTTTAAAACGGAAGTTAAAAACACAGCTTTTAGCATTATGGGTTAATTTTTAATGCACGAATGAAGTACTCTGTTACATTAATACAAGTGCGTGTATTCAGTTACTTCCACCCCTGGTTTCAAGGTTTCAACCCTGAGATGTGACTCCCTGTAATTTATAGGCTTACACTGCCTCTGTGGTTGACAACAATCCCTGCCTTAGGTATAATAAAGTATTCATACCTCAACTCATTGTCGTGTTCATTCGTGTGTGTGTGTGTTGGGCGGGAGGGGTTCAACACGCCCATGTTTAATTCCCCACCTGTTGGACAAGGACGAAAGCGATAGGGGCTGGTGGCGCTTCCCCACCCATCTGACAAGAAGAGAGTTCCGGGTTCTTTCCAGCCGAGCTGCTCGCGACTGCTGCGTACGGCGGGACCATGTCTCTTTTACTAGATAACCAATTCAAAGAGCTGCCTCCTGACAAGTCGATAGATACAAAGTTGTTCCTGGAGGCTGTCTCTCATATTCCTTCTTTTTTTGGTGAGTATACCTCCACCACCTCCACCTGAACACGATAACAGCGCGAGTGTTAGTGAGACGATGTTGGCGCGGTGCTGCCGCCGTCACAGTTCATTGCGTACTTGGCTGACTTCATGTTCCTCATGACATGTTGATTTTAAATGACTTGCCACTCTGATCCCAGGACATGGTTATTATACGCATACCAGAAGTGGAGCTGCTGGATCCCGAAACAGCTGCGGTCGTGCAGCCTATAGAGAAACTCTTTGTTTACTCATTGAACAGAGGACACATGACCTCATTGTGTCTTAACTGTGAATTCACTGCACCCCCTCTCCTTTCTGTTTGTACATAAAGGCTGATTTGTATTAATCATCCCCTCCTAGCCAGGGACGTGTGATGAAGTCATCCATATTTTCTTGCTTTGCTCTCAAATGTCTCTTTCTCTTTCAGATTGCTTGGGATCAAAAGTGTTTTCAGTCATCAAATCGGACATTAATGGCAATATAATTGTAAGATACAGATCTGTCTGTGTATTTGTATGCCTCTGCTCTGCTAAGTGCACTGTTAAGAACTGAATATAAGATGGAGCCCAATGGTAAAGCTCCTACATGTAAATCCAATCAAAAATGTGCATTTATTTTAGAAAATCAAAGCAGTATATCTTAAAGATCCTGCGAAGTACACTACCCTGCAGGACATTCTGGTGGCAGAGCGAGAAGACCACGCAGCAGAATGGCCTAAAGTTGGAGCGACATTAGCTCTGATGTGGCTGAAAAGGTGAGCACTCCCTGAACTTACTGTTATGCATGTTGAACTTTAAGCTGCTGAGCAGAGGCTTTATTTTTTTTGTAACTTTTTTTTCTTTAATTCTGTGGCTCTCCTGCAGGGGTCTCTATTTCATACAGATTCTCTTGCAGAGTTTGGCAGATGGAGAAAGGGATGAGAACAACCCCAACCTAATTCGGGTTAATATCACAAAAGCTTATGAACAGGCGCTGAAGAAATACCACGGCTGGATTGTTCAAAAGATTTTCACAGTGAGTGAAATGTCCTCTTTATTTTTGTTGTTCTTAATAACTCATTATAATATAATAAAGTGACTGACTACACAAATGCTTTAGGCCATTGAAGCTGTGGAAACAGTCTTTGCTATTGTAATGCATTTTACATGTTAATCGTGTGTCCATACCCTGCATTCAAGTATATTTTTCTTCATTTATATTCATGTGATGTCAGCCTATTTAATTTACCTTTCGGTAAACTCACTTCTACCTAATGATCATTGGACATTTATTTATTGTTTTGTCCATTGCAGGCAGCATTACATGCAGCTCCCTACAGATCAAACTTCCTCAAGGCTCTGTCAAAAGGAGAGGAAGTGGAAGAGGAGGACTGTCTGGCAAATGTGCGTCAGTTCCTGGTTAATTACACCAGCACAGTAAATGCCATCTATGAGATGTACACAAATCTGAACGCAGAACTGGACTACACCGTTTGATGTCCCGGGAAATAACTGGACTGGGTGTGTGATAGTTTCCTACAAATCCAGCTTTCAACAATGGTTTTTAATAGGATTGTTTCCTTTCAGTGTGGTATTTATTGCTTTGATTATGCCTTAATAGATAATAACACTGTATATTTGATCTTAAAATTATGCAAATGCCTTAAATTTAAACAAATATCACAGGTTTTTGTTTGTTAAAATTTTTAATTTTAAGTCATTGAAGGACTGTTACAGCAACCGTGCAGCTTTTACTCTTATGCAGAATGATAGTTATTGTGTGTGTTGCTGTTTTATTTATGACAACAGGTGGCTCCCATCAAGACAAGAATACAAGACTGTAAACACTGTTAATGCCTCACATTCAGAAGTTCTCTGCATCCTGAGCCCTGGAGTTACCTCCACTGTTAACCTGGGAGCAGCAGCCCCAGTAGTAGTTTTACATTTTTACGACCCATTTACTCATGTATTAATAGCTGAAATCCACTTAGTGCCTTGGTTTTACTGAACACGTACATAATATTTTCAGCTCAGAATTAATCTATTGCAATGCTATTTCACCTACAAAAATTAGCCGAGCCAGAACTGTTTTCTGAGGGCTTCACCTGTCTGAAGTTTGTGGTGTGTCTGTGTTGAATAACAAGGTGTGATCAGCTTTTTGTTTTTGTATTGTAATGTGGCTTTTTCTGTTCCAGTTGATATCTGAAGTAACCAAATGTCTTTACACAAACATAATGTCAATAAATATTTTTAATTTCAGGAAGCTGCACATGATGTGCACATTTATTAATAACTCATTCATCAGATCGTCATTTTCTGTATCACTACTCATAGACAGGCTATTTTTTCCTTGATTTTCAACAATGATCAAATTTGTGCTTATTACAAGATTTTAATGTGACTTTAGAAAAGTGTCAACTTAGTTGAATGGTTAACCAATAAAAATCACACTTGCAGTTCATAAGTTATACTCTAGGCGGCGATATTTACTTGTTTTTTTTGTCACCTTTAATCACAATGATGGTGCGGTTACTGCATGAAGTAATAAATAATGTAAATTATGTTCACTGACAAAAATCATACACTGTATGCAAAGTAGATCCAGTTCCAGTGTTTCCTAACTGAGATCTTAAATGTGATTTATGTAACTTTGCAAAAGCAGTTTTGTGCATTTTCAAAAGCTCCTTTAGTGGACTGCAATTTGATTTGCTCTCAGCAAAAATATTTTTGAGGCCGATTGAGGGGGGGGAATGTTAACACAGCCAACATCAGCTGTAAATCAGAGGAAAATCCCCTCTCTTCTTCATGTCTCCTAATCCCCCAGATCAACCAACCTCTTCCTATGCCCAGTCTCACTTATCTGAAGTGTGTCCCAGAGGCTGAAGTGGCTCTGGTTCCTCTCCCAGAGGAGCTGAGCCTGAGCTAATCGTCTCTGAGCGAGAGCAAGAGGAGCATGTCTGTAATCCTGTAGGTTTATCAGCAGAGCGGCCTGGCCTGTCCTGACTGATAGATAGGATGGAAAAGCTCCAAGCTAAGCCAGGACACAATAGGCTAAAGGCAGGAAATCATTCACAACAATGCCTCAATGACAAAGCCACTGACCTTTAATTCTGCAATATTTGTTATCTGCAATGAGGTAATCAATTGAATATTGCAGTTTTATTCCCAACAGTGCATCTAATGCCATTATTCACGCCATCAAGGTTATTTGTTTTGTAATAGACTACTTAAAATGGGTGTGCATTTTATGTCTACTGTGACCTAAACCAGATTACTGCTATAGCATCTAATTTAGGAAGACAAATACAGCAAAATAAGAGGTGCAGGTACGCCGCCATCAAAGATCAGCAATTCAACAGCTGGGTAACAGCAAGCCCATTTCTATTTAATGTGAACAGTAATATTCTTGTAGATTTCCCTTAAACAAAACATGTATTTTTCATGTACAAATGTAATATATAAGAAGGCCTGTATATTATTTACATATATGTATTTAGAAGTATTCAGTGGCTTCTGCCTCAAGCGTTGGCCATCCATTTAGACTCACATAATTCACTATGATAACTAAATTATTAATTTCAACCTGCGTCATTTATAGAGGAACCAGTGTAATATATTTCAGTAAAGGATTGACTTGCATCACATAAACCTCCAGTGAAAAGATAGATCTTAATAAAAGGAGATCTATGAATGAAAAAAAAAAAGAAAGACATGCCCGATGGTTAAGCCTTAAATCCCTTTGCAGTAACACCAGAAAAATGTCTCATCTTTCCACAAGTTCATCATTCATGAACATAATGCCGTCTTCTCAGCTGCATGTCGGGCAGATACTGATGATACGTAATAACACAAACTATTTGCTGGGTTTAGAAAATTTAATTTACTTGACAATCCTTATTAAGAAGAGGCAAAAAAGGGTGAGGGATTAGGGTCATACATTGCAAAATGTAGTTATTTCAACAACATACTTCATGGAGAGCGCTCACATGTTCATATATAATAATTGCACTTTATAATTATAGAGACGGTTTGCCATATAACTCAACAGGCTGACATAAATAAATAGTATTACAGAACCAGTGCAGACACACAAAGAACTACTCAGTCATACATCTCACACCATCAGATATAATATAGCCCTACAAAGAAGATATTGTAAATGATTCAGGTGGCCTGCTTGCTAATGTGGCACTCCATTATACGCAGGTGTTGTGTGTCACAACCTTCCATAAAAAAAAAAAAAAAATTTAATTGAAGAAATGTCCACACAACCTCTTAAAATGTTAAAAATACAACCAAAGGGCACATCTTGCTTGGTCTGGCTTGATTTGCCACAGTGTTGATTTGGATATGCAACAGTCCTATTACATTGTGCTGAGCGTGACTACATTAAATCGATTAAGATTTTAAATCTCATAACTTTAAATAACTGCATAACAACAACAAGAAAAAAAAATCACATTTGTACGCAAGTGATCAAAATGTTTCCCCATACAGTGGCCAGGAAATTTGCATCACATTGCAGAAGCTGGGGCACTGCGTATGTCAACAAAAAGTGGACAAAACTAAATCCACAGCAAAGCAGCAGACAACCAAAAGTTCAGTTAACAATTAAGAGGTGTTCCCTCCCAAATAAGAAGCCATTTTATGTAAGAATATACAATGTATTCACAAAAACTGTTACCAGCCATCCTTCAAGTAAATGTTTTATAAGGGTACCAATGATTTTATCAGTTCAGTAAGTTTCCATATTTGTAAAGGCCTAGAGAGGATATACCGGCAATTACACAGTTCATGTTCAAATATAAGGGGAAATTCTGATTAGGTGCTCAGCATCAGTATTAAATGAGGAACAGCAAGCATATTTGTTGGCATTTTAAGATATAAAAATAAAACATGAAAAGTCCATAAGATAAACCTGTATCTTAAGCCATGATTATCATTTACCTCTTCTGGCTTATAACACAAAGCCTTCTACAAATACAGTACATGCACAAACCAAAAAGGCATGTCTCATTGTCATAGATGTCTAAACTGTCACACTTCCTTCATCTATAAAAGGTTTGTCACTTCTGCGTCCCGTTGTGTAGCATCACCCCGTCTTATCTGTAGACGGGAAGCTGGATGTGGGTTTGCTGGTGGTGCTCCAGTAGCTGAGGCATCCCCATGGCTTCGTACCCACGGCCCAGCATGCGCTCTTTGATGCAGGGAGGGTGGATCTCACTGATGAGGCATTCCAGAGACTGCAGGCTGCTGCTAAGTACTGCGGCGTGGCACAGGCTAGAACTAGGCAGCACACAACAGAGGTTTTGGTCTGTGCTGTAGGCCTGGGTATGAAGAGGAAAAGGAGGACGCAGCTGCGGGTGGTGGTGTTGATGGCGGTTTGGGTGGAGATGGGGATGGGAGAGCCCCAGGTCTCTAGGCCGGGCTGCGCATGTACCTGTTGCCAGCACCTGAGAAGTATAACAGTCGCTATTAGGGGTGGCCACAACACTATCCCAGAGAGGGGCGAAGTACTGTCCAACAGAAAACTCTTCCTGCATGCCGGCACAGTTCAGAGAGGAGCCGCTGACTCGCTCCCGCCCAGCGCCCACACTGGCAGGATGTGGCCTATATGACAGCTGAGAGGAGCACGCCAAAGGGAGGCAGGTTTCAGGAGGCTGGCCAGCCTCTGCTGCTCTGTGCCTCTGAGCACTGTTACTCACACTGTACATCCTCACTGCTCCCTGCTGATAGGGCTGCTGCTGTATTTGATGTTTATGCTGCCACACTGCGTAGTCTCCTTTCTCTAAGTACCCGGCTTTGGCTATGTCTGCACTCTGTGTAGGTATCACTGCCCCAGTGAACGCCAGGCTGCTCTGGGGCGGCACTCCTAAGACAAAGTCTGAGTCTGAATGTGCAACCGCAGCCACAGCCTGCAGAGAGGGGCTGGCTCGAGCCTCTCCCCCCAGCTGCAGGGCCTGGCTGTGGGAAACTCTGCTCATCTGCCTCATCAGGCTTTGAACCTCTGCCAGCTCAGACTGGGGGGCCAGCCTCTGATCTCCGGAGGCCATCCCTGTGCTAGAACAAAGTGTCTCAATGGGAACATCAGGAGGCTTACATGAGCTTATATGATAGGCCTTATGCCCGTGTCTGGCTGTGTAACCATTATTCAGAGGATTATTATATGGTGCCACAGAAGTCTTGGTGTTTGCATGTTTAGTCCTCTTGCCCTCAGAGTTTTTCACCACACCTTTGACCACCACAGAGGCTTTGAGGATGGCCAGCAAACCCTGGTAGCCTCCTGAGTATGGGTGTGAATAGGGGCTATAGCGTTGGCCTGTGGTGTCTAAGCCGTTGACTGTTTTGTTAAGCTGTTTATGTTGTGGCACCCGGACGTCAGATGGAAAGATTTTGATGGACAGAGGGCTGTTGGCGGTCTTCTGGGCAAAAGCATCCAACTCTGCAGGAGAGGGGTACCGAGAAATCATGGAGGCTGGCTCACCTGAGGAGAGAGCACACAGAAACTAGTGATTACTCTTCAAGCAAACCTGGAGAAATCGTGCCTCCATCTCTTTTCTGTTGTTTTTTCCTTTCAATCTCAAACCTCTTTTAGGTAATAGTGGCATCAACATGTCATATAAACTAATTTCAAAGGAGGGAAACACCTCCAGCATGGTGTGATCAGTTCTTAATGAAATTAATTTAGACTTAGTTCAACCTAAAATTAGTTTACCCTGGGAAATCAAAAGACAAGAGGTGGCAGCAGCAGCAGAGGGGAGAGGACCGAATTTTACTGAAATGGCTCCAATAAGACTCATTTGCTGATATTTAGCCGTCAAACCACAGCAGGAGCCAAGTGGGCTGACTGACTGTAGTAAACTGTAAAACATTTCAAAAGGTTTTTTTTTGTAGCTTTCTTAAAAAAATGAACAAGAAAAAAAAGAGAATTGGAACACACCTTAGCATAAGCTTAGTTAGTCATTTCTAAGATTACTGATGAATATTTCATTAATTTACCTAAATGCTAAAACTCTTCCAAGCTGATCCACACCTCGTTTTTGGTTGTTTCTCCATAACTATGTAATCAGTCGAGCATTACCAGTTCCTGACTGTGAAAATTTTGTTCCACTTTATGCTTTTATGAACCTGATCTGATTCTGCTGTAGAAACTTGGAGCCAAAAAAAGAACTGTGAAGGAAAAGTTGATGCTGATGGAAAAAGAGCAATCACCAAGAGCACCGTCGATTGAATTGTGTGTGGGGAAAGCTGAAGGGACAAACCAAGATTGGATTTAAACACTATTATTCAGGCAATTTCATGGCTGCTTAACTCCTAGCGACAAAGGAAAGGTGGGAAAACGCGGCCCATTTAAAAACAATAAATCACCTGGTAGAAATTACCGCCACCTTTCAGAGCGACACTTTTATGGAATTTCCTGACATAAAAAGAAAAGGCACTGAAATTAACCTAGATCAGGCTTGGTGGAAATCATAGCAGGCAAAAGAACAAGGCTATAATCTGCAATAAAAGGGCGAAAAATAAAAACAAAACACTTCATTTCATTTTCAATAACAAAACCAATTCCAGCGATGCAGGGGAGAGCTTACTTGTTGTTCCCATTTGAAATTGATTTGGGAGTTCATTTCATTTCAGGCCTACAGTGAGCCTCCCGACTGTGAAAATGATTCAATCTACAAGATCCATCTCATGAAAGAAATAAATTGGGTGTTTAAAATGGAGGAAAGAGGCACAGTGGAGTGTTCAATCCATCCAGCAATCTCCCAACAGAGCAGAAGGAACAGCACCATGGTGCCAGGAGCATGAATGAATTCTACAGAGAAATACAACAAAGCAAAACACTGCTTATTATGTATCACAGTGTAGTGCTGCTATAGAAAACCACGACATCTAGGATGTTGGAGAGGTGTTTAAACTGGATACAACATCAAGATGTGTGCTCCCTCTTCTCTGGTTTCCCTATAATCCCACTCATGGTGAAAGAGGTAAAAAGCAGCTGCAAATTCTGGCCTTTAGCTAAAAGCTGAATATTTATGACCACAAATGATAAGTAGAAGAGGTTCACATCCACCTGAAAGGGAGCTTTGATGAGAACCCCAGCATTGGATAACATTGCTTAATTACCAAAGATACATAATTTAGCAAAACAAATATATTGGTGTTTGTTTTTCGGTAAAAAATGTCAATGTCAAGCCCTGCGTGGCGCGATTGGCTTGCTGTTCCGCAAACACTTCAAACGCTTTGAATGCTAACACGTCTTCACAGGGTGTCTGATATTGTTAGTCCAGAGATTACAGCCCTGTCAGAGCCATGGAGACACAACACAGCTGCACTTCCCTCTGCGGCTGCCTTAATGTGGCACTATGGAAACCTCATTAGCAAATAAGCCTTCCCCGCTCTGCATTCACATATTTATCATCTGAGGACCACTACTGTGTCACATACGCATTGAAAAAAAGGGATCATTTTAGCTGATCCTGACAGAAGCACAACTGCTGGGTAATGTGAAGTTAAAACTGAGATCAGAAACACCATGATCAGCATTGAAAACTGCTCTAAATCACAACCAGAGGCAATTATTTCAATCTTGAGGACTTTAACACCAGTGGGTGCTAAATGGAAGAAAACTGCACACAGTGGATCATGTTTACCAGTCAGTTGTGGCTTTCCCAAAACACGTGGTAGCAGTCATAGAAGTGTATCTTGAAGTCATTCTTCACAATATTTGCTCATTTTACAAGGCCTTCCTGCAAAACACACCCAAGTCAAGTAGTGCTTAAATGTGTGGTTTGTTAATTACAATCTGGCACTACAAGAGCTGAAGCCCACCCTAACCTTCTTACTTATTATTATGCAACAATAATTATATTCAGTCAGCTATTTGGCTCTTTTAAATCCTAGGCATTTGAATTGCAGCACAAAAACGTATGAGCAAGTAAATTTAAATGTTTTCACTTGGGACCACCTTAGGAGATGAGATTATTGCTTGCCATTAAAAGATCCCAAGGGCTTCCGTGTTTAATTCTGTAACAAATATAAATAAAACATATTAACAAGTCATCTTTTCGCCAACTGTAAATTTCATGTGACATGGTTCCCTGTCTGTCTTTATTGACAAGCTCTGGAGTCACACAGCGAAATTCAGTGGTGTAAAATAAAGACGAGAAATTAAAACAAATACAAGTATGTTCACATGACAACCGGGAAATGGCAGCTGTGTGTTGTCAGGTAAGGAACGGCAGAGATAATTATCGGTCTGACCTGAAGCACTTAATCACCCTGAACCTGCAGACTGCACGCTGTTTCACTCTCCAGCCCTGACAGAGAGCACAGGCACAGAGGCAGACGAAAAAACAGCACAGAAAATAACAGCCACTTTTCGCAAGCAACCTTGGCTGAGGGCATCATGCAGCGCTTACAAATTTTAATTCTTTGACCCTTAACATTTTTTTCTCCCACTTGCTTTTAGACAGGGCTGATTGAAGTGGGTTACGTGGGATTGAAAAGCTTGTTTGTATTTTTTTCTTTTCCTCAAAAATCAGCATAATGATACGGATGTGTGTTGCATCCACAACTCTAGATTGATAGATTTAATGGTCCCGCTAGTGAGGTTTGTAGGTTTCTCTCGGTTGGAAGGGGCTCCACACATTAAACATGCTGCTCGACTGTTGTGGCACCATGCTGAGCAAAACTGGCACACTTTCACAGGAAACACCTAATCCTGATTTCCTCTTTCCATGCAGAGGACGTGCATAGACAGAAACAGTTGGGGGTGGGGAGCCAATTATTATAAGTTCTCAATCACCACTAGACATTATATATATATATATATATATATGGTATTTTATAACCCTGATTCTACCACTATTCTATCCCACTCAATGCTTTCCGCCACTTTAAACTGGTTAATCTTTTTCCCGTGGTCACCCCCCCCCCAGTTTGCAGTTTGAGTTAATCACTAATTTATGGGCAAAACAAGCCCCGGAGGCAGGGCTGAAAACGGCAGTTGGACAAGCTCATTGCGTTTCCAAAACCACGGCTTCCAACCATTACATACCCAGCGGGCCAACATAAGGATTCAACATGATTCCATGTTAATATCCATACATGTTGGCAGAACTACTGGGCAAAAATCCCGCAGGCCTCGGATGTTATGCTGAAGAGTTATCGAGAATACTAACATGTTTGCGAGCGTCAAATCCTCAGCAGGAGCATGGCACTGAGAGCAGTCAATTAATAACAGAACAGAGCTTGTCAGCAGGCATAAAGAGTTGTTTACCACACCAATAATCCTGATATATAAAATACTCTGGCCTACCCTAATAACAAGGGACTGAGCTCAGCACATTCACAACACATTTAAAACCTATGTCTCTGTTACCATGACAACCCCATCTATGCACACAATTGGCCCAATAAGCCCAGTCATTAGAACCATGTAATTAATTGCGCCAGACTTCATTCATCTCTTTCAGACGAGCTTCTGCAAGTGACTATCTGCTGGTTAGAGAGAGCATTAGCACCACAACTAGCAGCTGCTGGGTTCTCAATCTCAATTCAGGCCATACATTGAAAGGAAAATTCTGTTGTTTATTTATTATTTATTTATTTTGGCTATCATCATATGCAAATTATATTCAGCTGTTTATTAGTGGATTATTTCAGTACATTTCCAACTTTGATTCACATTTCAAACATTCGGTCAATACAGATTAAATCTGGATTTTTGGCCAGTGGGGTGTACACATAGGGTGTACATAAACAAGGTGATAAGAGTTCAAAAAAATTATACAATGATAAGTTAACTACGACTCCCAAAGTTCATTTTGGCAAGAAATATCCTGTCACAAAGCAAAAATTCTGTTACATGTGCCACTCTTGTGCACATGTACGTTTGCTAAGAATTTTGTTGTTGAGAAAACGGCTGGCTGCAGTAATTATTTTACTTGCAGATTCTCTGTAAATTCCTCTGGCTTCTTTTCCATGGCAAATGGGTATTGTAGTGTTTAGAGCAGTCTGCAATGACGGACAAAAAAACATGAATTTCTCAGAAACAAAGTTCAAACTAAAACTTTAAATTCTACAGCGTAGTTACATTATCTATGTTTCAATCATAAATAGCATTAAGTAATATGAAATGGGAATACCATAAGGAGAAAAATACCAGCACTACTTCACAACTCTATTGTGAACATGTTAAGAGTTAACAGTTGCCTATTTCCACATCCAGCAGATGCGAAGTAACATTAGCATTCAGTTGGAGTCCTATTTTTTTGCCACCTGATGATATCCGAGTCATTAATGTTAGCTTGCTTAATGTTTGACATTCATCACCAGCTAGTAATGTTGGCTATTTTGTTGTGTCTGCCATTTGGTGCTCGGCAGGTAGCGTGTAGTGGTTTATCAGGGCTGTTTGCTGAATACGACTACCTGCTGCTGTTAGAAACAGAGTTGATACAACTGGTTACATGAACCATATTGTACACATTTCCTTAAACCAAAACAATGCCAAAACTCAAAGTTGAAACTCAAAGTTGAAAACTGAAAGTTAATTCACTGGGTTTGTCCCTGAATAACTTTCAGTTTTCAGATTTAATAAGTATCACTAGTAAGCAGCTTTTCTTATGTCAACAGACCTATAGAAATCTCCAATGGGGTAAAAGAAGGTTGCCAGCCTCCATGTGGTTTACTCAACCTAGAAAACCAGAGGACCATTAAACAGAGAGGGGTGAAGTGGACTCACAGGACTCGCTGCCTGACACCAGAACATATGCTCTTAAATCTCACTCACACTAACCTCTCTATTCACGATCTTCTTCCGCAAATGCACACACATTCACCCCCATTTTCACATGCCTTCCGCTTTCCATGTCAGTAATCTCTACATGGAGGGTGCTCACAGAACAGGGTAACCTCAGGGTTGAACACTTAGTTATGTGTGCTCGAAGAGGCTCTGGCGAATACTCCTTTGCACCAGTGTCACTCCTCATTTGTTTCTGTGCCACTTGGCCCAGCTTGGGCAAAGTTTCCCCATCTCAAAGCTGACCCGAGCACAGGCCAGCAGCGTGGGAAAAAGCATTTCCAGCCCCCACTTTCAAGCGGAGATAGCAGAGAAGAGAAGAGCTCTCGTTCACTCTCATCACATAATTTATAACCCTTGTTTCTCAGAAAACTTTCACATTGGTTTGTACCGCAGAGAGCTTTCACGTCCTGTGCCTTCCATTTATTGATAGCTAAAAATGGAAATGGCTTTCAAAAGTGCAGCAGCAACTAAAGACTGTCCCTATTTAACTCAGTCCAACAACGACTCATTTAATGAAGGGAGCCTGGGCCACACAGACTGAGCTCCCATCAGCAGTTTATTCCCTGTGGTTGTGCTTGAAATGTCAGGCTAGAGCTGGAGGGAGCTGCACTACATACAGTCGCAGTACATAAAACTCAAGGGAGGGGGAGGCCCTGCAAGTAAAGAGAATAAGAAATGCACCCCTGGTTCTGCTTGAGGCAGCTAGGCCCTTCTGTTCCAGCGTTTAGCAGACGAGTGCACCATTGATTCCCAATTAATATTAAATAGCAAAGATGACAAAGAGACAGAAGAGAAAGATGGACTGCGATGAGAAGGAGTTTCAAATATGAGTACAGATGGATACACAATTCTTGGCTACAAGTATATCAGGGAGAAATAATGTGAAACGCTTTTTGTCAATCAACTACACAGTCTGTCACACCACCACACAGGCGTTTTCACTTATTTTGGCTGACTAGACCTCGTCGCCCTGTGGTTATTTGTACTCTGCACTTGACTGACATCTTCCTGTTAGTCTTGTTGCAACTGTTAGATCAAGAAAACATTTATGGTTCTTTTAGGTATATGGAGTTTGGGTGACCTCAGAAAACTGGAAGTATGGTTCCACCCAAGTTCAACCTGAGAATAGGTCTAATTATTCAGAATCAGTAAAAGGACCTGTTTGTGTAGGTGTTTGGTTAACCTCACTGTAATCTGATAATTACAGGGTCTTTAAATCTGAAAAATGTTGTGCCTTCTATACTTCGCATACATCCCAAACCTACATTTACAGTACTCATTCACTCTCCATGGACGATTAAACTTTGTATAGTGATGGACGAACAAAGATATCCTGTATGAGAAAGCACAGGCTTGTGGAAATAAACCCAAACGATTACTGGCAACATGATGAGTCAGATAAGATAATCCCGACCCGCTTTGCAGACAAGAGTGCACATATGTCATATAGTCTAAGCACACATTGATAGGCAAATAATGGTGATTGATTCTGTCAGGAGAAATCGAAATGTACACAATGCTGCTGGTCAATATGTTCATGCTGTTGCTTTCTATGAAACACAGTGAGCCGTGCCGTAGCTTCTGCAGTGTGGTAGATTATATGCTTCCATGGGTCCAAATAAAAACACATGAAATTTGACAGCACAAGCTCCAAAACATAACATACTGCATCACCCATACCAAAAAGAAAAGAAAACATCTAAAAAGGACCAAATAAGATGTTTTATTACATACAAGACTGCAATACACATCCAGCTAAACCATTAAACTGTAAGTAGTTAGAGATATTCAATATAGCTTCAAACCAGACCCAGCATAGAAGTATAAAGCATCAGCAGATTTTTAAAGCAATCGTGAAAAGGAAACCACAGCAGAATAACTTCATTTGTGGTACTATGATCTCATTATGTGAATGTAGACTGTCCAGGAAGAAAAAGACATACAATTGGGAGCACTGCACAGACAATATGGATGTAGAGTAACCTACATAAACAAAGCAGTATCAGACCACGAACTAAATCTGCAAACATGTCGCATTCAATCAATTAAGTCAAAGGAAACTAATTGCAAATGTCAGTCCAGGTTAGTCCCAAAGACGCCCACTCAACCTTAAAATGGCTGCAGTTTAATCAGTAAAGATGAAGGTCAAATAACACTGACATGGAGCACTGTATGCAACAAATGTGAACATCATTAGTAACCCTGTATGGGAGAGTTGATTAACTCAGTAATTTCAGAGTCCACTTTGACCTCCCTGCTTTTGCACTGCAGGAGCACACTGATTAGTAGCCCAATTAACAGGCATCATCATCACCGAGAGGCCCATTATTCTAATTCAGCTAAAATCTCAGGGCACCGCTGAAACCACGCATGATCTTTATGTGCACTTGGAGGCAATGCCAAGCTGAACATGATTGATTAAAAATTAATTCAGGAACCTGAACAAGATCCTTACTGTGTAGATTGTGTGTTTTTAGTTACAGTGCTTGCTGTCTGTCCTCTCTGCCACCTGTCTTCACCTGTGTGATATAAACTCACCTTTGTGGGTGTGCGGCTGCAGTGGTGGTACTGACAGCAGTAAGGGCGGTGGTTGAACATCAAGGCTTTTGGGTGTGCACGCCAGACGCTGCGACGAGAGGTTCTGCCGTCTCTGGATACAGGCCAGCATGATAGTTCACTGGGGCTGCACACAGCCTGGGTAAACCTGCTAAAGGGAAAAAAACAAGACTTCTATAGCTTTGGTAGCAGCTCTTTTATGGAAGATTTTATTGGACTTTAATATTTGTAACCCACAGAAAACAATCCACAAAAGTGTAGTATGATGCTCAAATATTTCACTATATACAAATATGTATTTTTACATTTGTGATGTGTAAAATCATATCCACAAAAATACAGAGTGATTTCTACACACTAAACAGTTTTTCTACATTTGCATATTGTTTTCTGTCAATTTGTGGGTCATGTTACATTTGTAACTTTACACATTTGTGGAATTTTGTCCAATGTGTACTGCGGAGATCTGTAAAAAAATATCCACAAATATCTCACTACCCAAAACATGTATTTTTACATTTGTGTTGTGTAAAATCATATCCATAAAAATACAGTGCAATTTGCAAATATGTACAATTTACTCTGTACACACATATTTTTATTTCACATACAAAGTGTTATTTACGCATTTGTGGATCTATTTTTACATGCAAAAAAGTTTTCAAGATCATTTCCTGTCAATTTGCAGGTCACGTTACATTTGTGACTTCCTTTTTACGCATTTGTGGAATTTTGTCAACTCTGTACCACAAAGATCTGTAAATGTGAGAGCAGTTTATTAGCTACACCAGCCAGTGGCGGTAGCGACACTGCCTCTCATGAGTTGTAAGAATATCCATTGCAGTTCCCAGGGTCATCTGTAGGAGACAACAACTTCTGCTGTATATATATAAAAAAGTGTATATAGTTTACTACTGAATACTTTATCACTGTATTTGTTTTACATTTATATTTAAATAAATAGACTATTTGAAAGTACTGTTGTACCTACTGTTTGTAGGAGCTATTGTAAACCCTATGCATAAGGTTACGGTCCTCAAAAGTACAGTCAATGTCCATTTTCCGTTGTATTTTTGTAAGGCTCATGAGTAGGGTTTACATGACAACTCAATACTGGAGATCTATCTTGGGGTGCCGTTCCCAACCAACCCAAGACTGAGGGTTAGCCCTATTGCAGCTATATTAGTGAATAGTGAAATATTTGCGCATCATTGTACACATTTGTGGATTGTTTTCTGTGGGTTACAAATATTAAAGTCCAATAAAATCTTCCATACTCTTTGAGGCTATACCTGAGGACAGCGGTGCCTTGAACTAGCATGCTCACAATGGCTAGCATGCTGTTGTTTAGCAGGTATATGTTAACTACTTTCACCATACTAATTACCACATTAGAAAGCTAAAATTATGGTTTGAATGTCAGTACCGACATCCTCATTGCAATCCATCAAACACAAATAAACAAACAAGTCAACTTCGTGGTTGTGCTAGAGAGAAAGTCAGAGGATCAACAAATTCAATAGGTTTTATCCACTGGGAACCGTGAACGTCTGTACCAAATTACCTGGCAATCAATTCGACAGCTATTGAGATATTTGAGTCTCGGGCAAGGGGGTGGATGAACTAACAGACCAAGGCTGCCATCCAGTGTGATTCAGCTGGCGTGACTCAAAAAATTTGACCTCACAAGAGACTAATTAATCCCCCACCAGTTCTGTTCGCATGTGTTTTAAACGTTTCTGTGATTGCCACATAGTTTCGAGGATCAATGGAAAGAAAGTAGATGCCAACTTTAAGTCTGGGAAAACGTCAAATTTTATGTAATACATTTAAACTCTTGCATCAAATGTCAAGTTTGATGTTGGAGGAAAACTGCAAGCTTGCTGTTAGAGAACACTTAAAACCCCATAGGAGGATCTCCTCTTTCAAAAACATTTTTTCCACATTACTTGAGTAGCTTACATATCTAAAACTCTGCAACCACTTGGGTCCATTTACCATATTAAAATTCAGGAGCCCCTCTTTGCTGAGAGGAGCTGAGCTGCTGAGATTGTACATTCAAAAAAGTAATATCACTTAATGAGGACTTCATCACTTCCTTTCTGCCTGGCTGTTATGATGGCTCTTTCCTGTTATCAACCTTGTTCTGTCGGTTGCAATCACACAAATCATTTACAGGGCCTCCTGTAGCCTCAGGCTGTGTGTTTCAATTTGTAATTATCCCTGAGACCTGGATTTTTTCTTCCATAAATTTATGGCCTTATTGATCAGCAGAGAAAGCCAAAAACAGCTACCTAAAATAGGCCGTGCTGTTTGCAGAGTTAAATATTGTCAGAGGAAATTAGAGGCTTTGTCTGAAAAAGACGGGACCTCTCCACAGCTGTGCTGATTGAAGCAATCATTCTGGAGATAAAGCCAGGCACTGAGGGAATATTTCTCATTTGACATTCTCTTTGATTATCTGAAAGTCCCCAAATCTGAATGCTAGCACTGCAAAACTAAAAACTGTAAGTGAGTCAGTTACCTTGTAGACAGCTGCAATCTATGCAAAAAATAATAATAATCACAGACTGGATTTAATAAAGGCAATGATTACAAATAGAAAGAAACAGTATTAGTAGTCCCCAACAAGACTAATATAAGCCTGCAGCACACAGCTGTCAGACTGCCTCTTTTTCTTGTTTGGTTTTAAGGTTCTTTTGGATTTTTGCTTTCATTTCTCCCTCAGGGTCCAGAGGGCAGCTAAAGCAAGTCAACCACAGAACAGAGTGTTCAGTGACGAGCTGCAGAAACATGATTATGTTCGCCTCAAAAGGAAAAAGAGACAGAGTGCCTTTCATTTTACTGAGGTGTCAACCAAAAAAAGATTCCCTCACCCTTCCCTTTCTCATATACCCGCTCCCCTCCTCCGCTCAACATCTGTCCCTTGGTGACAAGCCCACTTCAAACTGCTCAGTGCAACCTGTCTCGTCTGAGCACAAACATATGAAGAGCTAAAAGCCTCGGTATGGTCAGATTCCATTTTGAAAATAATGGCAATTTCACAACAACCCTTCCATTACCACACATTTGACAAGAGGGAGGTGCCGACAACACAGAATGAACACAAGGGAGAAAAGGTATCTCCAGGGAAATCCCTTCACTTGCAGAAAAATGAGACATGAATTGAAATACCTTCCATTACTCCCATAATTTGCAGCTGGAATAAAATACATCAAGGAAGGCATTATAATTCAAGGAGAGGCCAGCAGTGGCTTAAAGAAAAAAGTTTCACTGAATGCGGAAAAAGGGAGCTAGAAATACAAGTGTTGCAAGTAATTTCTTTCATCCCGCTATCTAAATTTTAAATTTAAAGAGATTTTCTGAAAATTTAAGCTTAAAATTGCCTTCTTGCTCTTGAGTGGAAGCACCCAAAAAAGGGAAGGGAGATATGAGATCAAAGTGATCCCAGAATGCATGATATTATCTGGGCTAAGTTCGCACGCAATATCAACTATCCAGCCCTCCCAGATAATGTAAAAGTTTTATGTCTTGCACTTTCTTACAATGTCATTTCAAGACCTCTCTCCATACAGCACGCTCCAATAGTGCGTGGCTGATAATACAGAAATTAGGTGCATGAAAACTGCAAAGTAATTTCCAGCCTCCTTAAAATGGCAGCATAGTTCAACTAGGGCTGGACGATATGGGCAAAAATTTTATCACAATAAAAAGTTTCATATCTTTCGATATCAATAATTATCACGATAAGTATCAAATCGTTATTTCTTTCAGTTGAAGTTGAAGAAAGTTGAGGAAACCTGATGGTTAATTGTTGTTTAAACTCTTCTTTATGGTCAACACTTGATGCAAAACAGTGAATCACTTAGGTAGAACATTCAAAACAATTGATGATATGATGATATAATCTTTCTTAACAAATATGCATGAGTAAAATTAAGTTGTTTTTCCTCAACAAAATAAAGATCTTAATGAAAAAATTAAATCCTAATTTGTATGATTCAAATAAATTCAAACATTTATTGAATATTTATTGAACATTTGTTATATAGTTATTGAAAAAAAATATATCGTGATAATTATTGTTTTATTGTCCAGCCGTAAGTTCAAGGATCTTTATGGAGGAGGTTATAAAACCAGATGTCTCACTTCTCATGTGTCGTCCAAAGCATGTACTCTGGTACTTGCATTGTCTCACATGTTTGTGTATTCAAGGACTTTTCTTACATGCATAATAAGGAAAAGAGCACAAAGTTTAAGCTGCAAGGACTTCTAATCCTCGCCACACTCAGGCGACATCCATGCGGCTGATAAGCAGCATGGATGTGGTCCGCTGAGGGCCTGCCAGGGAGATAAAGACCTTGTGGTGTACAGTCCATCGAACATTTTCTAATGTGTCGCCTGTCCTGGGATCAGGACATGGAACTTTGTGGGAAAATAAGGTCAGTTGAAGAGCGATGAGGGCAGCGATGGAGAGACTTTATAATGGCTTTAGTATAAGGGCGGATAGATGATGCCTAAAATGTTAAGTGAATTTTAATGACATCTCTTCAACAACTAAGGTATCCTATAGCTAATTTCTTCAGACAACTATTGATGTAGTGTCATCAAACTAGCACCATTCATATTTATGCTGTAATAGGAAACCTGACTTAAGTTAAACTGACAATTTAGGCTATGTGGATCCCATTTCTTGATATAATAAAGCTGGCTATGCACCATTACCCAGAAAATACACTATACGTATAAAAAAAAAAAAAAAAAAAGAATAGCCCTTAAATTATACGGGGATTCAGACAAGAGCATCTGCCTGACCTTCTGCAGTCTTCATGCAGCATCAAGGGTCAGAGCGAAGATAGAAGCAAATTGTAAAGAGAGCCTCCCTCTCAACAAACATGAAACGGACACAAAAAAAGATACACACACACACACACACACATCCTCAACCTCCCTACCCGAGCCATCTCAGCTCCTGTTAGCAGTTCCCAGAATCCTCAGTTAATAATTAGATGATAATGAAAAAGGTTTAAGACGAGCACCCTTTTCACTCTCTGGGTGGATTAGCATGTGAGTGCTATGCTAATATTTTTCCTTTCCTTCCACTCAGAAACTGCAGACAAGCAAAAGGGGAAAGAGCACAAAAGCCCCCCCGCCCCCCCAAAAAAGAAAAAAAGAAGGTTAATTCAGGAAGAAATAAATGATTAACAAAGAGCAATTGGTCATTAAAGAGGAGAAAAGGCAGTGTCACTCTTTGAATGAACATGACATGGGCCATGAATAACAATCCACTTTCCATCTAATTAACTGTATATTATGTATGGCTTTTATACTGTCTCCAAGGTAGGCACTGCAGGAACCTGCCTAAGTAATGTTGACCACATGTAGTCTGACACACAGACAGAATTAGACAGAGCTGCAGCTGCTGGATTCATCTCTATACACCCATCAACACACATACCCCCCCCCCCCCCCCCCCCCCCCCTCCCAAGCCCCTCATACATTTTTAATAGAATCTATTACTTCTGGATTAGCCGATAAGAGCTGGCCTGGTTAAATTCTATAATAGTTTGCATAATTGGTATCACAGCAGCATATAAGAGAGAACCAGATTTCTCCCTTCTCCTTCTCTGTAGAAAAAGAAAAAGATGATACAAAGGTTCACATACAGGATAACCAAACAACCCGGAGTCACTCTGCTCCACACTGCAACAACACTCAGGGCCTGTGGCTGATAACAATGAGCCTCATTTCCATTGAGATTAGCTCCTATAAAAGGTATTACAACAGTGTTAAAAAGCGTTTCCTATACAATGCATGCGCAAGCACAACATTTATGTAAATACGATTGCTTGGCAATATTCAGACAGATGTCCAGAGCATTCAGCTGGGTGTAAATCATACAGCGTTAATGGCTAGGCGTCTGGGAGAAAAAAAACATTAACATTGCTGTTTCTCTCATGCAAAATTCCACGTAGCCATCACAAGACAGTTAATGTTAAAGATAATGGCATACACGTGAGTGGGTAAACTCTAAAAAATCACAGGTCCACAACTGGATAACAGACAAACATCCACTCACAATCTTTAACAGCCTCTAAACTATCTTACACATAGTTCCTCACTACTGCTAAGACACACACGCTTGGACAAAGATCAAATGGATACATTAAAACTTGCTTATGCAGTGTCCAATGTGGTCTGTCACTGTAAACTCTTATGCCATAGCTATATTATTTCAATGTTTCAATAGCCTTTTTCTCCTGTATGTAACCGCCTCCCTTTGAGGCTTTTCTATTGTAGGAAAACATGGTGTTCATCAAGACACCTTACAAATCTATTGTCAAAAGCAGTATAAGCGGTTATAATATATGTATATGTATAATATATGTACGTGTGATGAGAAATTAAGCTGATGGGTGAAGACTTTATTTCATATATGAAAATGACATCAATCAGCAGTTAGTTGCTCACAACTTACTTAGGCATGTGCATCATACAACTATGAAAAAGCTTAACTGAGTGAGAAAATTAAACAAAAAAGCACAGCTGACTATGTGCAAAGAAGCCCTATAGACACATCAAGCTAGTGACTACCTTTCTCAAACAACATTTTCAGTGGAAGCGAACACCTACATGTAAACACTGCAGCAACAAATGGTTTGGTATGAATGACTGTCCAACTCGTAAGAATTAACGCATGCACCATTAATTTCAGCAGCAGCCACAGCTACTGCCAGCATGAAGTATTTGTCTAGGAGGTTTACAGTTTTGACAAACAATTAATCATTTACTACAACTTTGAGTTAATATACGGCATTTTTGTGAGTCAGCCTTTCAAAAATAGTACTGGTATGATGATTAGTAGTTAACATATCTGGTGGGGTTTTTTCTTTTGTTTTGTCCACATTTTTCTCTGCCCAGCTTTAATTTGTGCAAAATGCCGCATAATGCCAAGAGGAAATGGCTGGTGAAGAGGCAGAAGATGCACAAGGTTATACTCCAGTGTTTGAACATGGATTTGTTTTTTGGAAAACAGAATTTCTGACTTTATATGTATATAAATGCTGAGAACAAATTTAGCCATTAAGCCAAAGCTGTACAATCAAGTCTTATCTTTGCGAACAGACTTGGTCGGGAGTAGAAAGCCTCAGAGTGACCCAAATCTGCCCTTGCCCACAGATGGTGCCAAGGTAAAAGAAACACACTGCATGGGGTAAGGTCTGGCCAATGCCAAGGTAGCATTAGCGGGTAAACAGAGCCTTATCTTATCCGTATCCCAGTATGCACACTGAGACACGCTGTCAAGGAGCTACGGGTAGGCTGTCCAGCCTTTAGAAAACCTTGACTTCAAAGAAAACAGATGGTGAAAAAGTGAGTTGAAGGTTTTGTGGAAAGATAAGTTCCATTTCAAAAGAATCAAATTATGATGTAAACTGTATCTGTCGGTCAACTCAGGCACGGATGAAATGACTTTTATACCCACCACCCTCATGGAAAATGTTGTTAAAACCATAGAAGAAGACATAAATGACAGGAAAAACTGACTCTGTGTCAATACAGATACTTCTTCCAACCCCCAATCTCCTGGCTGTTTACTGTCACGCTGTTAAGGGTCACTGATTCCTTCATGTCATTAAAATACTCAAGCAAACATAAAACTCATTAGAAACTGTAGAGAAAACGCTGGCTGTATGGCTCTAATGTGGGAGATAACCTAATGATGCACTCTCTGATGCATCACCGAAACATCAAAATGTTCTTGGGAGGAAAAAAAAAGGTGTTTGATCTCTGGACCAACTAAAAATGTCATCATCTCGCTGCCTTTCTATTTGGGGCAAATGATAATGCATCAGTTGCAATTTGGCAGGCTTAATCACTGACTTGATGCAACGACTGAGACCCATCATGTAGAAAAAATAAAGAATACTGGAGCTCCAAATAACCCTGGCAGTGCTTCCCCTCCCCACTGACCTCAGGGGCCCAGTCCTTAACCTTCCACCCCTCACCCCTGTCTCGCTATCCCTTCATCCTATTAGAATGAAAAGACCAATTAGACAGATTTCAGAAGATAGCAGGCTGCCTGTAATTACACATGACATATCTTAGCAGATACAAAGGTGATTCCAAAGGTGATTGAGAGAAAATGCTAAGCAACCAAGCCACTGACATTATTTCTAAAAGATGGCCAGAGAGGTTGGGTGCAATATGTATTTTGCATCATCCTATCATTCAGTCTCCTAACCATAAACCTTACTGCACAGTTAACTAGCCTTAAGTGTGAAGCTATGGATGACACGGAAGAAAAAGACATGACCTTAATCAGTCCTTGTACTTGCCCGGGTAATAGTCATCCAAGAAAAGGTCATTCTTGTGGTGCGCCATTTCCTCCATTCAGTAATTTAGTAGGCATGGAGCAAGCCTGGGGAAACTTCACAATAAATCAGAGCTCAGTGTTGCTCCTGAGAAAGCAAAGGGGAGCAGGCAGCCGAATGACAGAGTTGGAATTACTGCTAGGTTGTGATGTGAGATCAGGGGGAAACCCCCATGGGATACCTGCACATGGACTGCTCATAATAAGACACACATTTACAAGCCTCTCAACACAACTTCAGACCCAAGGCAAAGACAAAGCACATTTCAAACAAAAAAACAAAATATGAATATGCCATTAAGGTTATATATGTTTAACAGTCTATAATTTAAAAACACAATTGGTAAAGCACAAGTAATGTCTAGATTATACGAAAAGTATTCAGCAACAGACATTCACTGGCTAAGTAAAACTGTAGAATATAAAGTGAATGAAGCTAACCAATATACTTTATGATGAAAGGGAAACGAGGCACTAAAATGTGTATTATGACATCAAAAGCAAAATCAAAAGCAGCGATGACGTGATTTGATGATTTTTATAGTAAATCATGAGAAAAAAAGATAAGAATATTCCTGATTGTGACATGCCTCAAAATAAAAATAAACGGGGGGGGGGGGGGGGGACTACTTTTCTCACTCAGCCAGTAAAAACAGAGGACAATAAAACATCAAATTGCAGGCTTTTCTTCTCTGCCTCTGGTGGGAAGCTGTGACATCCCATCTCTCTTGGTAATAAAGGATCTGGCACAAGCAGGAAAAGCATGCAGGGTAGAATTTCACACCTGGCCACTAATCTATAGGCCCCTCTGCTGCGGCTAACCTTCAACCTCGGCTGCCACCGGTGCAGTGAGGTGCGATGATCCCACCTCCGGCTTCTAGACAATAGAAATGGAAACCTTCAGAGGCAGCCCTGAATGACCGGTAATATACTTCAAAGCACTTCCACTATCCACTCAGATGCTGACATATGAAGCGCCTTGCACTGCGCGCAAAGCCATCATCCAAACAAAGATGTCATTTCGGGATGAAAAACATGACTATTTAAGTTTTAAGACACAAAAAAACATTTAGAAACTACACGTTTTGTAATTGATTTGTCTTTTACTCCGATTATATCAGCCAATTTAGGCCTAACATTTCCTATATTTAACTGTTTAATACATTTTAGGGAATAATCTGCCACCACAAGAATTACTCTGTATAATTAATATAAATTACAAACCTCATAGTTGGACTCGGCCCATAAAAAATAAATACACATTAGCCAATGGCAGGACACTGATATAGTGAGGGCGAGACGCTCCTAATCCATTAGTGCACCCTGGGCATCTTTCACCACTTTAGCGCCGTCGACCAAAAAATCAATGCATGACGAATCCTGCCATCATGCACTGAAGGACCTTTACGACCCTAAATATTTATCCTAACTCCGTTATTGTCAGGTAGTTACACAGCTACCGTTAAATCAAAAAATCAAATCAGATAGTAAAACTGAAGAGCAGACGAAACATTTTCTGCACTGGGAAACATTTTCCACGAGCCCACACAGTGTCCCCCGAACATTAGGATGGACATAAGGAATATAATCAATGCCTTACAGAGTTTTGTCTTATCATAAGGCTTGTTTATCTTTGGTTCGCCACGGCTGATTGGTTGTTCTCCTGCTCGGAAGGCGTATTTCCTCTGCTACAGCAACCTCGCCACTGATTTCGGGATGCGCGCTGGAAACCTCCGGAGATACATCCATTGATGACGCTGGCTCGGTTAACTATACTTCCTCGACATTATTCAACACTTGTGTGTAAAAAGATATTTTCACCGATTGTGTTTTCCGTGCCTCCGATTGTAGCTCATCTCGGCAGCCCACCAAGCTGAGCCTGTGTGTGTGCCACAGAGAGTGATGTCGGAATGGAAATGAGTCCCCTGCACTGTTAAAACCGGCTCTGGGCCAATCAATCAAGGCTAAATTTGAATATTCCCACGGCTCGGCCAATCGCATGAAAGAGAAGGCGGCCTGCTGCCGTGATGCCTGCCCCGTCAAAGTAAGCACGTTGCTGTTTCGCGGAAACATTTAAAGGAGAAGAACGTCTTATATGTTAGCCCACAACATCTATCTTGACTCCTACACGTCTGATCGATTAAGAAAGGTACACATGTGTAACATTAGATGTGTTTCGAATCACAACCCAGCCAATCAGCAGGGCTTAAATTAACTCTTAGCTGGAGCTGGAAGAAAAAGCTCCATCACCTGGGGATCGGGAAGGAGAAGATGTGAACTGGATTGGGATCATTTAAAGTAAAAGTAGTAATGCTAATTATTATGTGACCTGACAGGAAAATAACTAATGTTAGGCTACTACAAATCCTGTCTCGGGTTAGAAATATCTCAGGATAGTCGTGATTTGTTGCTGAAAACAAATTTGGTATGCCATTGTCACAGCAGTGTTCATGTTATTAGTTACACATGTGCTTCTCCTACTATGACATGTAAGAATGTCTGCTTTGAAAACGGCCCAATTCTACTGTAGGTATGTCTGAAGATCAATCACAGCAGCACTCACCTCTGCACTTATTTGCTTTTCTGTTGAAAGTTAGCTGCCCAAAGCAACCCTCAAATAAGCATCTGAGACCTCGCATCCATAATACCCAACCAAGTGTAAACACGGCAACATACATTCCTACATCCTCAAATGCTGCACTTTGAACACCCCTTTGTCAATATTTAACACGCAGCGCCTCACTCAGTAGCCAACACTAATAAATCTTCCCCACAAACGTGATGATGGAAACTAACCGCTATGAATTCAGATCTTTGAAGGCAAATGTTTTCTGAGTAACACAATCAAGTGCACACCAAGAGACTTGCAGCTGACATATACCCTGACCCACTGTTGCTGTTTCAAAGAATATTAAATTGTTTCTCTACATCTTCCTCAGTGTCATTTTTCAGAATGAATGAGGCCTGCAGATGGCAAATGAGGTTACCATGCCAACTAATGTCCCTGTATTGAACACTGAAGACAGAGATGGGTTATTGTCCTCCAGTTAATCGCATGTCGTAATGGCTATACTACAGTTTACTGAAAGTATAATGGTCCAGTCTGAGCATGTGCTTGAGGAGAATTTTTGCATACATGTTACCAACCCTCTGTGGTCAAATACGTTATTAAATCTCTAGAATCCACATGTAGCAACTGTTTAGTTTGCAAGAGGATCATCCAGAAATCCTTGCTCGACCTCCACCTTCTGTGCAGACATGCCTTGTTGAGAGAGCAGGCAACATTCATTATAGTGTAATTACAGAGTAGACTTCCATTACCCCTTACTTTTAACAAATTTTCTTTCTGATACAAAAAGGGTGTTGGGTGATTTAGGGACACCCTTCAGTTGTTAACCTGCTTGTGTGTTATCTTCAGTGAGGAACAAATTGAAAGAAGATTTGTGTGGAAATACTGTTTATTTCCATTCAGTGATTCAATTAGCTAATGGTATGGTATGGTATGCTAATTTAATGATTTCTTGTCTCCTGGTAGGTGTTCTATATATAAAAAAATATGCCAATTCAAATCAAAATCGCCTTAATTTCAGAGGTAATTCAAAGCACAAGAGTTCAGAAGACTTGTATTTGCTTACTTCATAAGTAATAAATAACAAACACAACCATTTTGGATTTTTATTCATAAAAATGTGTATTCTTGCCATGCATTCCACAGTTACGCCATTGGCTGTGTAAATGCATTTAACAATGAATGATGTGTCCAAAGTCTACACTAAAGATATTTAGATAAATAAACACATGCAGAGGGACTATCTCAACAATATCCTCATACAGATACAAGAACAACATTTATAAATTTGTAAACATGTACACACACACACACACACACACACACACACACACACACACACACACACACACACACACACAGCTTTAAGTATACAAAAAAACCTTATTAGGATTGCTTCAAGGAATGTAATTGAAACCCTGGAACCAGCTAGATCTTTTCAAACAATGAGCTCATTAGCATGACAATAACAGTATGGTAGTCTTGCTCTATTGAAACAACATAACAAATTGGTAACAAAGGAATGTGTATGCTTATATTATGAATGCACATAGTCTGCATGGACTGTAACTGTTCTTATACTCTCATCCTGATTATCTTTCTGTTTTGACCATGTCATCATGTCCTCATATGATGCCCCACTCTCCCTCTTAAGACGGTTCTCATCAGACCAGAATGAACCTGGCAGTGACATTAATAAAGAGCTCCATCTGCGCCAGGCATGCGGAGGCAAATGAACCAATTAAGGTCTAGTGAAGTCTCCTCTTTCACCTATTGGCAATGGCTGCCATCATCTCCATCATGATGAAAAGGAGAGCGTGCAAGGGCAATTAAATACCAGCAAGGGCTAGGGGGCAAACCTAATAACTCTCTGTAACAAGCCAATGAGGTATGCTTTAAGAGTTCACACAACCCAAAGCATGTTAATAGAAGACGACCACAACTGTGCTCAAATATTAATAGGCATGCATGTTCCTCAGAGAAAATTGACCTTGTGGAGAACTATCTGCAATAGCTCAGAGACAAAGTACAAAAAGCCTCTTATGCCACCGTTTATCTATTGCAGTGATCTCTTCTGCTCTAGTCAGATCTGGCTTTCATGTGAACTCAGAAACTGCTGTCTGCACAGTTAGCAGTGGCCTACTTTCTGTTGTAGCATTGCCATCTGCTGGCAATATGCTTGTGCATAAATATTCTGAAGCATATGTGAATGTGCAGTACACTACACACCGCAACTGTCTTTACTTGCAGTCTTTATTAATTGTGTTGGTACACTCTCTCCTAATGTCTCTGGGGCGTTTGGCCCCTGCTCCTGAATGTGTGTGGTCACCTCTGGCTCAAACCAAAAGCAAACAAAAAATAAAAAAACAACTAGGCTACCTCTTGTGGAAGCATTAAAGCCCTCAAACCTAGATAGACATTTCAATACAATGAAATGTTTGTAAAGGACCATGTAACAAAACCGATGAAAGTGGCTCGGAATAACTGCCCATTATGGAGTGGCAACAATCTTTTTATCATCAGGCTAACGTTACTAGCATAACCGGGTTAGCTAACTTCTGATGAAAAAAGGCGTTAGTTTCAACGGCATGATGCTGAAAACACCGTATAAACTGTAAATATTATGTCCAGTATAGTAAGTGCTCAAAAGATAAAGTAACAACGCTAAGAAACCCATTAATGAAACGAAAACGCCTATGTTTAAGAAGGAGGTTAAAGATTTTTCTGTGAGGGTTTGGCTCACAGGTAAAAGGGTAAAAGTCGGACACAGCTCAACATCTACGTTCCTACGGCAACGCGTTGAAGCTTCATCCAAGAGGATCATGGGAAACAATTCTGGCTACTGAAGCGGAGGGAGTTTCGAAATATTTCATGATTAGCTACGGTTTAGCACGTTACACCATAGTTATATTAACATGGTGTTAGCATTATATTTGGCTATAACCAGTGTAGTTGAAGTGTTCAGGTTACGCTTTTTTCGGGACTGATGCTCCGTGCAGGAAGCAAAATTAGCTAGGTAGCTAACGCTAGTTAACGGTATGGTTAACCTTGGTGATTGCTTTTGTTGACTCAAACAATGGATAGCATTAGCTAATAACACGATACTTAAACACGGTCAATAACTTTACATAACACTTATTGCTGTAAACATAACGATTGCGTCGATAGCTATGTAAGTTAGCTAATCAGAATGTTTGCTACAAAAAACTCTTGTTTGTTAGCTTAACCTATTGATTTCTAACGTCTTGCTTGTCTAGTGGTGTCTTGCAATCTCGACGAACTCTTCCTGAGTGCATAATCAAGCGGAAGAACCAATGCTGTCTTTTAAACATGGAGCTAAATTTGGAGGTTGTTTTGTCATCCAGCATCAAACGGAAGAAACCATGGCCGCGATTCTGTTGGCTTGGGATGGTGAGGAAAAGCATTTCAGGCAATGACTCTAAAACGTTGCTAGCCTTGTCAGAAAAACACGACTGAACCTGTGTCATGTTTCTTTTCAGGAGAAGGAGTCTGTGTTTCTGTTAGATGACAAACGGATCAGTGAGATCAACATGGTGTCTGGTCGCACCAAGAAGAGGACTCCTAAACTCCACCCTTTACTCAACAGTGTGGTGACAATGGCTTCATCCCACAATGGTGAGTTTAATGTGTCAAGGCAAAGCAAAACATGTGTCACCTGTTAATTCTGAGAATACATTACTTGTCTCTTGTTGTTTTTCTAGGCATGTGGCTTTGTGGACTTTTGGTCTCAGGAGAGCTTTTTCTGTGGAACAGGGATAAAGACTTGTTGAAGACTGCTGCATCAGTCCCAGAAGTAGTTCATATGATAACTGCCACTCGAGGTATGCACAGTACAGGCACTTTAAGTTGCATAACAGCATTCTTCTTAAACTGCATGGTTAGCAGGGCTGACATTAAATCTGCAATCATCTTGGAAAAGTGTTACCCATCTGAAAGAGCTCAGGCCTGCTGATTAAACATCTGCTTGTTTTGGCCTAGTGTGGACAGTAGTGTT